TTACTATGACCATCTAATTTGGCTTTTTATTATCCTGTTTTGACATCCCATAGACGAATTTCTTGATAACTACCAGAAGCTAATGTATTTCCATCAGGAGAGAAACAGACTGACATAATTTCTCTAGTATGACCATCTAATTTGGCTTTTTATTATCCTGTTTTGACATCCCATAGACGGATAGAGTTATCACTACTACCAGAAGCTAATGTATTTCCATCAGGAGAGAAACTGACTGGGATGTATTTATTACCAAATTTTTATTTTTATGTTTTTATATTCTAGAAGATGAAAAGTTATTATTGTAATAAGGACTGAAAGTTTTGTGATCATTTTCATTTTTCAAACCATATTAGGATTTGAGATCCTCTTTCTCTGCTATTAAAAGGATAAGACGCCCCCCTGCTCCAAAATTTAAGTTCTTAAAAAATGCTATTTCTCTGCATCATTTACTTTTTTAAGACTCTTATCTCTTGTTTTGAATACGAGTCTGCTTTTTAATTTTTTTCTGATTACTCTAGTCTTTTTCTTTCTTGGTGCAGGCTATATAAATCAACCCTAGATATTTAACAGCAAAAGAGTTCAATTCCATAACAATAACTCTAGCAATTATTCAATCTATTAATTTATGCCTTTTTTGTAGATATATCAATATTGTCTTATTTATATTTTTCCTAAGATTCAAGATTATGAAGATTATACTTAATATTTTTTAATAGACTTATTTATTGATTTTCAACAAATAAAACAAACTTTATTCTCTTTTATAATTGCACTACTTAGATTTAAGTGTCTTTTTAAATTATGCTTTCATTATCCTCAAAGGTTAAGTAATTTAAGGCAATAAATCTGCTTATATGTATGTACAATATCTGTTCGAATTAAGGCTTTTAAAGAGCATTTAAAGAGTAGTAACTTCATTAGTTGAGTGCATAAAGTAAAAACAAAAACAATATTAAGCCATTCACACTTATTTTTACCTCGCCATAGCTAATTTAGATAAAAATGATGAAAGAATATCGACAACATTTATTCTAATAATTATGATTTTTAATAGTTTAAACATAAAAGACAGAGATAAATATATTTTCTTTATATTCCTTATGTGGAGAAAACAATTGTTTTTTAGAAGTCCTTCTTGAAGCTTACGGTTTTGACATATAAAAAACATAAAATAATGACTTTAGGGGAAAATATACGAGTGGCTTTTCTCCTCTTATCAAATTGGTAAAGGATAAGTGGCTACTAATTATTAATTGCTTATAGAAAATTTTTGACTAATTAGATTCTTGAGAATTTCCTTTTTAGCATCAATAGGATGTATTTTTAATTAAATACCTTAGTATACTAATTGATGCCTTTTAGACTGACTTAGAATTAATGATACTTATGTGATACAATAATTTGGAGAATCGCTTGGATCATGATGACAAATTCAAATTCAAGAGTAAATGGACCTTTTTAATTAGATTTGATCAATTTTTAGAATGACTAATTGCTTCCGAAAATTCTAATTGAAAAATGAAAAATAGCAATATCTAAATAAACAACTTTATAATTAAATAACTAGCTTAACTAGTTAATCGATGAATTATTTTTAGAGCAAGTTAATTGTTGAAAGATTATTCTATTATTATGAAAATAGTTTGAATTCTCTACCCCAGGCTTAAATAAATTAGAAACTAAAATCTAAATCTATTAATACCCAAGATTAAGGCTCTGTAATAATTAAATAAAAAAGATCTTAGAGTTTGCTAACTGTAGAATAAGCTAATTCTGTTTTGAATAAAGTTTTATTCGTTAATAAAATCATATCCTTCTAAACTAATCTATCAGAACCAATCACTTAATTTCCTATAATTCAATAGCTTTATAAACTATTACCATCTATGATTATGATTAGGTATTAATCAAATAGATTTCCAACGAAAGTTAATTGATGACATAAGACTAATATTATTCAGTCCTTAAAAGTTAGCCAGTACATGACTTATAAAAGTCATAAAATGTTTTCAATAGTTTAAGATTTGAAAATATATCTAATAAGCCTTGAAACTGTCTATTTTGAGATATACAGTAACATTTCAGATAAATAATGAGATCTGGTAAATCAATTAATTGGGTTCTTTATATTAAAATTATTTTCAATAGTGGTAAAGTAATTTAAGAATATTAATTGTAAGAAGTTTTTTTTAATATTTATAACCCAAAATATATAAATTCTCTTAGAGATTTCTTTATTTGAAAATATTAATTGCACTTTGTCTATTGAGTTTAATTTAGATAAGATTGGTATTATGTTTATGCTTTCATATTCATGATGACACTATTACTATAATTAATCCTGTAATATACCCAATCAATATATTCTACTATCCCAGACTAATGTTTCAAATGAAGATGGGTTGATTGAATTATCGTAATCATAAATTTTATTTTACTTATTGATATTGGATCTTATAGAAATATGTTTTACAAAAGCTTGGATAATTTGATCATTAAATAAGTTTTGTAAAAACATTATCTAAAACCTTAAAATAAACATTTAAATATACTTGATAATTAGTTAGAGTAGTAGTTTTTTTAATATGCATGCTCGATTCATATTTGTCAGCAACCCATTTTTTTAGATATCTGATTTTGCTGAAGTATTGTTTGTCATTTAATTTTTGAGTTTTATTTGTTGAGCATACAAATTCTAGTCAGTCTTCAATTATTATTTGAAAAAAGTTGCATTAAATTTTGCCTGATATGTGGCTTATTTAGATATTTCAACAATATCTCCTTATGTAATTGGTTTAAATAAATACCAATATTTCAAATATTATGTTAAATTGTACTATATATTATAAAAATAATAATGTATAATCTCTAAAAGTAGATTGGTATTCAATTAATTAAATACATTAATATTGCTCTACTTTACATATTAGCAAAAAGAAAAAATCTCAATTCAAGATTAAATACATTTCTCTGCAATAAAAGCTCATTTGAACATTTATTAATTGTAAGAGATTATCAAATTTTTTTCATATTTTAAATATAATCTAATTTGCAATAAATTAAGATCGTTGATAATACATTAAGATAGAGAATGCTGTTGTAAGCCTAGTTTTCTTAAGGCATTTTTTTTTCTTCTTATTTAGTAAAAGATTTTCTCTAACTTAAGTAAAATAAACAGAAAAATTTAAAATTCTTAAAGTAATTATAAAAATCAATAATAATTAATCAACTTTATATTCAACTTAAACTTAATAAAATGAATCATCGAAAACTATCATTAAATAAATAATAAAAGATTGAGAACATAAAATTGAACGAAGATTAATATGTAAAGAATAACCTCTAATTACAGAGGAATTAATGAAATTAAAGGAAAAGCTATTTGAATTGAGATGTGACTTTAAACATGAAATATCGCTTTTGTAAATAGTTTGATAAAAAATAACTTAAGTTATTACTAAGGAGAGTTTATCTTGAGTTACTTTCATGGTAAAGGTGTGCTAATATGTTATGATGGTACAATAAATGTAATTTATATTGTATTTTTTTAGGGAAAGTTAGTAGAGGTGGTATTTCCTTTCTTATTCTGGAAAAAGGTTCTATTTATATAAGAGAATTTTTGGGTAGTAGTTTTAATGGAGAAGAATGAATGACTTTTGCAACTGGAAACCCATATTTGGGAAAATGGAAAAATGCATATATGGGTTAATATAAAGGAAAAAAAAATTTGTTCGAAATTCATATATAAATTCGTTGACAGAAAAAAATATTTAGGTTATTTTTTTTAAATGGCCATTTTGATGGTCAAGAAATTTTGAAAAAAAAAGAATACACTATTGAAGAAAATTTTTAATTAAATCGCAATTGTATGATTCTAATATTGTTGGAAACTAGAAATATATTTATTTATTATCATATGCTATTTACTTTCAAGGAACATTAAAGGAAAACTTTTTTTTTGATAACTTAATTAAAGTTTTAATAAATAGAATTTTATAATTTCACTCACATTTCCATTTCTATTTCGACTCCTTCATCTTAATTTTCTGGAAGATCTACTCCCTCCTCCTAATTTACAGGAAGATCCTTTGCTAATTTTTTATTTTAGTATTTGGTGCTTTGGTTTGTATATTTGGCAAATTATTTTAATTCTCTAAATGAACGACAGAATATCCATATTTATTGTGGTACATAGCAACTAATTATTATTAGTTTTGCCTCTTCCATCAATCAAATAAAAATGAAAATATAAATAATTTATTAGGGCAAATAACAAAAATCCGCCAAAATCTTGATTCCCTTTTCCAAAAAGGAAAAAAAAAAATAAGAATAGCTGAGAAGCTCCATCTAAGTTCAGTAGATATAAATGTACCATCACTATCATTTATTTAAGGCACTATGCTATATATAGAATAATACTCATTTATTACACACGCTACAGACCCTAATGTAGCTGCAAAGTTCATAATTAGCAAAATTAATAAAATGAAAATTATAAATTCTGTTCCTTAATTGGATTGTCAAGATATTATGGNAGATTTTCTCTAACTTAAGTAAAATAAACAGAAAAATTTAAAATTCTTAAAGTAATTATAAAAATCAATAATAATTAATCAACTTTATATTCAACTTAAACTTAATAAAATGAATCATCGAAAACTATCATTAAATAAATAATAAAAGATTGAGAACATAAAATTGAACGAAGATTAATATGTAAAGAATAACCTCTAATTATTTGAATTGAGATGTGACTTTAAACATGAAATATCGCTTTTGTAAATAGTTTGATAAAAAATAACTTAAGTTATTACTAAGGAGAGTTTATCTTGAGTTACTTTCATGGTAAAGGTGTGCTAATATGTTATGATGGTACAATAAATGTAATTTATATTGTATTTTTTTAGGGAAAGTTAGTAGAGGTGGTATTTCCTTTCTTATTCTGGAAAAAGGTTCTATTTATATAAGAGAATTTTTGGGTAGTAGTTTTAATGGAGAAGAATGAATGACTTTTGCAACTGGAAACCCATATTTGGGAAAATGGAAAAATGCATATATGGGTTAATATAAAGGAAAAAAAAATTTGTTCGAAATTCATATATAAATTCGTTGACAGAAAAAAATATTTAGGTTATTTTTTTTAAATGGCCATTTTGATGGTCAAGAAATTTTGAAAAAAAAAGAATACACTATTGAAGAAAATTTTTAATTAAATCGCAATTGTATGATTCTAATATTGTTGGAAACTAGAAATATATTTATTTATTATCATATGCTATTTACTTTCAAGGAACATTAAAGGAAAACTTTTTTTTTGATAACTTAATTAAAGTTTTAATAAATAGAATTTTATAATTTCACTCACATTTCCATTTCTATTTCGACTCCTTCATCTTAATTTTCTGGAAGATCTACTCCCTCCTCCTAATTTACAGGAAGATCCTTTGCTAATTTTTTATTTTAGTATTTGGTGCTTTGGTTTGTATATTTGGCAAATTATTTTAATTCTCTAAATGAACGACAGAATATCCATATTTATTGTGGTACATAGCAACTAATTATTATTAGTTTTGCCTCTTCCATCAATCAAATAAAAATGAAAATATAAATAATTTATTAGGGCAAATAACAAAAATCCGCCAAAATCTTGATTCCCTTTTCCAAAAAGGAAAAAAAAAAATAAGAATAGCTGAGAAGCTCCATCTAAGTTCAGTAGATATAAATGTACCATCACTATCATTTATTTAAGGCACTATGCTATATATAGAATAATACTCATTTATTACACACGCTACAGACCCTAATGTAGCTGCAAAGTTCATAATTAGCAAAATTAATAAAATGAAAATTATAAATTCTGTTCCTTAATTGGATTGTCAAGATATTATGGAAAACGCTGACTTCAAAGATCCGATTACCCAAGAACCAATCACTATTAAAGTGGAATATTGAAATACTTAAAATATATATACTTCCAATTTTATTAACCATAAATATTGTCTAAAATTAGGCAAGAAAGCCAATAATCCAAGACTTATTGTATACATGATCTTTTGAGTAATGTCATTATCTGATAAATCACTAAATATTTGTGCACTATAATAAAACACTGCAAAAGATCCACACCATATATATACAAGCATCTATTTACTTAATAAATTATACAGATATAATTCCTATTCGAAGGGTTATCAATTATTGCTTCTCAAAAACTTTGAAAAATGATTATTATTTTTATTATAATTACTGATGAGCTAATTTAGTGTACCTTTAATATTGATCTTCAACATACTCTAATTTATAAATCTAGCAAATCACCTATTATAATGATTATTATTGTTATTACATATTAGGCCTATTCATAATTTCCTTTTGTAATTAATTGCTCTGGGCTTTCATTGCTACATATGAAATGGATTATTAATGATCTGACTATGCAGATTATTGAAGGAAATAAACAGACAACTCTCCACCAGCTTGAAGTAGAACCATGATAGCTATTTTTAGAATGATAATAAAAGAATTTTTAATATAACCTATTCCCATCAATTATCCTATTGCTTACCTAGTATTGATTTCATATCCTCCTTGCATACTCATTTGACTAAAATCTTATGGATGGCATAAAGATTTTATATAAACAGGCATAATTAAGTTAGAAATCTCATTAGATATTCCTAAGAAAAACCTAACAGCAAATATGACTTCATAATTAGATATCGAAGCTAAAAGACTAAATATTCGAATATCATCTGCAACTTGAAGACATTATTTATATGTCAATTGTAATTTTATAATATACCCCACAAGAACACCAATATCATATCCTATAGGAAGGATCTCATTTAATAAACTTAGTTTTGAAGGTCTATTCTCTTCGTTTATTTATCTAATATATTTTAATTAAAAATACAAGTTTGCAAAAAGCATATCAATTAACAGTGTCAAATGGCTTAATATATACCCAAATATTCAGAGATCCTCATATTCATTATATATTTTCGATCTAAGTTTTTGAATTATTGTTTTGAGATGAAGTAATCAGGCAATAATTTATCAAAATAAGATGATAATTAAGATTTGCTATTGATCTAAATAATACGTTGATTATAATAATATGTATAAAAGTTGATATTCAATAAAAAAGAAATATTTAACAAATTAACTCAGAATTTAATTGGTTATAATGATTGTTTTTATTTCTTTGATCTTCAAATTATTTACATCAACAATTAGATAGCAGAATCATCAGCATAAGGTAAAATTTTAATCTCTTTAAAATAAGGAATCTTGGATATAAATTTTTTTTCAGTACAATCAATTGGTTTAATTAATTATTTATTACTAGAATAAATAATTAATAATTAGATCATCTTATGGAATTATTTGGAGTCCTTTGAGAAGAGTTTTGGTTTTAGTAAATCAATTTCTTCTGAAAAATTTCTATTATAAACATAGTCATATTTTATGTAGTTAATTTAATATTTTTTTGGTTCATTGCAAATTTTCAAGTAGTCATTACATTGTAATTTTCATTCAAATAAATATGTATTTATTCTGGCTTAATAATTGGTATTGTAATTAGGTTTTCTTATTCAATTTTTAAAGGTTTATGATCAGTTAACTTTAATAGGAACGGACAAAGTTTTTGTGTTACATTAAGACTCTTCTATGCAAGAATATAGATTCCTCAATTGCTGATTTTATCAACATTACAAAAAGCTCCAAACTTTATCAAGTCTGGTCTTTTTCTTTACATAAATATACAAGATACTTTTAAGATTGGTGATAATACTTATAAAAAAATAAATGATATTATTTTTTATTCGTGAATTGCACTTATCATTTTCAAACTACTAATATGTGTTGCTCTTCACAAATGTTAAAGAAACTTTGTAGAGAATTTTTATAGTAGCATGGAGTGGATTTGAAATAGTTTACCCCAATTTAATTATTTATCGAGAAACTATTAAGAAAGTCTAAAAATTCAAACTTAATACTAATTCCAATTCATTAAAGAAAAGCATCACTTTTAAATATCTTCTTACTTAGAGTGAAATGATTTTAAAGAAAACTTGAAATGCGTTAAGTCAGTCAATAAAATGGATTTATGATTTTATCTAAAATCTACACTTTAGAATGTCCTTTTCACAAATCTCAAAATTACTGTGAATTTTTCGTAAAGAAAAATTTTGGGGAATCTGGCCTCAATACAAAAGCATTATCCTGATTAATTAGATTAAATTTATTGTTTTTTTAGTTTAGATATAGATTAATTCATTAAATCAATTAAAGAATAATTTTGAGAAGAAAAAATACAAACAAGAATATATTTTTAGCAGGCCAATTATATATTTCATTAGTATCTTATTATTTATTAGGAAAAATTGTAGCAATACTTGTTTTTTAAATAATAATAATATAGCTTTTGATTAGTACCTATAATATTAAAATATCATTATCTGAAAATAATAAACATAGTATAAATAATTTTGGTTAATTATTCTCCAAATAAATAAATTCTATTATTTAGATAATTTCTATATTCTCATTCTTTAACTCATTATTAAGGTCGAATTACTCCAAATCCATATTTATACTAGTTGTAAGTTCTAAAATTAAAAAAAAATTGAGATTGAAGATTTATGATATTTTAGCAGAGTTACTAATAAATTATAAATTGTTTAATTTACACATCTACGGTACATACAACATCTTTCATTATTCCTCTCCTTTATAATTTAGATTACTTTAAAAGTGTTTTTGTATTTTTATCTCATTAATTTACTTAATAAATAGAACTTAAATTAAGGTGATTTATAGAATGATATATCTGTAATATGTAATAAATAAGTTTATAAAGATTACTACATGATTATTGCAATCAAATTAATAATTAAAATTAAACACTTATAATTAATTTTTAAAATATTTATAAATTTATTAATTTACTATATGCCCTCTTTTATAACAAAAGGTAAAACCACTTTTTATATATCAAATATTAAAATCTGTTTAAAAGATTAATCCATTCTCTCATACTTTATAATTATTTACCAACCTTTTTCCCATTTTATATTCACCATAATAAATTATTTAAATCTATTCCAAAATCTTTCACTTAAATCATTCCTCTATCCTTACTTCTCAAATTGCTAATTATACATACTACTATTTCTAACTTAATTCATCTATTTTTATTTTTTTATACCTATAACTATATATGTTATTTCCTATTCTATATACATTCTCATTCTCACCCCTCTTTATAAACTTAAGCTTAGCTAATGAGTAATTAAATAAAGTGTATCTCCAATAATTTTAAATTATTTCTTCCCATGTTCTATGTTTTTACTATCATTAGCTATAATTTAGTAAATAAACTATAATTATTTTACACCATCTAAATCAATATATTATAGTTATTCGTGCTAAATTTAATGGAAGTGAAATGATGGAAAATTAAATAGAATTTCAATTAAATATCAATTTATTTGAATCAGGATATTTTTTAAAAGAACTGTCAAAGCATAATACATTTAAGATAATTAATATTAGTTAATAAAATAAATTCTAAAATAAATTTATAAATTAATTTTTCAAAGTTAATAATAATTCAGTAATACAAAATGTTAGTACCAGGATATAAGAAAGTGGATATGCTCTTTAAATTAAAAACACTGGCTTACAAAAAGAACTTTTCAATTTATTGATTAATAGATTATGATTTTATACTGAAAAATAATATTAATTGATGGGATATTACACTTTCAATTTGTTAAATGCTATTATAATGCACAAATGTGTAGTAGGTTTTATCAAGAGATTAACATTTCTAAAATAAATAAAAATAAAATGGTACTTTCATGAAACTATAGTTCCTTTTTATTTTAGATCTTTACATTGAAACGAGATACTATCGTTACATTATTTTATATTGATATTTAAAGTATGAGGTCTTTAATAAATTAGTTATCTTATAAAATTTCAATGTATTGAAAGTTATTAAAATTTCAAATAAGCATTTAGGATATAGATTTTAGATATAACCTAGCATCATTTACTGGGTTATTAAGAATACCAGTTGTTATGAATTAATTAATCATCATAACTTTATAAAGATTATGGGATAGTAATTGAAGATATAACTTTGTATAGAACATTAGTTCCATTTGCATATTAAAATATTTTAAACTTTTAATCTAATGGCGAAACCATGAATTTTAATATCAAAATTTGAAAATCTAAAGTTTTGGAATGGAAATGTGAAGAAGTTAGCATGAATCAAGGAAAATAATTAGCCCTATAAAGAGAAAATAAGCAAACAAACCAAATTTTCTATGCAAAAGTTTTACAAAAGTTTAATCAAAATCATCAACATTAAAAATAACAAAATAATTATATATAAACAAAAAATTAACAAAAAAACTACTAATGATAAATTTTATAAATTGGCATATTACCCTCCGACTCCATTCTCATCATTAGATATTCTTATTATTCATATTTGAATTTAATTAATTTAATTATTTTTATAAAAAGAAAATTTTTCAATTATTAATATTAACGAAAATTTATGACATGAAAATGCGAAGTATGATTTAAATAAATCTTCATATTTAAATAAAAAGTAATTGATAGAAGAAGAATCATATAGAATTTATTTGTAAATTAATAATGTATGATGTGTTTTTTTCAATTTAAGTCTTTTGGATTTTTGGTATTCTATCTTGGAAATTAGTCTGATATTTTAACATTTTATCATAAGGACCAACTGTTGAACTGCATTATCAGCATTCATACCGATCAAGCCTTTCTAATTCGAGTTCTGTGGTTTGTCATGGCTGTTATTCTAAAAGTAGATTTTTCCATCATTTAAACAGTTCCTCTAGACCTATTTTATCATTTAATCACCTGTATCTAAGCTGATTCGTTATAATTTGAGATATTCAAGTTTGTTTTTCATATAAGAAGTATAGAAATCTTCCAAACTCATATCCATTTTAATTTAATTATATATAAAATTATTGTAGATTAGATTGTATTAATTTTTAAAGAATTATTAATATGGTTATATGTATAAAATGCTTTGGCGTAGAAAATTGGGTCCATTTGCTTATTTTCTTGTTGTACCCCCTTGAAAAATATCTTAGGCATAAAGTGAAGATGTAATTTTGGGTTATTTATTTCCCTTGATTCGTCTTATCGAAGAATAATAAGAACTATTATCAAAGTATTGGTTTCACATTATCATTATACACAAATAAAATATTGAATTATGAAAAAATTATTTTATCATATAATCCATCCACATTCAAGAAGAATTGAGAATAATAGGAATGTCAGAACAATACAAGAAAATAATTATGAATGAATTAAACCTTCTTGGAAAGGAAGAAATTAGTATAAAAGCTTCAATAATAATTTATAAATTTTTATAATTTAATATTTTTAATTTATCATTAATCTTAAAATTCTATACTAATAATGGTTTATTCTATTTTGACTTAATTATAAAGTATAGAGAAATGTTATTTTAGGATCAATAAATCCAAAATTACTATACTTGTCTTACTAAACGATTAGTGGCTGTTAAATTACTATAAATTCTTAGTTTACATTTGTATTAGAGTGGAATTGGGAAAATAGCTTACTAAGTTAATTTATTTATGACAAAAAATGATTATATTGATGATTTTTCTCGAAGTTGGAGGAAAAGAGTTAAGTTACATTTATTAAATTTAGAGATGATTCTCTTTTATGTAATGCATTTTATTTCCAAAATGAAATCAATATTGTTTACAATAGTGTTGTATATTTAATTTGTTTAAAGTATTGATAAATTAAAAAATATATTATTTGAAAGATAAAAATTGATAAAATTTTAACATAAAATTAAGGTCTATTACCTAATGAAAAATTCAATTTCTAACTAATTTCTTAAGGTTTGGCATTCTAATGCTACATTATTGATAAAATATTTAGATAACCAGAGATTTTAGATTGTGTAATATGATTAATCTTAATAGGAGCCCCTTTATTGACATACATCTTACATCTTTAGAATTAATAGGTTATTGATGATATTCCAAAGGTTTTTACACATTTAAAGTCGATTAGCTTTGGTAATTATATTTAATTCCTTGAACTGGCAACATAAACAATTAACCTATTGTAAAGAAATTGTATTACTATTATAAACTGGTATAAAAGTAACAAATCCAATATCAATAATGTCTCTAAATGCTATTAATAGAATTTGATAACCAATTTATTTTAAATTATCAAATTCACCTCTAATTTTAGTGATTCCAACAGAAACATTATCAACTGATAATTAAGTAATCTAGAATTCTTAAAAATAAATACTGATAACTAAAAGTCTAATTACCCACTGTAGCCTATTATCGCAGCATTTGCATTAAGTAGTTGATGATTAAAGACTTTATCTGATTGTGGATTCATATTAAATGAATTTATCACTTATATTCTTTAATCATTTATAGCTATCCATTCATATCTGATTTTCCATATCAATCCTGGCTAAGGGCAAGTTACAACGAATGAAAAATCTAAATAATATAAATCAAAACTATCAAAGTTATTGAAGTAATTGAAAACTGGTATTCTGATAATGTATTTGGTATAGCCAATATAGATTACTGAAGAAAAAAGATAACCATGAGAAAAAGCCTCATATTTTTGATAATTAAATATTGATTAAATCAGAAAATATTTGAAAATTCTTTGTTAAAAACAATTTCTTTTGAAAATTGAAATTATATCAAGTGTTAAAATAACTAGTTTGAAAATTTAAGAATTAAATAACACAAAGTATTGATAACTAAATCTTGTAAATATAACAACTGTTAAATAAAGAAATAGAATTAATGTTCTATAAAATTAATATTAATTAGATGCCTAATAAAGGATATCTAAAGAAGAATTTTATTAATATTTAAAGGAGAAGATTTATTAATTTAAATAAGAAATATAAATATATATTCGTAAATATATAAACTTTGGATTTGATACATTTTGATATTAATGGGTTTTCAAACAAAATTCAGTATATTAAAGTGTTAGGAAATTTTTTTGTTTATAATTTTATAATTTTATTCTTATTATCTTTTAATTTAGCTACATGAATAGTTTATTTTTTGTTAATAGCCATAAAATACTTGGAATATTTAGAGCTAATTTCCTTTTTTAATTTCAATATACATCAACATGCTTTAAATGGTCATGCTTCTAATTATTAGTTAAACAAAGAATTAAAACATATTTGCAGTCCAAGTTTATTCTGAAACTATGATATGAATGTGATTAAATACATGCATTAGTTTCATAGATGAAAAGAGAAATTACGTATTCAGGATCTTGATATTTGTTACAATTAAATAATTGGTAGTCTGGTAGGATGAATATATTCAAATAATAAACAAAATGTAACATTTGCATTCATACTTGTAAAATATTTTGAGTTGAATATTTAAAATAGATAAAGTAATCTTCCCTTCATGTTACCCTTGTTCTATTTTGAATATTAATTAATAAAATTTTTCTCAAAAAAAATTTTTTTTTTATTTAAAACATCAAGTTTACATGCTAATGATAATTGAATATTCGTATTTAATTTGACATTAACTTATTTTCATCATAAATAAAATGACCTTAGTTTTTATTTGATGAGTCAATTTAGAAGAGAAATACAACTACCAATTGAAGTTTTTCAATTTTTTTTAATCTTAAAAGATGTTTTCAACTATGATATTCAGTTTCTTCTTATATTGAAAAACATAAGTTTGATTATAAAACAATTTATTACTTTAATTTTAAAAAGAGAAGTTTTACACCATTATTTGATATGATAATCGTTGTATTGATATAAATTAATAAATTTACGCATTATTTGGAAAACTAATAATTAAATTTTGGAAATAGAATCACATAGATTAAAAAAATTCATCCTGCTTGGATTATATTGATTAATAAGCAGAACTTCTAATTCTTTTAACTTTTTTAAAGCTATTAAATTAAATTATTGAATATCAAAAGTGGAATTATAATATGTAAGATTAATGTAGATTATTCCTATTACATCATTTAATTAGTATTAGAATCAATAGAAATATAATAAAAACTATTACAATAAAAATAAATTTGACAATAATTAAATTCAAAGCCTTAGTATTTTAAATTTTAATAGTGTAAGAATAACAAAAAAAATATTGTTTAGAAGTTGCATTGCATTTTTACCTGTTTTAATGGAGAGTGAGCCACAAAATCTTGATCAACCTAATTACTCTAAAACAACACCCTTTTATGCCATAATATTTTGAGGCTTTATAAATTTAAAATAAATGAAAATAATATTGTATATTGTATGTTTTACCATTGTCTTTGCCTAAGAATATAAAACAATTTACACTGCATTTGAAGGCTCAAATTATAATGATGATGGTAAACCCACAAAATAAAATTAGGCTGGTTTATTTACTATTCATATGGCGGCAAATATCAAGTTTGTCATGGTGAAAAATTATTGGGTGGGTTCTCCACGTTTGGAGCAAATTCCTTAATTTCTAAACAATTTAAGCTTCCACCTCATTATTCTGTAAGAGTTTAAGTTAGATTCTGGAAGTATTGCAATCATTAGTTTTCAGAATCGATAGTTGGGATGCAGAGACTTTTTTATTAATGGTTGATTAAGGTTAATACTAGGATAAATATTTTACTGACACTGGAGGAGATTATTGTGGCTGGACATCAATAGTTGCTAATGATTTTCCAGTTAATATTGAAATTTAAGTTTCACACTATTCATCATTGCTTACTATAATAATGACTTCAAATTTAGATGAAGTTGCATATAATGTATTAATGTTAATATTCTAGGAATCATGGGGAATAAATACTTTCATATTAGGAATATTACAATGTCCTTAAGAGTGTTTAAGTTGTGAGGATTCAACATCTAATTGCATTATTTGGAGTAATTTAGCATCATATTGGCAAAATTCAATGATCGATGATGGATGGTTAATTAATGGCAACGAACCGTTGTCATCAAGTATTTGTGGAGGTATTGAAATTGCTGGTGGATATCCCGTATTATAATAAGGGCATTAAATAGAAAACCGTTTATAAGATTTACCTATTCATTTTCAAATTAAAATTGTATTTAAAGTGTGGGTAATTGGTGATTGGTTAAATGAAATTTTTGCACTATAAATTGATAATAATAGTGTGTATTCTCTACAAATCGAAAACACTAATCTCCCTTTTATTTGTGGTGGTATCAAACAAAAAGTTAAAATAATAAATGTTTAAAGCATTACTTCCCATACTTCTGAAGAAATAAATATGGTTTTGTCAGCAACTCAAACTCCAGGAAAAATTGCCTCTTGGGGGATTTCATCTTTAGATTTATATATAGCCAAATGCTCAAACGGTTGTCAAGTTTGCTACGGAATAAAAGAAACTGAATGCAATATTTGTATTAAAAAATGGGGCTTTTATTAAAATAAATGTATTCCTGGTATTTATTTTTATTTACATTAGCTCCTTCTATAGAGTGTAGTCATATCCAAATTATTTAAGTCAATGATTTAAATTTAAGCTTTAAAAATTCATTTCAAATAAAAATAGATGAAGTGAATAAAAATATTACAGATGATGGCAATATAAATGTAATTGTGGGTGAACAAATTCCCACTATTACTTTTAAAATTTCTGTTAAATGTTAAGAAAACAATACGATTGACAGTTTTTTCAGAAATTGTAATTAATGTTAATATGATTAATATTAATTTTCAAATAAATGTTCTCATGGTAGTAATGTTTTATTATACAATTCAACATTTAAGTAGGTCATAGAATCTGAAAAAGAATTGATAATTAGAGTTTCATAAAAAAGATTAGAAATTGTTCAACTATCATTAGAAAATTAAACAGTGAGAGAAATTTTAATAATCAAAATTGATATTTTAACAGGCTGAAAATATGTGAAATAATATTAACTAAGTCAAAAAATTTAGAATTTATTATGATTGAAAATTTTATAATTATTCATATTTTATTAAGAATCGAAGATAATAGAACTTGAAGTGAACATAAGAATAGAAAAACATTAATCAATAAATAGATTTCCACTTTTGGTATTTGAAATTTAAAGATGGAATTTAATTCTATTATAATATGTCTTCATTTGTATGATTAATCTTAAGTAAATATTTGTTATAAATAGTACCTTAAATAGTTCATCTTCTTATTATATTATTTGATGATATATTTCTTATTGAATAAACTAGATTTTTACCTTCAAATTATTTTATAAATTTCAATCAATGCAAACAATTTAATTTTCTTGAAAAAAACAAAAATATCCATATATGAAGATAATTAGCCTTAAATTGGTATGTTGATAATAAAATATCATGATTGCACTTAAAAAATATTTAGTATGAATATTATTTGTTAAATTTAGAAAGTAGAATTATTTAACAAATTTTTTATTAAATTTCAACAAATGAAAATTTGAAGCATTTATTGAAGGAGCATTTATTTTAGCCATCATTAAATATTATTATTATTGTTTATGCTGCTTAATCATATTAATGATTTTAAAGAACTTTATCAAAATACTATTAATTGAAATAATACAAATTATTGATAAAATCTATGTAATTTTTCTCGTAATTGAAGGATATTTAAGTCTTTCAATATCTACCAACACAAACAACTGAATCTTTAAAATACAATCATGTCTTATTACAAATATAAATAAAACTGTAAATATAGTTTATGAATAATAATAAGGAAATATTATAAAATTATCAAATTAATAACTATTCATTTTGTTAATTAACACCTTTAGTATCATTTATCTCCTCAACCTCTTATTCAAAATTTACTTCTTCTTCTTCTTCTTCTATTTTTGGTACAGATTCATATTAATGTTTTTCTCTAGCTTTTGCCATTTAATCTTCATTAATTATTCCTAAAAATGGCAGTGGAAGCATTGTACAAAGGGAGCATATAACTATTAATTTTGCCAAATTATCAAAGTTATCGTCTGTTACACCAGCATAATATGTTAATAATGCTCCTAATTCTTAAGAAACCATTCCTCCAAAATTAATAGCTGACATTAATAGAGCATACATTGTGCCTTCAATATTTTTAGGACACATTTTACAAGCTAATACTAAAACTGGCATAGTGTTTAATTCTCCTATGACTTAGTTTAATACTCCATCTCCAAAGCAAAATAATCTATCAGGAATTCCAAGTTTAACATTTTTTCTTGTGACTAGCAAAGTTGTTTAGCAAGAAACTAAGCAGTACACAAAAGTACTATATCCAAAAACCTTCGTAAATTTGACATGCCTTAAAAATCGATTAAATAAGTAAGCACTTAAAATAGAACAGATAGAATAAGATAGTCGTAATTCACCAATGAAATCTGGGCCAAATTATAAGACATTTGTATAAAAATAAAACATAGCTGTTGAAATTGATGGAGATGACATGAATACCATGATTAGCAATATCGGTCTAATTTTATTTTTAATAATTACCTATAAATAACTGGTTAAGACACAAATTTAGTAAATAGTTTAAGTGATTCAATAGTTTTAATTTTTTATTTTTCAGGTTCATTATTTGAATGTTTCTTTTCTTTGACAAATATTGCAATACATGCTAAAATCAAAGGAAAAATTGAAGTTATTTTAAAAATATCACGTTTGTCCAATACTTATAAAAGTTTACCAGAAGAATATGCAGTTACTAATGATCCTGCAGATCTCATTCCAAAGAAAAATGTAACATTTTAACTTGCTTTATCATTTTAATTAGTGTCATCATCTGAATGTCCAGAATATTCAACCAACAATGCTTCACCTATTACATTACAAAATGCAACACATATGTTAATCACTGTCAATAAAATTAATCCAACTTCTCTATTTTCTACTCCATAGTCAGATAATAAATTCCAACACATAAATCCAAGTACCCCAAATAAAATTAAATATGATTTTCTTCTATATCCAAATAGAGGCACAGTATCAGTCAATATACCCCAAAATGGTTTGACTATCCATGGTAAACTGATAATGGTTGAAAAGAATTAGGTTTATGCAGGATCTTATTGATAATCATCTTTTTGCATGTAGCTTATTGCTAGATCAGATAAACCCATAATTCCTATTAATTTCATATTTTTATTACCTTATGAAAAAGCTATTGTGCCTATTAAGAAATAGGTGAATCTAAGTGATTATTGCACTACTTCATCTTTTTTCATATTAAATTAAATTGAAAACGTGTCTATGAATTTTCATTTAATAATTTATTTTTATAGTTATATATTTTACTAAATTTATAAATAAATAAACAAAATAAATCGAATAATCTAGAATTTGGCATGAAATGAAATTCTTTCTTTTTCTTTATCTATTTCAATAATTAAAATAATGTCAACAGCATAATAATTTAAAGACCTTGGTAATTAAGCATTCAAAGAAAACAAATTTGAAGAAGCAGCTAAGTTTTATTCATAAGCAATTGAATTAAATCCAAATGATCATATTCTCTACAGTAATAGATCAGGAGCATATGCTTCACTCTCTAAATATGAAGATGCATTAACAGATGCTGAAAAATGCATTTCTTTGAATCCAAATTTCGCTAAAGGTTCTTTATTATTTCTAAATTAGGTTACCAAAGAAAAGGTTTAGCACTTCATTACCTTGGAGATTTTGAAAAAGCTATTGATGCTTATTAATAGGGATTAGCCAAAGATCCAACTAATGCATTACTTTAAGATGGATTAAAAGCTGCCTAAACTGAATTATAAGGTACAAAGAACAATCCATTTGCTTCTGCATTGAAGAATCCGAACATAATTAAACTTCTAGGTATTCTCTAGAAAGATCCAAGAACATCAGCTTTTGCTTCAGATCCAACTTTCATGTAATTAATAGGTTTAATGATTGCTCAACCTTAAATGGCAAGTTAATTTATGTAAACTGATCCAAGAATTTAAGCAGCTTTGTCTGTAATAATGGAAAACCCTGAAGCATAATAGATTTTCTTTTCAGAATTTGCTGGAAAAGTTAAAAAGCCAGATGGAGAGAAAAAAGATCATCCTTAATAGCATTCATAGAAAATGGAAGAGGAGCACACCCATGCTCAACATGAATAAGAACACTAGTAACATTAACATACACATTCAGAATAAAGCTCATAAAAATAACATCATTAACCACCTCCAAAACAATAACCTTAACTTGAAGAATGGGAAATATAAAAAAATTTGGGTAATGATGAATATAAGAATAAAAATTTTGAAAAAGCTCTTCAATATTATGATGCAGCACTTTAATTGAATAAGGATGAAGCCTTGTTATATAATAACAAAGCTGCAGTATTTATTGAATAAAAGAAATATGATGAAGCTTTAGAAGCAATTGAAGAAGGACTTAAAGTTTTAGAGGTCCATAGTAGTTTCTAAAAGAAAGCTAAATTGTTGGCTAGAAAAGCAAAAGTTTATTCACTATAAAATAAATTTAATGAAGCTATTCAATTTTATGAAAAGTCATTAGTTGAAGATCATGTATAATCAGTTAAAGATGAATTAAGAAAATTATAAAAATTGTAAAAAGATCTAGAGGCTTAAAACTACATCAACCCTGAATTAGGTGAAGAGGCTAATACTAAAGGAGGAGAAGCTTTTAAGTCAGGAAAATTCCCAGAAGCCATTCAATTTTATAACGATGCAATTAAAAGAAATCCTAAAGAACCAAAATATTATTGCAATAGAGCAACAGCTTATATGAAATTGATGGAATTTCCTAATGCAGTTTCTGATTTAGAAAAATGTTTATCATTAGATCCTAAATATGTAAAGGCCTATGTTAAAAAAGCAAATTGTCATTTTGTAATGAAAGAATTTCATAAAGCAAAAACAGTTTATGAAAATGGATTAGAATTAGATCCCAATAATGTTGAAATGTAACAAGGACTTGAAAAGGTGAGATTTTCAATCTTGTAAGGAAGTGGATCAGAAGAAGAGTAATAATAAAGAGCAAAGAGAGCTATGTAAGACCCAGAAATTCAATAGATACTCAGAGAACCAGAGGTATTATAATTATGTAAATAATTAGGTAATTAATCTCTTGAATGATATGAAAGAACATCCTTAAGACGGCTTAAAGGCTATTAAATAGAATCCTTCATTAGCAGCAAAAATTGAAAAATTAATTGAGGCTGGAGTTCTAAAAACAGGTTGAAATTTCTATAAATAAAAGTATTGTTATATAATATTGATATTTTATAATTTCTATTTATCAGCAGTATAGTTGATAATGTGGTGACAATGTAGGATTGAAGTTTATCAATTCTTTAACTTTAACTCCGTTCTTGTCCATATGATCTCCATCTGAGATAATCAAGCCGATCATTAAAATTAAAAATTAAGATTTACTCATTTCTACAGCTAAGGATAATGAATATTTTTGGACTATTTATTCCAAAACATAAATTTCTTTATTTTCTAATAAATTAAAATTTATCATATTTAGTTTTAATGTCTTTCTATGTTCTTAAGTGCTTAATAATCGCTTATATAATTAAATACAAATTGAATAAACACTATTTTCTATTAATGTGTTTTCAATTTGTTTATATATGCATTTTATTAAATTATCAAGTTTTGCAATACTGTATATTAAAGCATTATCTTTTAAATCGTATGATTCTTATTTTGTTTCTATTAAATAAAAGTTTTCTTTTTTGTAATGTATCACATTGGGAGTTTGATATCCTTTTTCATCTTGTCCTAATTGTTTATTTTCAAACTGATTTTTTGGTAAATGAACAAATTAAGAAGTATTTTATTTTTTATGAGGAGATTTTTTGGGTGTTAGAACTTTAGCAGATGGACTTATATTTCTACTTTATTTCTGAATTTATTTTTGTTAATCCCATTTCTAACGTTGCTATACTGGAGGAGTTTTAGCCTAACGTGATGTTAAACAATATGCTTCATATTTTTCAACTTTAGCGAACTCATTGTAAATTAGATTAAAAATTTAATCTTAATGTTTTTGTAAATTATTCTCACTACAAAATTCTTGAACCTTCTTCCATAAATTATCTCCTTTATTCAATATAAATTGTAATGATTAATTGTTGATTTACAAATGAATAGTTGTTAGCATAATTAATAATATTAAGTTGAAAATACATAAATATTATTTTCATTGTACAAAATATTTTAAATTACTTTTATTCTACATAAAGCACTAAGTTCAAACAACTAAAAATCATTATCACAGAAAGTAAAGCATCTTCATTTTCAAACTTTTAGCTCAATTAATTATTTTTATTAATGAAGATAAAGGTATCGATTTTAAAGTTTTCAAAGTTTATTAGGAAAATCAGAAATTAAACAAATTTTTGGACCTCCATAATTACTTTTTCTAATAAGCTTTGACTTTTAAATTAATTTTTTATTGAATATTTGGCCATAATGAAATTTCATTAGTATATAGGAGTTGGATACCTTAAAATTAGTTGGTCTATTTAGCCTTTACGCATAATTCTACATTAAATGAAGGGAAAACTTTATTCAATAAAATTAATCTATTTAACTTCATTTTACATCTTCATCATTTGAGTATTAAAAGATACTTGTTGACCAAATATTCTATGAATTAATTAAATTAACTTGATATTTAAAATAATGAAAAATATCTATTTCTACCTCTTTGTGAATTGATACTTATGAAATATGTATAATTATAATGATGATTGAAAAATAAATCAACCTAATGTATATTAGAGTAGCAAAACAAAAATGATTGCTCATTATTTATAATATTATTAATTCATAAATATTTCATTTAATAATGCAATATTCTCTAAGAATTTATAATTCAAAATAAATTTTTACAAGTTCTCAATTTACAAAATTAGTGATAAAAATGTTCAAATAATTTTTGTTCTTAAAATAATATTTTTATTACCAATTCATGATCCAATAATGATAATGTACGTATGTGATATCTTTATAACAAATTCATTGTTTTATATAAATGAACTTAACAATAATATTAGAGTGAAATATTTAATTTAAAAAAATAATGATTTCATTGCTTTTAGATAAAAAGGAGCATTTTAGAAAAGAAATTCGTCGATAAAAAAATGAAACAATTTTTAAATAAAAACGTGCATTATATTAGCAACCAAATAATCAAATGAACACTTAAGTCATATTGAATAAAATTCAAAAGTTTGAATATTGTGATGAATTATTTAAAGAAATATCAGACATGGATAATCCTCCTAAAATAATTAAGGATTTGGTTTAATTTTTAAGCTAAACCCAATCTTTGGAAACTATAAAAGAAGGATTAAGGTGCTTAAATAATTAATTATATTATTTTGATGACTTCGATAATTCAGAAAATGATTGTTTTTTATTACTCTAAAAATACTTTTAAAATGACGATTATATTTTAAGAAAGAGAATTTTAATGTGTTTAGGAAACTTATTATATGATTGTCATTAATTCATCATTCCAGCTCAAAATATATTTTTTAAAGAATAATTTTTATTTGAATATACTGAGGAGTACTCCTTTGTTACAAATATTTTAACTTAATTTGGAAATTATTCAGATATCATAAAATCAATTTAATTTTTATCAGAAATAATAATGAATAACCCTAATGATACAGCTTTTGAATCAATCAAATTCATTTTTGAAAATTGTACTCCTTTAGATGCAGATGAATTAATTGATTAGAATTTTATTTTGCCTGCATAAAGGTTATTAACTCATGCTAAAGAAAATGATATGGCTTATGAAGCCTTACTTGCCATTTTAAATAAAGCAAATGATTCTACAAAAATTAGTTATTATTAAAGGGGACTTAATTAACTTATAACTTATTTTCTTGATCATCCAACAAAAAAAGAAAAAGGATTTTAATTAATGCTGTATTTTGTTTCAAAATTTGATGAACATGAATAAAATTTGATTATTGATTCTTTATTTTAAATATATGAAGGAACAAAACTATTCTAACTATTGATGGAAGATTGTAATCCCATGAAACTTCTAATAATATGTAATTCAATAGAAAATGGAAGCATGTCCATTTTTATAGACTTTTTAGCATTAAATGTTATTGGATAGATATTTATTCCTTATTTAAGTTCTTCACAAGACTATTCCTCCATCTAAATAATAATTTCTGCTATTGATTCTTTATTATAAAGAGATGAAATATCAGGGGAATAATTTTCTTTTGTAATTAAGGCCTTTAATACTGAATAATTTAAGACTGCTCTTGAAAGAAACTTATATAATGTGGGAGATAGAGAAGAGACAAATTAAAAGATAGAGAATATATTGAATATATTAAATGATTGTTAATGATTGTTATATTTAGCTTCATTAAAATAAAGTAATCATTTCCTTTTATACTTTAACTTTTTTTTTAATTCTTTTGAATTGGTTATGTAAATCCAATCTATTTTCAATTATTCAAATTTAATTTGCTACGAGCTGAGCTTCAAAAACAAAGTTTAAAAGATTGGTATATATTGCACTTATATCCAGTTTTGAATTCAAAAGTTATACAATTCTACTATTTTATAAATTCAAAAATGGAATTTGATATCTGATGGAAAGCTAATAAAATAGTTTACTCTTTTTAATTAAATCCTTTATATAATGCAAATATTTTGATAATAAATCCTTAAATTTAATTAAAGTTACAATTTTTCTATAATATAGTTGAATGAATTAATTCAAAATTTGCTCTAAACATTTAGATTTCCATCATTTATTCTAACTATTCTCTTTCCAACTCTTTTTTTTATGTTTTTAATTATTTACACTCTAAGCCAAATATTTTTATGTAATATTTTTGCTGAATATACAGTAAAACATTTCAAAAGATTTGGGTAATGTTTTTCTTAAAATTTATAGGCTATGTTTAAGATCATTCATTATGATTTATTTAAGTTTAATTCTCTTTTTATACATTCCAGTTTTAGTTTTCAATTTTAAAATCATAATAAAATTCTTTGAACTTATTTACTTAATATTATTTAATAATAAATTTCATATTAATCAATCAAGAAGAATGTCTGGACAAAGCTCTCTAATAACCATGTCACTGATTTTTATTTCCATTCCCTCTGCTATTCCATCCTCTAAAGTCACTTCATCATAATTTACTATCTTTCCTCTAAAATAATCAGCAAATTTATCTAATCTTTTGGAATCTGCCTTAATTAATCTATAATGAATTTGTCTCATATTGATTCGATGAATTATTTAGTCAGGTTTCAATCCACATGGACATCCTGTTTCATCCCATAATTCACTAAACCCTCCAAATTCTTTTCCATGTGGTGGTTAGTCACAAATATGAAAAATATATCTAAGACTTGGAATCTTACTGCTATCTCTCCAACTTATTTATTATGCTGCCACATTTAGTCCATCTAATGCTGCTTCAGCACCATCGCCTCCTCCATAACAATCTGATTACTCAATTGCTTTTAATATCTCTTTATGTGAACATAAATCATGCAATTCTGTAACATAAGTTACTTCTTAAGGAGGATGATCACGATAGCACACTAACCCAAATCTCACGCTTACTTATTCACTTTTTGATTGTTAATTTATTCTTTCAACTAACATTTAAACTGTATGTGTTGTTCTTTCCAAATATATATCCATCGATCCTGTAGTATCTACAACAAAAACACAGTCAACCATTCCAATTGAAGGTTGATTTGCATCTGAAGCTACTGATATGTTTGATTTAGTTTTTCTAGGTCCTTACTTAGCTTATTGCTATTATTGAGGCTATATTATTTTTTTTTCTTATTCTTTTTTTTCTGCTTTCATTTCGACTTTCTTGGAAACATTTTTTTCACTTTTCTTCTCAACTTCCATTTATGTATTGTTCTTTTTTACAGGCTAAGATTACTTTTAGATGTTTTATTCAGCTATATCATTTTTTTGAACCTTTTAAGGTTAAATAGGAATTTTCTTTTCAATTTTTCTTGAAGGTTTAGATATTTATATTTATGACTATGCTTTAAGATCCTTTTTTGTTTTGGTTTATTATTTTTACTATTTTTCTCTTTTTACTTAAACTTACTTTTATTATACAATTTTTTTAGGGGATTCCTTTTATTTCTTTTATACTTGTGCTACCCTTTATGCTCTTTACCGTTATTAACCATTTTTATTTCTTTGTCTTGTTCTATCTACTTATTCCATTCTTTATAAATAATCATTTCCTTCTTTAATAGTTCTCTCCATTGATTTAGATCTTTTCACCATTTTTTATTATAAATAAATTTTAAATAATTTTTAACTAATTTTTCTTTGAATGTATATTTAATAATCAGATTTATATCAGATTAAAAAATGAGACTCTTTGGAATCCTATAATTCATACTTATTCAAATTCTCATGTATTTGTTTGATATTTGATAATTTATTTAATTATGAATTGTGAATATAAAACTTTTATATGTATTATTAATTATGTGTTAATAAAATTAACATATCAATAAAAATTAGTAAATATGTAAAAAAAATTAGATGTAAATCACTCTTATTTACCAAGAAAGGAATTTCAAGTAAAATTCCTTTTAAGCAATTATGAGAAAAATGAACACTTTACAACAATTTTATTTTTTTAATTTCTAATTTAAACACTTTTTAAAATAAATATAAATATAATGAATCAAAAATGAAAGATGCTTTATAAATAAGGCAAATTACACCTTTTAGTCGGATCCATTTAAAATATATTTTATATTATTTCTTTATATTACTAAGAAATTCTTTTATTTTTCCAAAAATCTTTCCAATTACTTTTTGTTATTTATATCCATTTTTAACAGGTATTTTAATTTGTATAAGGAAATTCATTAGTTAATAGCTAATACAATATTACTCCTAGAGCAAACACTTCTGTCTTCTCATTAAGATTAATGATATCATCCTAAAAAAATTCAGGAGCAAAGTATCCTCTTGAACCTCTTCTACATTTAATTTTTTATTGTATTTGATTTGCAAATCCTAAATCACAAATTTTGATCTCTAATGTTGATGAATTCACTAATATGTTGGCAGTCTTTAAATCACAGTGATAATAACCAGATTCTATGATGTCATGATATCCTTCAATAAGTTAAGTAAAAATATAGTTAACGTGATATTCTTGTAATTTAAAATATTGAAGGTATTATTGGAGATTATAGTCACCAAATTTTTCATAGAGGATCCATCCAAGATTTTCTAAATCATGACTAAAAAATAGTAAATATATGATATTACCAAACATAAACTATTATATATTTACTCTTTATTTTTTGGCTGGCTTAAATTTCCCCAATTCTATCATCTTAAGATGTGGTCTCTTTAAATATTTTGATAGCATAATAAATGTCATTATAAGGTAACTCATAAATCTAATATATTTTATTTATACATCAGCTTAAAGTCCTTCATCTATTTTTTTTAAAGTTTAAATGTTTTTTAGTTTCATTTTGACGTAATCGACTATTTTTGAATCTTTCATCAAGTTGTTTAACAAAATTTATATTAAATCAATCTTTTTCATTTAAAATTTACCAATTTATGATAATATTAACATAACACAAGTTATTTATCCTTTAATATCTAACATTTCAGTTAATTTTCTATTGTTTCTGATGATGAATTTAAACTTTTGGTTTTCTTAAATATGTAAATAGTATTAATAGATATTTGATGTTACTATAAGAATTAGAGAAATAAAAACTCAATAAAAATATTTTGATTGGTATTTTATTTATAAAATATATATATTTTAATTTGAAATCAGATGAGTGTTAATGAGAATTGCTAAGATTTTAATACTATGGATGAATAACATAAATAATAAATGATGCAATTAGAAACTATGGGTATGATGTGTAAATATTAAATGATTTTCACAAAAATGGATGCAGCATTATTGAAAATAGCATCAATACTTAAATAAAAGTAAATAATAGATTATAATTTCAGATAAAATAACGACAAGTCATATGCTTTATTTCAAATTAAGGATAGGTCAGTAGGTCAAAAGCAATTACTTATGGTAAATGCACTATCAATAGCTTAAAGAATGAAGTTAAAATTAAATGGATTATTTAATTTTTGTGAAAAACATTCTTAAGAGAATTAATTTGTAGGTATTTGCATTTATTTGTATTTCTAAGCATTTCATAAGATTTTAATTCTATCAAAGGCTAAAAATTAAGAACAAAGACTTAAGGAAGAAAACGAAAAATAGAAAAAAGAATTTTTATTCAAATTGAATTAAAAGGATGAAGATATTGATAGGTAAAGAAAAAAGAATGAAGAATTAGAAGGAATTTTATATTAATAAAAATAAAGAGAAAGTGATTGCACAATCAAATTATAATAAAAAATGAAATTGATTTAGAGATATGAAAGTGATCTTTTAGAACTTAAACGATAACCTTCTTCTACTAAGAATTCAAATTAAGAAAATAGAGTAATTCTATTATTTATTAATTTAAGTTGAAAGAATTAGAAAATAATAATGCCATTCTAAGTTTATAAATATAATAAAATTCTTAATCTTTAATAAATTTTGTAAAGGAGATGAATGAATTATTGGACAGTCATTCTTTTATTTTGAATGAAAAGAACATTAGCAGCTTTCGTGCAAAATATAAATGAATTTTTATTTATTTTGTATCAATAATTTACAGATTGGATACTCAACTAATTTGTTCATCTAACTCAGTATGTTATAAAAACTCATGAAACATTACTTTATTTTTATCTATTAACTCAGCAAACTTATGCTCCAATCTCATAGAATTCAATCCTAATTCCATAGGATAAGTTTCTAATTTGAGCATTCTGTTTATTAATTTATCATTGCATTGAATAAATCTGCCTTTTCTATTACTTATATAATGTGTAAAAGATTTGACCATTTATAATTTTTCATTTGACGGAAGGTGATTATTAATATTGACTGTAAGAAATCCTGTTTTGAAATCAACTTGAACTAAAAATTATTGTTATTGTTATTTCAGTTATAATTCTTTTAACTATAATAGACATGATAATAATTGTGAAGAAGAAAGCTAATATTTTAATTGTAGAGACATTTCTTCATTAACATTATTAATATTATCATTCTATTTATTTTTCTTATTATTATTATTATTATTATTATTATTATTATTATTATTATTATTATTATTATTATTATTATTATTATTATTATTATTATTATTATTATTATTATTCCACAATTATCGTGTAACATATTTATCAACTACGTTATCTAAAGTTTATTTCAAATCAGGAAGATTTTAGGTTCCTTATTAGATTATTTTATATTAATTTGAATAGCAATCATATAGAAATTAAATCTAATCAATTTATTTAAATTTATACTTTTTATCTTTGTTATTAAGATAATTTAATTAATGAATCAAATAGATAGTATAAATTAGTTTTACTAATATATCTTTTATCTAAATTAATCTCTTATTTAACAGGTAATTCTAAAGATTCAGTTTTTAGAGATACTTCATATACAATTCCAAATCTATGTTATTATCCAATAAATAATTAATTGATGATAGGGGAGGCTGTAGGAGTTTCAGTTTAAAGTTAATGAGATGTTGGTGAAATAGCAACTAAGCCAGTAACAATTTAATTAAGATTATCATATTCCACCGAATCCAAAGGTGTAGAATTGTCACTTAAAATTGTAAATAATCTTTGTTAACCTGACAACGGAATTCTTCTCCCATATTAGGCCAAAAATTAATTCACATCTTATACTCGATTTCCTACTCCTACTTTAACAATTTGAGTTTACTAATCGTATTCCTAATGTAAGACCTTCCTAAGATTAATGATCAAAAAAGGATATTTACAATAAGTAAGTCTTTTGATTTCTTTTTAGGATAAATTAAGATTATTTTGAAGTTGTTATTTATAATCTTCAATACTATCAACATCCATAGTAGTAACTTTAAATCCATATTTAGAAGCTTTTTGTACTATTTTTTTTATAGCTTCCACTTTTTAAACATAAATGATAGCTGTAGGAGTTGAAAACTTTTAGGCAACATATTGTTTCATATTACCGAAATGAAGATGCATTCCATCGCTTCTAGCCACAACATTACCAATAATTTAATCATCAAACAATTCTGTTCCATCATCTTACTTAAAATATGTTCTTGCTAGTTTTCTGATGAATCGAAGTCTCCTAAAGTAGGTCTCTTCAAAATATTAATTCACAAAATAAGAGGTTGACAAAGCACCACATATAAGAGATATTCGAACGTATAAATTATTCATTAAATTTATGAATTGTAAAATCCACCCCTTTAAGCAACGCTTATAAAATAGAAACACTTTAATGTCCTTTCTGTCTTTTACTATCAGATCTGATATATAAAATGATTGAAAATAAAACAAAGTCTTTATAAATTAATACTATAATGGATTTAAGAGAATAATAAGCTTAAAGTCTAATTCAAATATAGGATATGCATTAGGATTTGAATCATTAAGAAAAAAAAATTGATATGATAAAAAAAATACTTGAAAGCTAGATTTGAACGAGAGATTATGTAAATCTAAAGACTAAGATTATGTTAGAATTTTCTAATATTAAAAGAGTTTTAGTAAGACTTGTTATTACAGACAATAAACTCTGCTTCCATATACTCTAGACTAAAATTATATTCGAAGTTGTTTTTACACTTTATAAAACTCAAAAATAAAATCAAAAGAAAGCAATATTGATTTTGATTAGCATATAGTTTTAGATTATCATATTGTAGAATAATTATTAATGTAATGTACTGTTTTGGATAAAAATATTGGATTAAATTGTTTCTTTTATAATGCATTAAGAATATTTTAAATTAATATTTTTCAATCAAAACCAAAGTTAAATTTCTATTAGTTAATCTTATTAGCTTATTTTAATTCATTATTTTATAACGACATCATTTAATTAAAAGAAAAGATTGGAGATTTATGGAAAGTAAATAAGTGGGCTAATTTTAATAATTTATTATACTTTATTAATTTTACAAATACTCTTCAATCAAAGTTTTATAACATAAATTAAATACTTAAGATTTTTGTAATTTATTTATTCCTTAAAAAATAAGTTTCATTTTTTCTTTTTCAGTATACATTTTCATTATAATTGGCAATTATGGATTTGCATTTTTAATCAGTTCAAAAATAAAAAGTAAATGAATCTATTTAGATGATATTTGAGCTATATTATCTTAAATTAAATATGATATTTGATAATATTATTATAATTAAGTTAAAACCTTTTTATAAAATTAACTAAGATTAATTAATTTATCATTAAATAGTATTTTCTAGCCCTTTAATATTTAATATTAAAAGAGAGATAATTTATATTAAATTATTAAGGAGGTATTTTTAGATTTTAAAAATTTCCTTAAAACATTCTATGATACTGACAATTATTTCAGATGATTATTTTATAAATGATTCATACAATACTTATGTTAAAGCTTCTAATTTTTTAATATACTATCTTCTGATTCCAAAATCATTATAAAATTCAATTATTCAAATTTATTTAATAATAAATGCAATTTTATTTTCTTCTCTTAAAATATTAGATCTACACAAAATTCAATATCCTTTATTTCTACTTTATTCTAATATTCTTCATGGATCTTATAAAGATACAATAATAGACTATTATTTGTTTGTCTTACTGATGATTAGTTAATGAACTATTTTGTCTTCTCTTCATTTATGAAATATCCATAAGTCTTATTTGAAGATATTTATTAAAATTGTAAAATCTCTTTACGAAACCTTAGAATAACAAAGGGCTTTGTAATAAGCTTAGGGATCAGTGATTCTTCAAATTATTATTTTTTTTACCCCAATTATCATCTTTAAATTTGAATAAAAATGCTGATCTGTGTAAGTATTCAATTTTATATATCAAATAACTATATGCTATAGCCACAGCTATTGTAAATGTATATTATTCAGGTAATAGTTAACCAGAATAAAAGTAATTGGTCAATATTCTAATTATTGTATATAAAATGTTAACTAAAGTTGATGGCACAAAATCTAAGCCAAATCCAATAATTGCATGTACAATCATAAAATTACATCCTTTCAAAAATCCATCATATGAATCAAAATCAGGTTCCATCTTATATTCTTATAGGATTATTGCAAAATATATTATAATTAAGAAATTGCAAGATAATTTCTTCTTAATTCTGCTTATTAATAAACCAAGAATAAAAGCTATCAATAATGAAAATGCTTAATATAAGTTATAATACATTTTGCTCTAATACTAATTAACAAGCATTATTATTATTATAATAATGCCCCCAAAGCATAAGGATTGTATAAGAGGAAATTAAATAGATTCTAATTTTTCTTTTTAAAATTTTTTTTCGAGTTGTAGATCTTAAAAGTTTAATTGAAATTTTTTCATTATATTATTGATTAGATATAAGAAAAAAATTAAAAGAAAAGTATTAATTATCTAATAGATATTATAGAATTCACAAATAAAGATTTTATATTAACACCATTATTTAGTATTTCACATCAATTTCAATCAAAATATTTGTTGAATAATAATTATTAATTATTTAACAAATTAGAAAATTGGATAATAAAATAATTATTAGGTGATAGAAAATTAAGAAATAAGCAATTAAAGAACTAATTTTTAATAATTTGATAAAATCCATCTCGATTTATTTGTAAAATATTAAATTTACATTTGAATTTTTATATTTGTGTAACATTAAAATACTATAACTCTTTATTAAAGAAATAAAGGAATGAATTTAAATTAAATAGAAATCTGTATTTTCATGATGAAGCCTTAGGATTGTCAAAGTTATTTTATACAATCTTTTTTCCATAAATTATTTTTAAGTTCCATTTACTAGCTCTCTATATAATAACTTAAATATAATTATTAAGAAAAAATTTGAGGATTGTCGATTTCGTAAATTTTAGATAATCAAGAAAAGTATTTTTTTCTTTTTAGCAATAAAATAGTAAAATATTAGAATAGTTGAAAATTTATAAATATAACAATTTAAACTTAAAAATATGAGATGATTATTTCTAGAAATAGTATTTTCTATAATATTATTTATAATAATTATTATATAGGAAATATATATAACAGTAATCAGACAATATATTTTCTTTTTTACATAAAACATTTTCTTTTTTATAAATTTGTTTATAGTTCACTCTTTTTTTCCAATACTTATTATAATAAGGATTATGATCTTCTTTAACGGGGTTTTTCATATTTACTTAATTGTGCAATGTTTTTTTTTTATATATACCTTGCTATTTAATTAATTAATACTTATCTTCTGAACATAAAATACTGTATTTAGCTATAATCTCAAATACATTTGATAGCTAGTGTAGTTAAGAAGTTTAGGATGACGTCGAACCATTTCTTTTATTCATCATTTACATGGTTTATAATATTTATTAATTATTTTTATAAAATTCAGAAAAGAACATAAGTTGAAAGTATTTCATAAAAAAGATTAGAGCTTTTTTCAATCCATTGATATAAACTAATATGCTATCTAATTTATTAAATAAAATTAACAATTATTCAAATGATTTTCTAAAAGTACAACAAAATTTATGATCAAATTTTAACATTTTCGTAGAATAATGTAGTGATTAATTGTAATAATTCATCTTTATCATTTAAAGCTTAAATATAATATTATTCCTCTTCTTGTGAATCTTAACTTTAGTTTTGGGTATTTTCTTTCATCTAATCATCATTTTATAATTAAAAAATAAGTGAATTCAATTTCTCAATTTATTCATTTTATTTTATTAATTATTTGCATATTATTAAGAAATTCTCGTTTTGTTGTTCTTTTATTTCTTTTATTTCTTTCTCTTTTTATTAAGAATATTATATATAATATCTTAAACTCTAGAATTATAATCAAACTATTTACTTCCAATAAATTAGATTATTCAACATGCCTTTCCTATTGAAATTGATTAAACTTTGTGAAAGAACTCCCTCTAGAATGAGAACCATGCTAAATAAGGTGAATTTATCTCTCCAAATTGGCAATTTTATTATTCTTCTCTGTTATTAACTATTACAATTTATATACATTGTTTTCATCGGGATTTTTAAAAGATTAATTAATAATGCTGGCTGGATGATCGAATTTACATAATGATTAATTAAAATCAAAACAATTTGACTTTGGTGACACCCAAAATTTTTATTCTAATTCTATAATCTAACTGTTATTAGAAGATAATAATCCTTATGTTCTTAAATTTTCTAAGTAACTTTTTTTGTCTTATTAATTAGAATTTAAATATTCCTCTAATTCAAACTTATATTTTTCCATTTTCTTTTTAGATTAAGTTGTTTCTTGTTCATATTCATAAAGTTTTTTTTTAAACTTACATATATCTTATTCATATTATGATTGTTTACTCATAAGTTTTAGATTTTCTTCCTTTAAAATTTAGATTTCTTTTTTAAGAAATTCAATTGTTCTTATTTCAGAAGTATCTTTTGAATCTGCTGTTTCATAATCTAGTGCTCTTTCAGTAGGTTGATTGGATGATAATTAAGATTTTAATTTTTAATTTTTTCTCTTTTTTTTAAATACTTCTTTTTATTAAATTTCCACTAAATTATTAAGTTCTTCAATTTATTATTTATTTTTTTCTTAATCTTTGATGAATTCCTCAAATTTAAGCCAAGCTTCTTCAAAATCATTGCAAATAACTTTATCTAAAAAAAAGTTAATCTAACAGTTCAATTTATCAATAATATCTGTATATTCAATTAGTTTATTTTGCATTTCATATAATATATTTTAATAATCTAATTTCATTTATTCAATCTATTTATTTTATTAAGTTATTATATTATCTTTACTATACAAATTTTCCTCAAGAGATATAATCATACTTGTAGTTTAAACATCTTATTGACTATAATCTTATAAACCATTTGTTTCTTATATATCATTTAAGATGAAATTTGCTATCTCTAATTGTTGATACTCAGGACATGATACCATATATGAAATAGCTTCCTCTTTTTTTACTTGTAATAGTGTTTCAAGAAAATATTTAATGAATTTGGTTAATTCTTCATTACAATCAGAAAATGCAATATCATCACTAAAATCTTGAATTTATAGGTTATTATTTTTTCTAATATTTTGCAAACGATTAATTATTTAATTCCATAAGTTTTTTTTCAAATCAGTTTGAAAGCTATAATGAGGATATATATTACAAATAATCTTCCAATTAAGCAAATAGAATTCCATCTTAGATATCCCTTAAATGATGGATTTATCTTTTTGGATAATTACATTTGTTAAGCTACAAATAATTATAGAAATATTTACTAATGCTATAACACTTTTCATAAATTAAATAAAAATTTTGACAAATAAATAAAAAAAATAAAAATGAAAATCAATTATCATACTCTTAGTCTTAAAAAGACAAGAGTTCCATTTTTTTAGTCAATTTTCCAGCCTAATTTGATTTAATACCTTATTTAGCTTCTATCTACATTTGCTCAAATTTTTCTTATAAGTCATTTTATTTCAATTTTAAAAATTTAGCTGCTTCTTATTAAGCCTCACTTTAATCATAATTTATATCTGAAAGATTATAATAGTCAAAATTATGATAAGGAGTATTTATTCTAGAATCTATTTAGTTAGGTTCATAAATGTCTGGTTTGCATTAATTAGATTTTAATTAATTGTCTAATTAATCAAATAAACTTAGTAATCCTTATTATTTTTCTCTAAATTGATTAGAAACTTAGCCATTTACTGGTATGAGTTTTTTTGATTAATGATATAATTCCATCAACTCATTTATAGTTCTTTAATCCTTGATTTCGAAATAGTCTTCAGAGATTTCGGGAAAACTAGGAATATCATCTGAATAAATATTTTTTCCAAACATCTAATAATTTAAATAAAATAGAAGTTTTTGTTTTAATTATAAAATATATATATAGAGATTTAGAGTTTGAACATAAATTAGTAATGATTAAATTCTTATTTTCTTAAAGAAAAATATTACTAGTTAATTAAAGGTAATTAAATAATGAGATTTTTTAAAGATAATTAGCAAAATTCATCATAGAAAAATAACTTGATTAATTTTGAGAGCTGATTAAAAATATATAAATATGCAATTTGTTGAAAAATTCAGATAGAGGGATAAAATCAAAAATAATATGAATCTATAAATGATTATATTCAAAATAGACTTTTGGATTTGAAAATTTGATCACAACTTTCAGGTTTTAATAATAATTAAATGATTAGAAATTATTTTATTGAAATTTAGATCTGTAAATGAACTTGACTATAAACTTTTCAAAATATATCTAATTGATGGAAATTATTATAGTTTGAAAAATAACAAAGATCCTAATTTGATATCTCTGAGATTTTGATTAATATTTTTGAATTAATTTGTTCTTAAAGGAAACATTTATAATGTTGTATCCAGCATTAATATTTTCAATTTTATAGAGGTTTTCTTATTGAAATTCTAATAATATATATAATTATTAAATTTATGAGTGACTCAATAGACATAGTTAATTAGTAATCTTGCTTTTAAGAGGATAATTTTTAAGGACCCAATTTAATGATGGTTTCTGAAAGAATTTTACTAGGAGATGGAGATGTCTATTAAAAATCACCAGATAGTAACTCATTTACTGTGCGTGATCCATCCAAAATATAAGATCTGAGCAAAGAATTGATAGACTCTGTTCCAATGGATATGCGTAAATCATATAGAGGATTAAAAAAATCTGAATATTAGTCAGCTTATGCGATTGAAGAAGAATTAGAAATTAGTGGTAAACCACAATTTTTAAAGCTTATCATCTCTAAAAGTCTACAAAATAACTTCATCAATAATTTATGGAATAGGAGTTATCTAAGAAAATTACATCAGCTATCACCTTTTTAGGTTTAAGCATTAGATGATTTATAATTTGAAAATGAAATTTTCTAAGAGGAAGATGATAATAGAAAGGAAATCAATATTTTTGAAATAATTAAGAAATTTTTTCTTCAATTAGATGTGTTCACACCATATAGTAAATTAATTTTTATATGGGATTTGTTTTAGATTTTCACTTATGTTTTGATATTTTTTTGGTTGCCTTACAAAATTTCATTTTCTTTAGACTCTATTGGATAACTATTAAACTTTAAATCAAAAAATTAAATGATTGAGATAATATTATTGACAATCTTAAGTTTTGATGTTGTTGTTGGATTGAATTTAGCATTTATTCATAAAGGGATTATAATAACAGAAAGAAAAAGAATCATTGTTAATTATTTTAAACAATATGCATTTGTAGACCTTGTAAATATAAAGATGTATATTAGTAAATAAGGTTTCAATAAGTACTGTAACAATACAATTTTTCATTTTAAATGATGGATAATAAGATCATGATATAGACAATAATTTGACTTTACAAATAATATTTTGTGTGATATTTTATGTATTGAGAATGACAAAAATAAATAAAATATTAGCATAAATACAAGAGTAAATATATTATATAATGTTTAAAGATTTTTCAATTTAAATGGTTCATTAAATGATTTAGTTGGATTATTAAAGTTAACAATGATAATTTTATTTATTGCTCATATTTGTGCATGTGTTTGGCATGGAGTAGCCTACTATAATGATTCTTATTCTTGGTTAGATGCTTATAATTTGAGAGATTAAGGGAATGCATCAAAATATAATAAAGCAATATATTGGGCTACAATGACAATGACAACAGTTGGATATGGAGATATTACTGCTAAAAATAATTTAGAATTATTGATTAATAATTTGACAATGTTCATAGCTTCTATTGTTTTTGCTTATTCAGTAAATAGTATAGGAATATTTGTATCAAATATGTATAAAGGTACTATGGAATATAGTAGAAGTGTTACTCTAATCAATACATTTATGTCAAAGAATAAGATTTAATTTGAACTTTAGACTAGGATTAGAAGTTACTTAGAATATATTTGGTAAGAAGAATAAAATATGAATGATGATGAAGTATCATAAATTATTTGTAAATTAAGTAGTCATTTATAAGATGAACTATAATTTTAATTAAGAGGAAATATTTTAAGAAATTGTAAAGTAATGGTTAAGATATTTTCTGAAAAAATGATTAAGTGTTTATTAGGATAAATGGAGGAATAAAGTTTTTCACCTGAAGAGAGAATAATAACTATAAATTAAATTGATGATGGTTGTTTATATGTTATTACAAAAGGAGAAATTGAATTAATTTTTGAAGGAATGAATAATCTAAATGAAAGATACAAAAGAAATAGTTTAAAATATCTATTTTAAGGTGATTTCTTTGGTGAACTTTCATTTTTTACAGGAGAACCTAGAAAATGCACAGCAATTTCAAGAGGATTTACAAAGGTATTTAAAATAAAAAGAGAAAACTTTTTAAAGGTATTATCTTCATTTCCAAATGATTATGAAAAGTTTTGTGAAGTTAAACATTAATTAAAATAAGGAGATTTTAGTTCTTTATAGATTTCATGCTATAGTTGTTAAAGTAATTCACATTTATTGGATTCTTGCAATTACTTACATTTTTGTGCAGATAAAGAAGCAATTTTAAAAAAAGAACTTTATCCACATTATCAATATCGTTCTCGATTAGTTAGTAGAGGTGCAAAGGCTTTTAAACATAATTGGGATTAATATAAATATATTGTTTAAAGAGCAAAAGACTTTTAAACAGATTTTTATTAATAACCAACTGATAATGAAAATGATGAATAACCTTCATAAATTGCTAATGATAATTACACTTATGAAGACGAATCTAAAAGTATGAAATTAAAAATAATTATTTTTAGTTGAGATTGATGTACCTTCAACACTTAATTAAAGAAGTAATTCAAGATCATTAAGCAGAGTTAGTTAAAAACCAAATCAAGTAATTATTGAAGAAGAAGATGATTCTAAATTATATACAAGAAAGGTAGTTAATCCAAGAGGAACATTATAGACAGCAGGATTTGGTAATGCAAGTTTAAGGGAAAGCAAAAAGTTTGATTTAGCAAAGGAATATGAAATTGAATAACCTATTTCTGAAGAATCATCATCAGAAGAAAAAGATTAAATTATCATCCCATCAGTTTAAAAAACAAATTAAGACAGAATTTAAAAACAAAAAATTACTTTCATTAGAAAAGAATCCTCTGAAGATATAGTACCAAGATAAGCTTCTCTTCGTTCTAGAACATTTACTCATAATAAATTATAATCAGAAATTTTGAAAAGAAGCACAACACCTGATAGGTTGAGTTCAGAAATTGAAATATCTCCAAATTAAAATATTACAAAGAGAATGACAGGAAAGAAACATTCAACTACTAAGACATTTACAAAATAAGTTTAAGAGGCTACAGAAGGCAATCAGAATATGACTTCTATGATGGATAATTAAACATACTTACCTATTATACCATAAATATATTCTCAATTTGATAAGATGTAGATATTTACTCATTTTTTCCCTTTTAGTAATTATGATATTGTAATCAAAAGATATTAAAAAATACAAAAGTACTTTGGTAAAAAGAGATAATATCCAGAGTCATCAAAATATTCATTTTATTTTATGACAATTAAAAAAGGATGGAAATTAAGAAAATTAGGACAAAAATTATAAGGGTTAAAATTAGTAGATACAATAAAGAAACCATTTGGAAAAACTATATAGAGTGGTAAGATTATTAAATCTAAAAATTTATTAACTAATCTTGGAAATACTGGGTAAGTAATTCCTTATTTAAAAGATGGTTAAGTATTATAAGATGAAAACTTATGAGAATAATCATAATTTGAATGAACATAGTATTATGTTAGATTTATCAAAAATTTCTCTCTTTTTTTGATATTTTTTATTTTCTTTAATTTAAATTTCTTTTTCATCAAACTATTGAAAATTTCTGTTCAATTAAATTGAATTTAGATTATTATTATTAGCTTCTTGAATCCCTTTTATATTTATTTGGTTTTATTTAGATAAACAATATTATTAACTTTCACCTAAACTAGATAATATAGGTTCTGAACATTATTTTATTTTATTTTTTCTAAAGTAGCCTTATTGTTTCAAATAAAGTTTTAGATTATTCTAGTCATCCTTAAAGATAAAAGAAAATTTTTTACTTTATGATTTTAATCATGTTTAATTCTAGTTTTAAGTATTAGACTCTGTTAAATTTTACTTTTTAAGGATTGAATATCTCTATCTTCATCACTCATTATGTCCAGCTATTTGTTTTAATGATTAAATAATTCCTAAGAGCTAAAATAACGACTTCTTCTTTAAGAAACCTATTTTGTTGTAAAATCCTTTTTATGCGATAGAGTTTACGTAACAAAATTCTAAATTGATTAAGGACTTGATAGAGGACTTAGAGAATTCTATATATTTTTTTGAAGAAATTAGTTTATAACCATCTACATTTAGAATCTTTAGTTTATTGTATTATCATCTTCATCAGGATTTTTATACTTCTTTACTATTTTACTAAAGGTATGAGCACACTTTTGAATTTTGGAGAAATCGTTAGCTTTTATGATTTCTTATCTTCTATCAATAATAGAATCAATTAATTTTAATCTATCCTTATAAGTTTTAAGAGATTCAACAGCTGTCTTAATTTAGGAATTTGAAAAAACATCTGAAATTTTGTTATAGGTACTTTTTAAATTATTATTCATGAAATAAATTAGTTATATTATTGTACTAAAATGTATATATAGCAATCATTATTTCAGTTTCTTCCAAATGAGTTTCCTGTTTAATATTATTTATAATCAGAATAATTAATATTTTTTGATTATTATTTTCAATTAAATTATCATCCCCTCCTGTATTAACCTAAACTTTATCAGGATCAAAAAGACCTAAATCATCAGGATTAACATCTGTGTACGGATGTGGAAAGTTTTCAATTTAATGTGATGGAGAAACAAATGATTTTTTAATGCCAACATATGTTTTAACTTCTTTTAGAAATAGAATTCTTAAAATAGCTAAACATTATAAAGAACAAATTATTGTTATTCCCAAAAATCCATCAAATCTAATTAATTGTAATGCATAATATTTACTAGGTTGAATCCTTACCATAAATAACCATACTAATTATTTGAGCAATGAAAGAACTCCCTATAATTGAAACTGAATATTATAATCCAATGCTAAAAGAATCATTTAATAGATTAGATTTATTCACACTTCCATTCTAAATAATAAAGAGATTGCAGGCAAAATGAAAAATCCTTACAAAGTATCCATAGCAAACATCATTCCATAATTTTGTAAGTAGCATCCCCATAGAAATCTATAGAAAGTAAAAAATTCTAGTATAATTATAATTGGTTTATATTTTCCTCAGCTTTTATATATTATAGGAATAATTAATGAACTAAAAAATCCTCCTATTACAGGCATAATTGATAAAATTACAATATCTAATTTACCATATCCAAAAGGTTTCAAAATATATATTAATATAAAAGTTGCAGAAAGTGTGATTATTAATGTATCTTAACCATAGATATAACTTAACTTAAATAAATTAAACTAATCTTACTTCAACAGCTATAGGATTGCTAGTGGCATAGACTGCTATATTACATAATTCTGCCATTGTGAATAAAAATAATATTGCAAATCTCTTTATATATATTCGATATGCATAGTATAAACTAGATTGAAAATCAATATAGTTGTTTATTTAATCTAATTGATCAAGATTTTATTGAGAATTATAATCCATCATTAATTTTTATAATAATTATTAAAATTTTTAAGTAAATATTTTTAATATTATTTATAAATAAATCATAATTCATCATGTTAATTCATTAATTCTTCAATAAACTATTTCATCTATTTTGCTTATCTTTATTTATTATATTTTATTTATTCAACTGAGTTTCCATCTTTATAAAATAAAATCATTGTTGGAAATCCACTAATACTTACAGTAGGAACTTAATGCTGAGTCCAATCCATATCTGCTATTAAAACATCCTTATTTCCTCTAAATAAGACTGCTAATTCTTCATATTCTTTTGCCATATTTTTACAATGTCCACACCAAGGAGCATAAAATTTAACTAGTACATGTTACTTACTCTTTATTACAATATCTTAGAATGTATCAGATGTTACACTTATAACTTTTCCATTATTGATTAAAGTCTCATAATTATTTTTTATATGCAATTATTCATTTATAAATTCTACTAATTTTTCTATGGATCTTTACTGAGAATCATATTTTATAATCTGTCTTCCTTTTGGAGTAATAAAAAATATTGAAGGATAAGAATTCATATTAAATCCTTCAAATTAATTCTTTGTTGCATCTGTTCTACAGAATATTACTTTATTTTCAAAAAGAGGATTTATTTATTCAAATAATTAATTTGCTGCTTTAGAATGTTCACAATTTGGAGAATAAAATAAGAATAAAACTGGTTTTTCATTATTCAAAATCAATTTATCAAAATTTGAATTATCTATTTCATTACCAGATGTTTAAGGAAAAGACCCTTACTAAAATTTGGTAAATGGAATATGTTCTTCTATATATTATGAAATGGCCTCTTCTGACAATTCACCTTTATAAATCACTAAATTAACCAATCCATCTTATTTCAAATATATATAAACAGAAGGAATCTCTTCAACTATTATTTCTCTTATTGGCTTTAAACTTCTATTTTATTTAGCAAAAACCAAATTATTTCTGTGCTGATATTTAATTGATAAATCATTAAAAATATCATTAAAACCAAAACATAAATCACAAGCATTCTTTTCATTAAATAAAATAATATGATTTGGATTTTTATTAATCTAAATTTAATAGTTTAATGGAATTAAATCATGAACATATCCATCTCCTTCCCAAAATGATTCTGAATATATTTATATTTATTCAACTATCTTTCTAAATGTAGGGATAGAACCTTCATCATAAGGTAAACTTACTGTATATTTTGTATATAAATTATAATAGTAAATTCTTTTATATTCTAATGATTATCCAACAAAATATTAAAATCTTCTTACAGTCAATTCATTTTTTGTATTAATCAACACAAATCTTAACTTACCCTTGAATTCTTATGCAACTATCTCATAATAACTTTGTATATAATCATTAAATTGATTAGGATCTAACACCATACCAATTATTGGTATTTCTTCAGCTTCTACTTTTTTAAATTCTTCCTCAGTTAAAGAAAAAACCAAAGGATAAGCATTTTTATCTATAAAGTCATAAAATTCTTCTAATTATCCATTAAAATATATTTCTTTGGATAATGCTTTATTGGTTATAAATGCTTAATGAATTTTAGGATTTATCTTTTGATTAATTATTCCAAATTTAATTTAAGGCATTTTAATGGCAATATCAGCTATCTCATTAATAGTAAAATATGATAAAACTGCAATATTAGACCTTTTGATAAATAAGTCAATCTAAATTTTATATCACTTTAATTACATCTTTTTATAAATCCAATTATGTGATTAATCCATACGAATGTTGTAAAGTATACTCAAATAATAATTCCAAATCATTATCATTAGGAAATACAGATTTTTCACCCTCATTATACATATAAGCAGCTGGATATGATGTACTATTCATTCTAATTGAAAGTGCTCTATTCTCACATGCTATTACTTCAGCCACATAAATTTCATATTCTCTTAATCTTTTTGCTAATTCAATGAATGTGGATTTCAACTGTAAACTAATTATAGAATTTATTATTTTATACCATAAATTGCAACCATAAGTTGTAAAAAGAACAATTAATTTTGGATATTTTGCTATTGCATAATCATAATTATTTCTATCCAATAATAATAGACCATCGTTTTCATCTATTTTTTCTTTGAGTCTATTCTCACCATTAATTGAAAGGATCAAAATAATTAAAATGGCAATTACTTTCATTTTTAATAAGTATTAGTAATTATTTTAAATATAAATTTCCTAATTTAAAAGGAGATTTAAAATATTCTTAAATTATTAATATTCATAATCAATACTATGGGAACTTTTCTTCTTATGACATGGAAGCTGTTACATACTTTTTAGATTTCTTTTGAATTTATTATGAATTTAAATTTCCAGAATCAAAAGCTGAATCTATTATTTTTGATTTAGAATCAAATAACATATTTGATTGAAGCTATAATTAATTGTTAGGTATATCATCAAATATTTTATATTTTCTTGTATGTGTTAATGCACCTGAATCAAAAAATTAATCTTTTTATTATTTAATTGGATGTAAATGTTCATTTAGTATATCTTCTGTAGGTTTATTTTAAGTTTCCTATATATAACCAGTCTTATTTTTATTTTCAATAACCTAGAAATCTTCTGATTTTTTTTTTTATATTTAATAATTATTATGTTCTTTATTAAATAGTTTTTTAGGTAGTTCTCCTTTTCTTGAAGCTGATGGCCTTAAATATTTATCTAATATTTAATCATTATCTTTGGATATCTCTGGACGTTGAGTACTACCAAAATCTTTTGGAATTGATTATTTAAAACCAAAGAAATTATGTGATTCAGACTTGGTAAGTTTGAAATCATAATCATTTTAATTTTTGAAATTCTGATTTTCAGGTTTATTTTATTTAAAATTTGATTAAGTTAATGTAGCATCAGGTTTTTTTCCAGTATAAAATTCATAATTAGAGATTTCTGCCTTTTTAAGTTATTTAAATTATGGTACTGAGGCTACTTATTAAAATGTTTCTTCTTCTTGAGATGGAGCAGGAACTAAATTAATTTATGGAATATCTGGCAAAACTTATTATTCAATAGGTTTTGATTTTAATAATTCAGCAGATTTAGTAATTTCTGGGGCTGGTTATCTTATAGTAATAAGACGATAATCTGGTGATTTACTAATCATTACTTTAAATGGCAAGAGAGGACAGTATTTAATGAATAATTCAGATGGAATATTCTCTTCTGAACATTTAATCCTTTTTTTCAAACAGAATATATCTTAATTGTTATATTAAAATTTTTATTTGTTCATAAAATTGATTAAACTAATTATATTTATTGTATAAATACTTTTGAGTTGATATGAATTTTTGTTTATCTTCTAAGAGTGTACAAAATTGTTTGCCATTTTCTTTATATTTTTCAAATAAGATCATTCTTATGGGTTCAGCTTATCTAAAGTACATTACTTCAATCTTAAATAATCGTTATAATTATTGTAATATATCAGATACAATTTGTTCATTGATATTGTCATGAATTTTAGTATCTAGAAACATATCATAAGGACATATTAATTAATAAAAGTCATCCCAATTAATATATGAATTATCAGAAGAATATAATTAAAATAAGCAATCCAATTCTCTTTCATTTATATTTTACATAAAATTTCTAAAATTTAAATAGAAATCTACAAAAATACCTAAACAAATTAATAATGTCACATCTCATGATTCCTTTTGTATTTGTAATTAATAAATTATAGATTGTTCTGGCTTAGAAATGGGGAGTTATACTCAATTTTATTCTTTATTCTTCTAACTGATAAGTATTATGGTCTCATACTTGAGTTTCAAAATGACTGGTCATTTTTAAGAGTTAAGCAACTTTGGTTAGGTATTCATTAGATAACATTTTTATTATTTAATAAATAAAATTATATGATCAATCAAATTAAGAGTCATCAAGAAATTTTATCTCTTACAATCCTTAATAAGTAGTAAGTCCCATTTAATTATCAGATTTTGTGTATTCTTTAATTTTCTTACCCTTTTCATTAATCTAGAAATAAATAAAAGATTTAATACTTTATCCATATCTTCTAAAGCATCAATTAATTTTTATTGAGTAGCAAAATGTATACCTTCTTTTTATTATATGAAATTAGCTGAAGAAGGTACAAATTAATGAAATGGTTCTTCTAAATCATTTTATATAATGGCATCAATTCTTCTTACATTAGATATGGTTTATTCAAGTAATCTACGTAGAATAGGATTTTTGGTTGCTGCCAATAGAATTTCTTCTTTATTTAATTCACCATCTCCATCTAAATCAACTTATTTGATCATTTCTTTAATGACCATTTTTAGTTAATATTTATCATTTTCATTTATGATATTTTACTTCAAAATATTAAATATTTCTTTTTCACTTACTTTACCTGATCCATCTTCATCACATAAATCAAAAAAGACTATTCTATTTAAGTTAAAGATAAATTACTTTTTAATTTTTCATCAATTGTATCATCTTTCAAAACTTCTAAACCTACTATTAGTTCTTTATAATCAACAGTACCACTAGAATCTTCATCAAATACATAAAATAATTTTTCTGCTAGATTCTTATCTGCTCCCAATCCAAATGAAATAAGTAATCCTGAAAATTATTCTCTATTTAATCCATCAGGAAAGTCTTTTGCTTATTTTACAATGGATTAATAATTTGTAAATATTTATCTAATAGCATCTTTTCTATTTTTTAATAACCATTAAATAGTTTTCCATTTCATTTTAAATTTAGATTTTGGAGCTATCTTTTTTTTAAATGATTATAAATTAAATCCATAATCTTTTCTAGCAACATTTAACATAATACTAATAGAGCCACTAGCCACAGGCAATGCTTATTAATTTATTTTACTTTGCATAGAATATTTTTGTTTATTGCTTGACTTTTTATCATAAATAAATCTATATATTTATTCCATTCTTAAATGTTAAGGTGCATTGCATTTATGTTTAAATTCTAATTTAAAATTAAATATTTACTAAATAGATCTTAATCATGAGAAGTTTTGATAATTTCATCGAAATTTTCATCTTCAATAGGTTTAGATTTGATAATTTTATTGATGATAAATGATCTAATAGGTTTTGCAGTTGTAATTCTAGTTTGACTACGATTAGATGAAATAGTTTATTATGGAATGGTTCTATTGCTATGAATAGTATTTGCTGTTTTTGCAGATTGTATTCTATGATAATATTCAGTAGGTTATGGTCTAAATCCAGAGATTGAGATAGAGGGTTTATAAATTTACATATAATTTATAAATATAGAATAATCAAATAAATGAATATGATTCATTATGATCATCAATGTAAACACTTGCTTGATGTTTAGAGTTATCTAAATCAATAGGTTCAAATTTAATGATATCGACATTACCCATTTGTGTTACTTTATGAGATCTGAAATAAGATATATATTATAAATACTGCTTAATTGCAATGATAATTCTAGTTATTTGTATGAAGTAACGTAAAAATATTAAAATTAAACCAATTGAATCATCAACTTCAATAATGTTTGTTTTAATTTATCTATATACAATTATAATACAAAGAATTACGAATGCAATTCAAACACGTAATAAAGACTTATTAATATTAATATCAAGAGGAATGCTATCAAATCAATTATATTCCAATTATCCTTAAAGAAATACTAAGATTATATATAAAATTTTAAGATTACTTCTCTTTCTGCAATTATTCTTATACATATATCTATCATTATTGCTAATGTCAATATTATCTCTACTTCTATTACCATATTCTCCTTAAGACTTAATTATTTATTATATAGCTTACTTTTATTCTGGATCAATTATTATCTAAATGTAAAAAGTTCATACATACACTAATATCATAATTGAGAGCAATACCTGCACTACAGAAAACATTAAGTAATGTTTGTGCATTCTTAAATTTGTCATCATATGTTTACAATTTTATTTCATTTTATTTATATTATTATAAAAACTATGCTTTCAGATTATGAATTGTAATAACAGGCTCTCAAATAAAAATTAGCTAGATAACAAGCATAGGAATAAATCAATTCTTTAGAATCTAAACTCTAATGTAATATATTACTATATTATAGAAATTATTTAAATTTAAAAAGAAATAGAAGAATAAGATTGTATTACATTATTTATTATGTAGTCTAATATTAAATTAAATGTGATGATTTATAGAAGAAACGAGAATAGTAAATGAAAGAAATTTAGAATTTAAGAGCATCTTAAGAAGCTGATTTATAAAGGTAGGTATAATCTAGTAACTTAAATTAGAACAAGGAATATGTATAATGAAATGTGGAAGATGGCTGAAAAATTTTAAAAGAAACAATAATAATTTATATATCAATAGAAACTTGATAAAGATTAATTAAAATCCTTTTAAGTTACTTAAACTTCAAAATAGTCTCATTATGAAATGAATAAAGAATTAGTTGTCCCTCATAATCCATTTGTGTTATTATCTTAAGCACAAGGATTTTTAGATTCATAATATGATGCATATTATGAAACTAATTATCCAAAACTATTAGAAATTGTAGAAAAAGAAAGTTTGTATCCAAAAAGTCAAATCTAAATAACTTTTGTAAGTTTCAAACCAGACATGCCTACTTTGGAACAATTTGAAAAAAGAAGATATGAAGGAACAGTTAATTAAATACCATTATCAATGTAATTACTAATAGATTTTTATGATTTTCCTACCTATAAATCAAATACTCTTATATATGAAGATTGTCCAACCATAGAATAAATTAGAGTAATATTATATAATATGATTTTAATTAGAGATAAGTTGGTTATGATTAGGAATTGAAATTAGCATATGAAGATTATTTCACAAATAAAACTTTTGGGAAAAAAGCTTGTTTTGTATTTGAAGTAGAAAATGACTTAAAATTTGTATATTATCTTTTGTTTAAAAATGCATATATTAGAGTATTAGATGCTATAACAGGTGAAAATTATGGATATTGTTAAATACCATTAAATTCATTAATAAGAGAGGATAAAAGTGATGTATTTTCAATTTAAGAAGTTTAAGTATTAAGTTATGATTGGACTATTACATATGGAATATTTACAATAACTATATAAAATATTGGAATCAGTTAAGATTCTAATGTTGCAACACTTACAAATTTTGATCAAAATGCATTTAGTTAAACTTTGAATATTTAATCACTATTATCAGTTACACAAAATGTATATTTTAATTAGGTTATGGATAATAAATCAAAAATTTAAACATAATATGTTAATTTTTCAAAGATTACTTCAGATTCAGCTGTCAGATCAGAAGATAGAATTAAGATTAGAATTTCATAACTTAAACCATAATCATAAATATCATAAGCAAGAAAGAAAATAACTTCAGATAAACCTAAAGATCTTACTGAATATGGACATTAAGCAGTTGTAAATTTGAAAATTAATGATGTTGATGAAAGGATGCGTGTAAATGAAAGAATTAAATCTAAAAGATCAGATGTTCTTACTTATTTAAGTACAAAGGATGATTTTCTAAAATTATAAGCAGTAGAATTGAGTAGAAAATGGGATAGATATTAAATATTAAGTTCAGTATTACCATCTCATATGATACCAAATAATTTATATTTACCAGTAGGAGAGAAATGTATTTAATTTATTGAATATTAAAATGATACTGATGAAGATAAAATTATTACTGTAGAAATATCACCACCCATAATTACATATTTAGTAAATGGAGAAGAATTAGAATCAATATATGAAACAAAAGGGATTGCATTTCATTCAAGAGTTGAAGTTGAATAAGATTCATTTAAATGTCATGCATAATAAAAATGTATAATTGCCATTATATTCTATACTTTAATTGAATTTACAACTGAAATAGAAGTTGCTGTCTATTTAAAATAAAAGTAATAACCAATTTGTGGTTCATTATATAAAGTTATACCTAAATCTTAAGTTATTGATATGAATTTTGATTTTTATCGTCAACCTAATTCATAAATTGAATTATATTTACCTTAAGTCTTTTGTTTTTGTGAAATTAAATATAGAAAAACACCTATTATAATTTGTAATAGAGAAGAAGTTACTTTTGCAATCAATCCTGATGATATGAGAATTAAATTAGAATTGAAAACAGCTGATATTGGTAAATAAATAATACTTTTATTATTTTTCTATAGAGATAAACATTGTCATTATTTATTATTATCAATTTCTGTAAAAATTACAAGTTTAAGTCTTATTAAATTATCAACTATTATTGGTTAAGCAACATCATGTTAAACTGAATTTAAATCTGATAAAAAAAGATAAATCTATTTTCACAGTTTGAATCAAGATAAAATATGGTTTGAATCTCCATTTGATAAACCTATTTGGGTTGAATAGAATCAAATCACTATTATACCTTTTAAGGTATTTTAGATGACTTCAAATTCACATATTGTTAAAGTTAATGCTATGGATTCAACAACCAATGAAATGGTATATTCTTGGCTCTTCCAAATAAGTTCTAATATGCCATAAATTAAAAGAGTTTTTACTTTTGATTGTTATTTTAGATAACCTCATCCTTTCAAAATTACATATGTTAATTCTACTGGAAAAGTATTAAATTTAAATATTGTCTCTTCTTCTTATTTATTAAAGGTTTTTTAATCTTAAGTCAAAATTATGATTGGTGGAAAAGCTGAAATAGAGATTGCCTTTATGAAGGCTGAAGAATATCCCAGTTAAGATTTTAATGTAGTAGAAAAATAAAGAGAAATCCTATTATTCATTTACGAAATTAAAAATAATATTTTTGAATGCTACTTATTTTAATTCAATTTATATGACAAAGAAAATGATAACATTTCTTTAGAAACTACTGATTAGTATAGAAAAAGACCTTTTTCATTATAATCTAAAAAGTGAAATAAAAATGATTTATTATTATTACATTTATATAAATTTAAGTTTTATAAACTAATGGAATTCAATTCAACAGGCATTGTTGTTTAACCTCATCCTACCATTAAAAAAGATATATGGAATCAATTCGTTTGTGAATTCCCTAGATGTTCAAATTAATACAAATTACCTGAAAATCAAAAGGATAGATACAAATTCCTTTCAGCCTTGATGATTGCTAACATTTTTGACACATTGACAAGTTGGCAATAACTAAAAAAACTCTATGATATTTATGAGTTCTTGGGAAGGATTGCAAATGACAAAGACTATCCTCCATTAATGTAAAAACATATTTTAAATTTAATGAAATCATTTAATACACTAATAAGTAATTTACAACCTTTTGATTCTCGTAAAATTGAAAACAATTATTAACACTATTAAAAGATATAAATAGTTTAAGAGTACCTCCAAAAATAAAGAAAATACATATACTCCTTATTAGATCATGAATAAGGAATCAATACTCTTTTCAGATTATCAAGAGGAATAGCATTAAGTTTATATCTTAAACCTGATTATGAAAAGATTACTCCAGTATCAAGATTTATAACATCATTGACTAGAGAAGAGATTATAAAGAAATTAAGTAGTGATGATTTAGAAATTAATCAAAAGAATCATTTTATTTTAGAAGATTATGAAATCGTAGCCATATCACATCTCCTTAGTTGTCCTATACATTTTTTTATAAATTATTTTGAACCAAAATGTAATTATCTCATAAAAAGAAGAATTCATTAATAATAAAGTGAAGAAAAAACTATAGCTTTTTTATTAGATATATAATAAACTAATTTTTAAGTCAGAATACTATCATCTACTCAAGATATTATATATATACAAAATATTATTAATTAAAGAAAATATTTATTTCAAACTAATTAACCAAAAGCTATTGTAGAATATTTATAATAAATTATTGAAAGTATATTAAATTAAGCTACACATGATTTTTCTAATCTTAATAAATTTTGGATTGTAAAAATGCTATAAATAATTAAATTAGGAGAAGCTTAAACATTAATTGCTAATAGATAAGCAATTAAAATTAGTGAATTATTTTCAAGAGAAAGTTATAATTTATTTTAACTTTTAAATTTAGATCCAAAAATGCATTAAGAATTTTTAATTAATTCTGAATAAAATCTTAAATAAACAGAAGAACTTATAGAAAATATAATTATATCCTAAGTAACTATGATTAGAGATTAAATAACAGAAATAGTTAATACGTAAAAGAGACCTTAATCTATCTCTCAAAATCAAATAGTCTCAGGAGATAAAGTTTCAGTTCCAAGATATTTAGTTAATAATTCTTTGTTTTAATAATAAAATAATTAAACTCCAAATTATTTTTAATAATAAAAAAAATTAAATCTAGCTGGCAGATTAATAGCAAAAGATTTAGATAATGATTTACCTGAAAATTCAGATTCAAGTGAAAGAGATTTGAGAGATCGTAATATTTAAGCTAGTTCTATATAAAATTTACCTGTAACATGCAAAGAATATGATACTGAAGATGAAATTGAATTTAAGAGAGCTGATGATCTATAATAATCAGCAAATAAACAAATCTAAAAATATGATTATAATCCTTCTGATGAACATGCTTTAGTTAGACCACCAAAATATTAAACTTAAGAAAATAAATAAAAAAATGATGTTATTTCTTAAAAAGTTTCTGCAAGTTCATATAAATAAATTCAATCTGAAAAGAAAAGACAAAAAAGTGTAGAAAATACAGATTTTGAAGCTAGTTTAAATTTATAAAATGACTATCTTGTTTCTAGTTAGAATAGAGCATCTATAATGAGAGCTCAATCTGATTTAAATGTATTAAAACAATCAGCAAAACAAAGAGATAGTTTAGATTTTGAACCAAAAAAATAGATTATAAATTAAGTTAATAAAATGAGTAGTTCTTAAATCATGAGATCAAGTGTTAAATATGAATAAAAATAGATAATTAATGAATTATATTAAAGTCATATTTCTGAAGTTATGAATGAATCCAAAAGTGAAATTAGTATGATTTAAAAATGGTTTTGTCCAATTTGTTTCACAGAAACCTATTAATTAGATTAAATTAGAAATCTTCATGATGATCATTAGGTTTGTAAGTCTTGTTTGGAAGATTGGATCAAAGTAATATTTTTATTAAATTTTAGGTTAAATTTAATTCAGGATAATGGAATTTTAAATTTTTTAAATGTCCTATATAACTTATTGAAGGGGAAACTATGAAACCTTGTGAACATATTATTGAATAATAGGAAATTAAAAATGCCTTGACTCCTGATGAATTTAGTAAATTAACTGAAAGGGCTATGAAACATGGTATTATTGACATTATATGTCCAAATCAATCTTGTTAAGCAAGTATTAAAGGTATGCCTCCTTAAAATTAAAATGGATTTCTATGTCCATAATGTTTTCATAAGATTTGTTGGGTTTGCAAGTAAATTTATATTTCATTAATTAAAAATTTAGAAATTCAGATCATGGTGATTCAAAATGTCCATAAAGATTAGATGAAATAAAAGTAGCTTTATAAGATGAGAGAGTAAGTTGTTGTCCTGGATGTTTAGAAATTTATATGAAAAATGATGGTTGTGAACATGTTTCATGTACTAATTGTTTAATAGAATTTTGTTTTGCTTGTAGTGCTCATAGACCTCCAATTATTGCACATGGTATTTATAATTAAATTTAAATAAGGGGCTCATTTTCATAGGGTTGGTTGTTAATATAGAGTTCCATGGTGGAAAGATTAATATAAAAAAATAGAAAATTTGGATGAAGAATATTTACCTGATGAATGTGAATATTGTAAACGAAATTAAAAACCATGTCCTCGTCCTATGTCTTTGGCTGATTTTAAGAATTTAGCTCATTTAAACTTTTGAAATATTTAAAAGTTATCAATCAGTACTAATTTTCAGATTCATATATATTATAAAAATATTAATTTGGAATAAATTTTATATTATAATCATTAGTATATTTTCAATACAGAAGTTATGGGATTTCTACAAAGCAAACAATCATTCTTAATTAAACCTTTACAATCTTCACAATAAATATAATGCCCACATGGTATAGCAACATATTCTCTATCCTTTTCAAAACATATTTAACATTTCTTATCATCCTTCATTGACTTTGTTAAATTTGTTTATTAAGTTATCTTCATTTCTATTTTCCATTATAATTATTTTATTTCTTTATTTTAAGGTAGCTCCTATAATTCTTCTTGCAATGTAAATAATTTATCAAGGTTTTTCTCTATAGCTTATAAATTCTTATCTGATGGTTAAAGCACTTTAATATTATCTATTATGGCATTTTTAGTTGACAAAAGTAACTTAGTTGATATTTCTGATTATGTTTGTGATATTTAAACCTATTAAGTCTTGTCATCCATTTAGGATAAAACATTCATTATTCTTTTCTTATACTAATCCAATTTGATACTCTATTCAGATTTAATAGTTTAATTAGAAAATGTTTTACTTATATCTTTTTTAAGTCTATCAATACTTGTATGAGGAAGCTAAGTATGATTATTTTATTTCATATATAATAAATAAATATATTGTATTTTATTATCCATCTAATCTAAAAATGAGATTCTACTTTTGGATAATTTAAAATATATATATATATAAATCATAAACTCAAACTCATTGATTTTCATCTTTAAAACATTTCTGCTTTAGTTGTTCTAATTCATATTTTAATCTTTGATTTTCTTCAATCAATTATTGGGATTTTAAATTCCAATTCTATTATAAATTTGAAATAAAACCTTTGATAAATCATCTAATTATGCAAAGGATTAAATAGAAATTATATTGATTTATTTCAATAAATCCTATCTAATTAAATCTTATTCATCTAATTTTTAGATGTTAATTTAGGAATGTTATTTATTCTCTTCAATTTATTACATCAAATTCTACCTTATATATTGATTTACATTTAATTTTTAAGTATTTTATTCACTCTTTTTTTTAGAGTCTTATTATGCAGAATACATTTCATAAGTTGGGAGTGTAATCAACAATGCATAGATAAGAATTTCGTAAAAGAATTCTACTCCCTTACAAACTTATTAATTTAGATTACTTTTTCTAATGCAACTTCATCATTCATAGGCTTAAAGAAAAAATCACTACTTTTTTTATCAATACCCATAAATTTGCTATCTATTTTTTACTATATTTCAGAATTTCATTACGTCCCATTTATGTTAAAAGTTTCCTAAACGAACATAAAATCTCTTGACCCAATTTGTATGTCCGGATTAAGCTTTCTTTAAATGTGCAGCTTTTGTTCTTGCTATCACTGGCCTAGCAAAGACCCTGACAATCAATGAGAAAACTTTGAATAAGGGCAACATTATTATTAACTATAATAATATAGATAAATAAAATAATAATCAATTAACATGGTTAAATAGTTTTGTTCGAAAAGCTATAAAGAATAATAATTATTCATACTTTTTGAAGGTGGAGGAGAATTACTATAGACAATTTATCTTTCATTTGAAAGCAACCTGGATCGTTCCATTGTACTAACTGTAAATGAAGATTAATTATCATGAGGTTAATCACCTATTATATAACCATATTCTCGAATAAAGTTAAAGAATTTCTAATCTAAAGGCTTTATAAGTTTAATTTAGATGATGTCACTTTTATTTCTAGGACTTCTCTCTTGTTCCTAGAAAGTTGTTGAGTTTATTTTAGAAAAAGATTAATCTGACTCTAAACCTGAAAACAATCTTTTTTAAAGAGAAAGATCCTATTTAGATTGCTAAGAAGATGATCTTTAATCTAAATTAGACTTAGTCGCATTTTGAAACACTTTAATTTAAATTCCCTATTCTCCATCTTCTATTTACATTCCTCTTGTATTTCTTTGTTAAAGATTGTAAATTTATTAAACTTATTAAATATTCTTATTTCCATGATTAGTTGGATTCTTTATAGGTTTAATATCATATTCTTATAAGGTTTTTTATTGCATTTTGTTAGATGCTGCAAATCTCTGTTAGTGCATTATTTTATTTATCTGAAAATAATATATTAAAAATTTAAAGTATTGTTAATCATGTAAATTTACTTTAAATTTACTGAAATTTTATAATTGACTTAATCATTTATATGAACAAGCATGTTCTTCTTTAATTGAATTATTTATATTTAATATTTAGAAATAGAATCTCATGATATCTACTATAATAAGAAAAATAATTTCATTTTTTTATCACACTTAAATAAATAAATTTAATCTGAGATGATTCGTAATATTTTGAAATTTGGATTCTCAACATCAACGTTAAATGAGGAACCAAAAAGTAAATTTAGCTTTTTCAAACTAATCGTTGGATCTGCTATTGGAGTTTATGGTTTTGATTAAGTAAGAAAATATCGTGAATATTTAACAAATACTTTCCTTACAAAAGAATAAATCAATGAATTAGTGTTAAGAAATATGACTAAATTCAAAGAATAACAATTAATAGCTCATCCAATTAATAATATTAATAATATCAAGAATAAAGAAAAAGTAGTTGTAATTGGAGGCGGTAATTATGAAATTTTACATTTAGGAATAATTGGAATCTCATAAGCATTAAAATTATTAAGAATGGGATATAATGTAACTGTTATAGAATAAGCTAATACTGTTGCATCGGAATGTAGTGCTTTTAATGGAAATGTTTTTAATCCAATGTACTTTTTACCATTAGTCACAAGAGTAATTAAAAATAAATTAAAACTAGGATAATTTAATCTATATGATAAAAAACATATTTGAAAAACCAGAGTTGACTACTGTTAGATTTAATATTAATGCTTTCTTAGAAACTAATTTTATTTAATGGGGAATTAATAGTTTATTATTGAGTATGACAGAGTATTAAAAATAAAATATAAAATTAGCTATGCTTAAATAGAAAATTCAAGAAAATAATTAAGAATTGGATCCTTAACTTTGTAAGATATTGAAAAGTTAAGACCTTCAGGATTATTTAAGGGACATTTAATTGCAAAAGGATAATTGGGATTTTTTGCTTCCGATTAAAAAGTTGAGTCATATAGAGATAGATTAGTATTATTAGGAATCCCTCATATTAAAGTTGATTCTTTTGAATAAATTGAATAATTTACAAAATCAGATTTAAAAACTGAATCAAATTTGAAACTCTTCAATAGATTTAAAAAAGCATTAATATTAATTACTGAATCTAATTTGGAAACTAGAGAATTAACACAAACCATGTTAAAGTATTGTTAAGAGAACTTTCCAAATCAATTTGCTATTGCATTTTCAACTTCTGCTTAAAATTTTGTATTAGATGCAGATAAAAATGTAAAAGGAATTCAAACTAATAAAGGGTATATATATATATTTAGTATATATTTTAGAATTGTTTTAGGAGATAGTTTTGTTATATGTTTAGCACATAAAAGTAAATAGTTAGCACATAAATTAAAATTAAATCTTCCAATAGTACCAGCTAAAGGTTGGGCTATGGGAAGAACTGCTCCATAAAATTTCAATTAAACTTTAGTTAAAGAATTTACTTTAAATACTCCAAATTATTTTGCTACAAATCTTAATGGACATTTAAGATTAGCAGGATGTGCTGAGGTTTGCAATGATACTCCATCAACTGATGCAAGTAGTGAATGGGGAGCTATTTAAATATTAAATAGGTTCAATGAACAAAATGGATTTGACTTTAAAATGAGTGATTTTACAGTTAGAAGTTGTTTTAGACCATTAACACCAGATGATGTTGCAATAATTAGTGAAGTGCCTGGATTCAAAAATGTATTTATAAATGCAGGTCATGGATCAAGAGGTATGAGTTATTGTTTCGGAGCAGCTGATATAATGAGTTAAGTTATGGAAGGATCTAAGGAATTTGAAGATTACAGTGTAAAGAGGTATTATTTTATATGATTTAATAATATATTAATAAATATTCGTTAAATTTAATGCAAAAAAAAAAAGGACATTCTAAGAATCTTTCAAAATAAGCTATTGATTTAATTAATTACTATAATAACTTAAGGACATCAATAACTAATGAATTTGCCATGATGAATTTGAATAAAAAAACCTCATTATATATAGCTGATCAACGTAATTCATTTAATAATACTAATAGCAATTGCTGAAGAAGATGTTGAGGATTCTCCAATTAGACTAAAAAGAAATTGTTCTAAGACAGAACATATTAATATCAATATATATACATAAACATATGATTTAGATGAAGAATTACAATAAGATGTAAAATAGTTAAAATAAACTTTGAATTAAAGTACAAATTATCTAATACAATTAGGAATAACTTAATTAAATAGCATAATAAATCAATCAGAAAAAATGAAAAGTCAGAAAAATTAAAATAATAAAGAAAATTAATGTTAAAATAATCAAAATTTTTTCAATAAGATATCCATCAAAAAAAGAGTTTGAAAAAAAAGAAATATGTTTCAATTGTTAATTATTTAGTAGTCATTTTATAATTAAATATAACTTCTCAATCACTTATTTTATTATAATAATAAATTATAAGGAACTAAATTATTATTATAAAAATAATTAGTTCTATTAATTTTTGTAATATTATCTTTTTGGCTAATGCCAATTTCATAAAGTCTTAAGTTAATAAAAAGATTTAATTATGAAAATTTTCAATTATAATTCTCAAAATTCATGCAATCTTTCTGAAAATAATATCAATATTATTAAAAATACATAAAAAGCAATATTCTATTTACAGGTTATTCAATTTCTTATAGATTATATATATAGTTTCATTCAACCTTCTTAGTCTAAAATAATAATTCCTATCAATAAAAATTGTATCACTTAATTTTAATTCTAAATAGTATCTCTAGATTTAAAAATTCAATATTATTGCCAAATTTCAGCATCAATTTGATCATTCTTTAAAGTAATCATCTTCCTTATATTAGTTCATTTCCGATTAGCAAAATTTTTAAGTGAACTCAACTTTAATTACATTATTTGTTAATGTGCTTTATATACTAAATAGTCTATTTTTTTTTAGTTATAATTTAATTCAAATCATATATAATTTCGACTATCAAATTTGACATAGTCTTTCTATTCAATATTATCCTTAAAAAGGATATTAGTATATTAAATCAGGATAAGAAAAATTTTATTTAAAAATATAAAATAATTTAACTTAATTAATCACATAATTATTCTTGCTAAAATGAGATTTATAAATGATAAAACTAGACAATTATTATTTCATTTAATTTTTTTAATTTGATGAAACTATATATAATAACTCATTATTATCTCTTGATAAATTTAGTTTCTTAACTTTGAATTGCTTTATATCAAAACATTCAGTTTTTAATTATAATGAAATTTTTTAATGATCTCAAATGGAAGTTTGATGAAAAAGGGTTAGAAGAGAAATATTAGATAGATAAAGCAAATGAAATCAAAAAGCCAGTCTTTTAATTTATACTTTTGCTTTCTTTCTGTTCCAATGTTACAGTATTAGCACTACACTTTTTTTTTACACCTATAGAAACTTGGTATATAAATGCTATATTAACTGCCCTTACAATAATTTAAGTTATAATTATACTTATATTTAAACAGCTTCAATATATATAAATTGGATTAACATTTAGCAGTATTACTATAGGAATTTTATAACTTAATGTTGACCCTTTAAATACTACTTAGAGTGAATTTTATGTATATGGCTGTATATTTATGTAATTTCAAGCAGTGTTATTTATGATTTCCAATTTAAATCATGCTTTTTTTTAAGTAATTTGTAGCTTGGCTATAAGAACATCAATTACTTCAATATATTCAAATAGACCAGATTATTTATCTATATTTGTAGGTGCTTTTGGATGTATATTAATTCTAATAGCAATATATGTAAATGATAAAAATTCTAGAAGATATTTTATATAAAATTTGAAAGAGAACAATCTAAGAAGATTAGGAAAATTTTTATTAAGCAAACCATATATTAAAATATAATTTATTGAAGATTAATAGATTTTTTAATTGCTAAGTTAAAGTAGAATTAACAAGTTTCCAGGATATAATTCAGAATTATGTTATGGTTGTAATTCAAGAAATATTTTAAGAAATTACAAATCTGATATTGGAAGATTAGAATAGATTTTATTAAATTAGCCATAATTAATTAAATTTGGCAGTGTTTTAATAGTAAAGTGTGAAAAAGTTAGATTTATAATAAAAGTTTGTGCTATAGATCCATAATAGCGCTAGTATTTAATTATTTTTTAAGAATATATATAGACAATTGTAAAGGTTTTAGAATAAGAAAAAGAATAAATAAAATTAAAAGATTTCTTAAAATAAAATCAAGGGTTTTATCATTAAAAAGTATTTAATTTAGGGGCATTTAGTGTATTATTTTTAAATAAATAAGTTCTTAAGAGAATCGAGTTCAAATAACTATTATAAAAAATTATAAGAATATATTAAAGTAAATTTTTCCCAAATATTGAAATCGAAATATAAGTTAAAGATACTTAACTATATATTTGTTAATATTTACATTAATTAAGAATCTTCTTAATTTAAATCGTTGAAATTATATCAGAAATCACTTTAAAAGATAAAGAGAAAGTTCTCATTTATATTAATCAAAATCTCAATAATATTGAAATGAAGTTAGAAGGATTGAATTAATAACTATTTGAATAATAATACAATTAAAATTATTTTATAAGAAAGATTTAAAGTGTATTATTGGATGATTGCTAATTTAATGAAAATGATTCAACATTTTTATTCATAAATTATCCATTGGGGACATTCTATTAAAAAAATAAGTGAAGATAAATTACTGAAATACGAATATCATCATCAAAAAGTAAAATAATATATAATTTTTAATTGTTTCTTTTATCAATTTTAATATAATGAAAATGTGATTAATAAAATATAAAATCTTTATTGAAATGACTCTAATCTCTGTGAAATCATATTAAATTTAAAGATTTATGATCTAGTTTCTTAAGATATTTTATTTATCTGAAAATTTAGTATGAATTAATTTTACAATTGAATATAATTGAAAGTCAAAATTGATTTTTATTATAATAAATAATTTATTTATTATCAATTATAATTAATGCTTTTTTAAAACTAATTCAATTTTTGATTTATCAATTCTATTTTTTATAAGGAAATAGTAATAAAAAAATGAAATACAATTTATTTATGTATCTATTGGAATATCTTTAAAACAAAAGATTTTTTAAATTTGAAAGGTGATATTTCAAAAATCAGAAACAAGGAAAAGTAATAATATTTCAAATCATTATGGATAGATAATGGTTTGAAATATAAGAATAGGGAAATGAAGATAAATATGTTTTATATTGATTAAAAATAAAAATATGATATTTTTAGAAAAGAAAATGAATGTATAGATTTAAGTTAATATAATTTATATAATGAAATAATAATAACCACTAAAAGGAATACCAAACATTAGATCACAATATTATGTTGCTGCTTAAGCATTGAATTCTTAATTATCTTCTAAGATTAGCAAGACTAAGTCAAGTTACATAGATGATTCAAATAAAAGTAAATATAAAAATCAAAATCATTAGTTAAAGATTATTCTTATTTTTAATTATCAACATAGAAAACATAGCCAAAAACAACAGCCAAGAGAGTAAATGTAAGCCTAGATTAACCAAAACAAGATGATTCATCAGTCTTACCTCCATTAAGAAAAGAAATATTGAGATCAAGATAATCATAACCTACTGTCACTAAAAGTAAATAATAATAAAGAAATAATTCGCCTTTACTTCCATTAGAAAGCATTCCTGTAATAGAACCATCAAAAATTTCGCAAAAAAATATAGGGATTGTATGTGCATATGCAGCTAATACTCACTAAGGTCTAGTTAGATAATATAACGAAGACAGAGTTTCAATTATTTTAAATTTAATGAGACCGAATTCAAATACAAGTTAAGGATATTGGCCTTAGAGTTCATTTTTTGCAGTTTATGATGGTCATGGAGGACCATAATGTGCAGATTTTATGAGAGATAATTTACATTAATATGTAACAATAATGATATGAAATAGATTATTAAAGAGGATTGTTTTCCTAATAATCCTAAACTTGCAATTGAAAGAGGAGTTTCAAAAGCAGAGAAAACTTATTTAGAAATGGCTGATCAAAAAGTGTTAGATAAGTCTGGATGTTGTGCAGTATTTGCATTATTTGTAGATAACAATTGTTATGTGGCAAATATAGGTGATTCTAGAGCAGTAATCTCTTAAAGTGGAAAAGGGAAATCAATAACAGTTGATCATAAACCATCAACTCAAGAAGAATAATAAAGAATAACTAAATTTGGAGGATAAATTTATTAAACATAACTTTAATAATTAAATGGTGAAATTTAATTAGGACCACATAGAGTTTTACCAGGAAGATTAGCTGTTTCAAGAACATTTGGAGATGCTGAAGCTAAATTAACTAAATATGGAGGAATTCCTAATGTTATTTCAGCTGAACCAGATATATTTTAGTTATAAATTACGGATTAAGATTTTTTGATTTTAGCATGTAATTTTATCATTTGATTAAGGTGATGGTATATATGATAAAATGAGCACTGAAGAAGTAATTTAATGTGCTTGGAATGTGTAAACATCAAATATTCATATTTTTGGAGGCAAGGCTGTAGAAGCTATTATGAGATAGTCATTATAAAGAAAAACATTCGATAATATAACAGCTGTATTTATCGGTTTTCCTTAACTAGAGAAAAAGTTAAAAAATAAATCATAAATTTAACAATGATACTGTATTTCAATCCATTATCTTTTGTTACATAATTTAATCTTTATATTTATCAATATACTTTGGTTTGAGTTCAGTCTTTAAACGAAATCGATTTACATTATTAAACCTTTAGTGGTTTTAACGAATTAAAAACTTTAAATTCTTTTTAATTATCATTAAACAATATCGATATATGGTTTTTAAGCGATATTATTTTAATACTTCATTGATGTTCCACTCTGGGTCGAAATAATTGTAATTTTTGATTTCATCAATATCAAAATTTTAATTTATAGTTAAATGTATTTCTTTTTATTTAACCATTGTTTAAGATTTAATTCTTCTAGCTTACATCATTTAATAATATTCAATTAAGAATTAATTATACATAGTTTTTTATTTCTAATTCCTAGTTCTCAAAAATTTAACTTTTGGTCTCCTTAATCTTAAAGATATATAATGAAATTATTAACAATATTTTATTATGTGACCTTTACGATTGCAACCATAACATTTAATATCTAAATCTAGAGAATCATTATTTTCTAGTTTTTGTTTTATCATATGAAATTTTTAGAATTGTTCATAATTCAACTATTAAATAAATTATTATCTAGATAATTTAACCAAATTTGTAGTTTCAGTTGTTATGAGTTCAGCTGTTCTTGGAATATTGGAGAAGAAATTGATTATTCCAAAACATTTATCTGCATATTCAAGATGTATATTATTAGCCATAATAGAGACTTTACCTTAAATAAGATAATAAATATGATGCTCGTCATTAATTTTAGTTTCAGGAGGAAGAACTTAAAATAGTGTATAAGCATACTATATTCATTTAGTTTTATTGCTTTAGTCATTGCAACAGGAAGTGTTTTGAAGAATCTTAAATTCATTTAAGTGATAACTTGATTTCTTAATTCTTCTGAGAGATCACATATAACTAATGAGGATCTTACTTCATAATCATTTTCTACTACCCATTCTAAATAATTTTATATTTTATGTCTCAAATGACCTGAACAACCATGAGTTTTAGTGTATTTATTAATGATTTATTGTTTCATAATCAATTCTGATAATTAAGGATCTTGATATTGAAATATAGAAATCATGCTATTTGCTGTATATCCAAATACACCTGAAGCCAAAACCATTGCAAAAATAGCATAGATTTATTCTTCTGCTGTCTCTGGATGGACATCTCCATAACCAACAGTGATCATTGTTGTAATTCTAAATTATCATTTCTTATATATATAATACGTGAAATAGAAGGATGTTAAGTAATCATAACCATCTTGATTTGTTAAATTAAATATACAGGCACTCCAATGAGCCAAAACTACTATTATAAAAGTTAATTTGATAAATTCCATAAATGATGAGAAGTCATTTCCTAAAAATGTCTCTAATCTTCTGATTAAGAGCTTCAATTTAAAAGCTTTAATCATTTTTATTACTTTAAGAAACTTGAAGAATCTCAACATTCTAATCATTTACACATTGCCTCCCTACCATAATGCTGATATTTACTTCAACAAAATAATCATATGGTAATGAGCTAATTAAATCCAACCAAAACCAGAATTTTAGATAATTGCAGATAATGGTTGATCTCTTTAATATTATTTTACCATCTATATATATAGCACAATTAAATTGAATAAGAATATCCACTAAGAAGAAATTATCCATAATTTCCATGAATAAAGAAGTTCTATCATCAACAATCTCAAATGATAAAATAAGAGGTATGATCATCATTTGAATTACAATAAAAAGCATCGAGATAATATCCCAAACTAATCTAAAAGGATGGTTGGGTTACCATGGAGGAGGAATGAGAGTTGTTTTAACTTTTTGTTTTGTTTCTGTTTCATTTTTTCTAAGAAACGTATGAAAATCATGAGTGTAATCTTCTCTTAATTATTTTTCAATATTCATATTAAATATAATAGTTTTTTAAAGCACAATTCATCAATAAAATACCATCAAACAAAAGAATATCATCAAATTTAAAATTAATTCTTGGCAAACAGAACTATCTAAATCACAGTCTACTTAAGCTAACTGATATTGTACAGCAGCCATAGCCCAACTTGGTGTTTAAGAATTTATTACTAAAGGAGCATTAATATCCCTAATTTAAATAAATATCATTTACATTGTGTCTGGAATATTGTATCCAATGGATAATAATTAATGAACATAAAGTGATAAGAAAAAATTAGTGGCTACATATGGATTTGAAGAATAAGTAGTATTACCCTAAACTTATGACCAGCTCATTTTACAGAATTCTTAAGCTTATTTTAATAATTAAGGTAACTATTGTTAATCCATTTACGTTATACTTTAAATGTACTAAGTTAAAGGAAGTTAGCAATTGTTGCCACTCCACTTATAGCATAAATAGAATATGAGGATGGTAACTAAGGTTAATCTATAGTATTTATTCCACATAACTCATCTTTTACTGTTCGACATTAACTATTTAAGAAAGATTATATTAAGGCTTAGCATTATTCTACATTACCACTCCCTGATAAAGAGTACTAAACTTTTTAATAAGTCCATTAAGAACTGTAACCTTAATGGTAACATGGACTTATAACTTATGTACCAATAATGCTTTTTGCAAGAACAGCATCTCTGGCTTAATCATTACCATAACCAAGATAAGATATGGCATATAAATTAATTTCTTCATCTGGCATTTTTAAAGTCACAATGTCTGATTCATATTACATGTAATCCACTTTGAATGCAATCTAAGTAGAGGCTCCCCCCAAATCTATTGTGATTAAACTTCCATCAGTATTCCCCAAAAGATACTTTACACCTAACCAAAGATATGTAGCCTATGCGTTTTTCTAAATTACAGTTACCTCATCTTGACCAGATATTATTCTAGCCCAGTTATTATTTTGAAACAAATAACCACTCATGCTCAGTTACTTTCTGATCTCATCTATAAGTGCATTTGATTTATTGATATCTAATAATCTCATTCCAGCTGTTGCCCCCATAAAAATTGGTGTATATTCTTTTTGTGTTGTAGGCACTTTAGAATTAATGAATTCAAATATGGGTGTTAAATATGCTTAAATCTCATCTGGATATTTTGTAGATACACCTGGACTTGTCTTTAGTTATTGTGACTAATAAATTTTTAAAATTCAATTTACTTCTTAAGTGATGTCGGTTAGAGGATAAATTTTGCTTGTTCTACATGGCCAAGAATATATCGTTGTTTTTGTGCTAGAAGATCCACAATCCAAAATTACACCATAACAAGTCTCATCTGCCTAAAGAAATCTTTATCCTAAACAAAGTGAAGGTAAAAGTAAATATAAAAACATCTTTTATTTATTTAAATATTAACATTATCAAATTCTATTGCTCCTTATCATGTCCTTTAAATAATATAAAATTTATTAAATGATATGACATTCATCTTTAATATTATTATTTGTAAATTTACCTCATATTATCTTAAGAATAATCAATTAAATAATCTAAAGTATATAAAACATCAAATTTGTAAAATCAGAACACTATTGTAATTAATTTTATTATCAATTAGAATAAACCTTAATATTATAAAAGGATTTAATTACATTATTCCCTTTTTTCTTTTGAAATCTAGAATGATATTTGAAGTCCCAAAAATCAATCATATTATTATCTGAAATATTCTTATTTTAAAAGATAATAGTAATACATGTATATATAATTAAAAATAATTGTAAAATTGAATAATTTTCTTAAATTTCTTTTAACATCTTTCTTTTAAAAATTATATAGAATTGAATTAATCTTCTTTTAAACCCTTCTTTCAAGGACAATAATATTATCATAAAATATGAGAGAATATTATGAAATTATTAATATTTTAGTTTTATTAATTTATTTATACAAGGCTTATTTTGTCAATAAAATGTACTAATTTAGATCTTCCATATATTATGAACCAAGTGATAGCGGCAGTGTCAAGTCGGTTTAGGTTGGAAATGCCAAATAAGATTAAGTTAGATATCTTACAGATTAATTATAAGCAGTCATTATGTTTAACGAAAAGCTAGAAAAAGAAATTAATTCCTTAAAACAATAAAACCAATAATTAAAATAATCTGTTGTGGATAAAGATAGATAAATTTAAGACACTCAAGAATCCTAATAAAAAACAATTAGTAAATTGCAGTAATATAATCGTTTATACTTTTAGTGTTCTATTATCAGAAAACAAAAAATTGTAAGAAATCGTTATTTCTACAAATAAAAACTTAAAAAATTCCAATAACAAAGTCTAATAACTTTAACAAGAAAATACTGTTTTAAAATAAACAATGCAATAATAAGAAGAATACCATGTAGAAGAAATGAAAAAAAGAGCTAATGAACTTGAAGAACATTATTAATTGATGTAAAATATTGTTTCTGATTTAACATAATAAGTTTCATAATTATGTGAGGAAAAATAAAGACTTTAAAATGAATTAGACGAAAAAAATAAATTACAACCAAAATGAATGTTTATTATTTTGATAAAATTGATTAAAAAATTATAATAATGTTTTTAATCTTCAAAAAAATACATAATAAAATTACATATAACTTATAGATTTTAATTTATATACTGAGAATCAGACATTGTACAAGATATCTGTATATTTTATAATTCTTTTTTATTATATACATCTATTAATAGCATAATAAATTAAATTAAGAATTCGATTTATTGAATTTTCTATAAGTAATAAATATAAGGTTCAATTAAAACAATTAAATATAGTTAGTCTTAATAAAATAAGAATAAAAGCAAAAATGCTTCAAAAATTATCACAATTCTTATTCATTGTAAATAATATTCTAATTTTCTATCAACTTCTCTAATATTACTTAAATTTGTTAAATTTAATATTTTTTTAATTTTATCAACTATTCTTAAATACACTTCTTAATCCACTATTAGACAAGCTCCTTTATGATTCAACTCACCTTTATTACATCTAAAATATTTGCATAGTGTTAAGACTATATCCTTAAATTTAAAATAAAATTTACTTCATTTTATTATGCTTATTTTTTATGTTCTAAATATGATTATAAAATCTATTTGATAAATTTCCAAACTTCCTTTAAACTTGGATCTGATTAACAAAAATAATCTTAAGGAGCACATTAAATAACAAGATCTTTTAAACATCTAATAAATTTTTCGTTTTCTTTAAACTATTATTTTAATGATTTCACACCTTCAATAACCTCCTGATTTAATAGACTAAAGCTTGAATTTATATTTTTGCTATCTATAGTTAAGTTAAGCTCATCTGCTAATTTTTTAAAAGTTTTTTCAAATTGTGTTAAATCACATTTCTCTATTACAGATATCTAATTATTAATTGAGAGATTATTAAATTCAAGATTTTATTTGAGTTCATGAAGCTATTGTCTAAATTGATCTACTTTAGCTAATAAAGCTTTATTTTCTCTTTCAAGTTATGAACACATACAATCTTTTTTAGATATAAAGTGTTAAGGGTTTGCTAATAATAGAATAAATTCACATATTACATTAAATAAGAGGTTTTTCTTATCTTATATCTATTAATTTTCTAATATCTTTTTGATTTTTCTTTATAGATATTATTTCTTTATTTTTTAATTAGATTTCTTATCTACATTCCTACAATTATTATTCATAGATTTCAATTTATCTAACTTGTTATTATATAATCTTATTTTTCTCATTTATTTATAAATCTATTTATTGAGTCATATTTTTCAAAGTGCTTGTTAATTATTTTTATAGTTCATCAATTAATTTATCTTTGGCTTCAATTTTTTAATATAATTCACCATAAATTTTACAAGGAGACATCTATGATTGAATAGATAGTTCAGTTATTTTTGAGAGATCTATACATTCTTATAATTCATTAATAACACTACTAAAATAAATTAATATTAGAAATTACTTTTAAGATTTTCGAGTAATAACAGTATCACAACTTTCAAATCTAAATTTAGGCGATAAAAATCCAGGATCATTTTCTTTTTAAGAAATACTATGTTATCTTTTAGTTTTTAAAGGTTATAATTATGACTAATCTGTGTTGTTTCCGAAAGTATTTAATGCTTTTGTAAAATAATCATGTTCATATGATTTAGATCGAATATGTATAGGTATTGATTCAATTTTATTGTTTTAAGATTCATAGTTTTAGAGAACATTAATTTCTGGTTGTTTAGTGTTATATTAAAATTCTTTCTTTTTCTAAGGAACATAAGTAAGTCTATTGTCACAATCAGTTTAGTATTAGACTTACATATTTTGTATTTATTTCAAATTTATTTTACAATAATTTGATCAACTGATATTATATTATTTTTATTTAATATTCATTGATTTGCTAAGCCCCCTACAAAGCAAGCTGCTGTAATTCTTGCTTAGGTATTTATATTCAATTTGATGTCACTAAGATCCTTATCTATATTTTCTACATAATCTATAATAAAATTAATAATCCCTTGAACACTGTATTTTTCTAAATGAGAATCTAAAATCAAGAAACTTATGTCATATCCCTAAAAATGATAAGATAAAAAACTTACAGGGATTGGTTTCCTTCTTAATATTTCAAAATAATCAGCCCTTACAGCTAGATACTTGGCAAATTTCTCACCTATTAATCTATCAACTTCATCTAAAGCTTTAATTGAAAAGCTTATCTATAGATTCTATAATATAGAATTACTCTTGTTGAATTAATTGAAGGTTCAATAACACATTTTTCTTTTTCACTTCTACATAAATATATAGGTGACAAAACTAATTGTCTAGTTTTGGATGAATAACTAAATATTAATAGAAATGAATATTATTACCCATTCAATTCAATTTCTGGTTTACTTTATTTTTCAATAATTTCTGATGGAAATGCTCTTAAACATAATGTAGCCTCTAGTGTTTTTCTGATGGCATCTGAATAGACTTGAACTGCAGCTGCCATTAGTATATTGTTTTATTAAATTTATATATATTTTCAGTATTAGATTTAAAGATGTAATTTAATCATAGGTATTATAACTATAAAATTGATATAAGACTCATCAGACACCTCTATTTAGATTAAGTTGAAATTTTAAAGAAGTTGCAAGGACTTTATATTTAAGATAAATAATATTTCATTGAATAGAGCAAATTAATAAATGAGTATTTAAAGAACTTAATATATGCAAATTTTAAACAAAATAATTATGGATAGTTTTATTACTGAAAATTAAATCAATTGAATTCCAACTAGAGTAAAATAGAGTAATTAATAAAATAAATATAAGATTTTCCAGATTTAAAAGTTATAAATCAATTTCATAATTCTATTTTTAGTATGATTGAAGTAAGTAGAGTAGAAATAAAGATAAAATTTGTTATTGATACTAAAAGTATTTAAAAGTAGAAGAAAATGAATAAAAAATATAGTCTAAGAATTAAATAAAAGAAATTTTATAATTTTAATGAAGCTTTCGTTTAAATATATTATTACTAATTTTATGATGAATAAGAAGTATAAAGTTTTGAATATCAAAATTATTTAGGATCTAATGAATTTAAAAGTAAATCGAAAAGATATAGATAAATAAATTTACTGATATATTATAATTATAGTTATAAAATAATAATAAAAATTAGAGTTTTGAACATAAAATAAATAAACTAATCATAATAACCCAATATTCTGTATTATGATAGGCTACTTCCACATATTTATTTATCGTTAAACTAATACTTTGAACAAAAATTTATAGCTAAGCCCAAAAAATTTTGAAGGGTAAGAATAAAATTTTATTAAAATATTTAATTTCCAAATATAATTTATTCTAAAGCTATCATATATAAGGAATATTAAATTTAACTTGCTAGTTTAGATGCCTCAAGTATTAATAAATATCAAGAGAATGCAAAATAATTGAATAAATAATTTCAAAATGAAATCAATTCTTCTGTCTGTTATGATGATTTAGATTAACAATAATGAATATATTTAAAACAAATATGGTTTTGTCTAAATCATATTAATATTTATATAATAATTTAAAAAAATATTATAAAAGAGGAAATGATTTGTTAATGCTTAATCGTAATATTTTATCTTTTTAACAATCAAACGATTTACAATAAATAAAAAAGCTGAAAAATTAGAAGATTAGCCTTATTTAGATGATTCTCCAATTATTTTTTAAGTATTATCGTTATAAATCAATTTTATAAATTTTTCCTTACATTCATTTTTTAGATTGATACTTTAAAGGATTAATCAGCAAAGTCAACTTTAATTGTTGTTTTATCTTCATTTAATCTAAATTTGTATAAATCTTATTGATTATAGTTTAAACCTGGTAATTATAGTTGTATTCATCTTATATTATATATAATATTTATTATTATTTATTACCCTAAATTAGCTTTCATATAACCTTTATTCAATTAAAAAGTTATTAAATACCTTCTGATTTAAGTATCATCCTCTCTCAAACATGCTTAATTATTAAGAATTAGCATTCGTATTAGGAATTAAGTCATCAGATACATAATGTTGAAAATAATATTTGGACTAATAATGCAGTTTTCATTACTGAGTACAGCATAACATTATTTGGTTGTGATTAAATACCCACTAAATATCATTTTATCAAACTATTAGATGAGAGGAGAGATATACAGATTTCTTTCAATATTATTCTAAAGGAAGATACAATAATTCTACTATAATATTTGCTGAACCATTACAACTATTAAGAATCTCCCAAAAAATACTCCTTTAATTTGTACAAAGCAATCTAATATCATACTTTTATAGTATACCCATTTTAAATACTAAATTGCTCAGTATTAATCCCTTATTTCCTTATTTAAAACTGAATATCTCTTGAGCAAAATTTTCATTTATTTAGAAAATTATGGGCATTTGCAATTCGAAAAAACATATTTAAAGTACTATGAACACTAATCCAACTTCATAATATTCATCCAATCCTTCGATTCTATAAAAAATAACTAATCAAAAAGAAAGCTATTAAAAACCAAATAGGAATTTTATTGTTTCTTCCGAACCTTAAAATTATGATCCAAAAAGTAACTAATTTTTCTTATAAAAGATCCTCATCGATAATTTAATGTACTTATAAATGGAGTCAGATTTGAAATCATTAATTCGATAGAAGACTGTATTATTTCAAATGAAGAAATTGAAGAGTGAATAATTATTGAATGATGTTTATGTATATGATTATATGATTATATGACTAATTTTTATTAATTAGAATGGATTGAATTCTTATTCTTATTTATTTTAAAAGTATTGAAAACTTTTCATAAGATCTCTTTTAATGAAAAGTATTTATAATATAGAAAAGCCTAAGTCCTAATGCATTATATTTCTTGAAAATTGAAGAAGAGACGAATTTTCGAAATTGTCAAGCTTAAATTGATTAATTATTTTCTATTTTGTTTCATTAAATTAAATTACTTGAATAAATATTTCAGAGATCAGCAATACTTCTTCTAATCAACTTTTATCTTCCCATTAAGCTTTCATCAGCTTGTTATTACTATAACAAAATAATCTAATATATATTTAGAATATATACTTATGTTTAAAATGATTTTTTCAGGTTCTCCAATTAATAAGAGTAGGCCTATTCTAATCTCTTCTTTTAATTTTCCATCATTTGACTGAATTACATATTATTAGTTTAGGAATGTATTTCTAATTTATCTAATAGTGCTTCTTATTCTCTTATAGTATTATTTTAAGATTAAATTATTAAATTTTACTTGTAAGTTTCTTCCTTTAGTTCATTGTACTTTATTGTAAGCTAAACTTAATAAATATTTGAATACTTATTCAATAGAACTGCGAAGCTATAATATTTGGCATTTTTGATTTTCTAATTCATTTTCATATTCCTAAACAATAACATCATAATTATTTTGAAGAGATTTTTATTACAGTTAATTCTCATTAAGATTTTGCTCTTATGAATTTTATAATTTCAATAATTCTACCTTTAATTTTTATATATCCTTCTCATTTTAATCAAGTATTGAGGTTTTATCTAATATTTCTAATTTTAACAATTAAATTTATGAAAGTTGATTATTTATTTATTCGTTAAGCTTTTTTTCTTTTTGAACTAATTCATCAATTTTAATAAGCACTTCTTATTTTTCTTTTCCATGTTGCTTTAATAATTTTGTATAATAGTTCTAAATTTCTTCTATACGTAATTAATGTTATTCATTTAGTAAATCTTCTCTTTAAGGCTGCTCTTACTTTAATTAATTAATTTCTTCTTAGTATTTATTAATCAATGATAGAATGTCTTGAGATTCCTTCTTGAGATTTTAAATCTTTAAGTTGCTAATTTATTCTTCCTGATTTAACTGAGCTCGATATTTTGAGTTAGTCTGAATTAGTGTTTCTATTTCAGCATTTTTTATTGCAATTATTTCTTTTAATTTGTTAATTTCCTATTCATTTATTTTCTACACTCCAATAAATCCTTATTTTTGTGTCTCCAATAGACTTTCATATTATTCTTTTGTTTTTGTTCTTATCAATTCTAATTACATTTAATGGTCTTTAAGTAAAATAGATTATTTATTTCTTATATTTTCTAATTCAGATCTTAAATGAACACAATCACAACTCATCTTTTTTTATGATAAATAATAAATGAAATTTTTTAGTATAATTTTTAATCACTATTAGTTATTTTTCTAATTCAAATAATAAAAGAACAAATAATAGAATATTTGTTGATCAAAAAACTTAAAAAGTTAAATGATGTAGTTTTCATAAAAAATAATCAATTTTAATTTTATTTTTTTTCAAAATACTTAAGAATTGAGAATAAAACAATTAAAGAACGTTTGAAATACATATAAATTTATTATTCACTTTTTTGTAGTATCATATTCAGTTTACACATACAATTCATCTTCAATAATCAATATTTGATTAGAAATACTACCCTTTGTATTTGATAATATATTTTCAATTTTTTCTGATTCTATTTATTAATTATAATTAAATATAATTGATAAAAATTATTAATTTATTTAAAACAATACTCATCTATTAAATTATTGTCTCATATCAATTCTGATATATATTGTTATAAAGATTCAATATTAAATAATCTTGTTTTTAAGTACCTTTAAAAATTATTAGTTCTTTAATATAAAATATTGAGAATTCATTTAATTATAGTCTAGTGTATGATATATATTTATTTATTAAATATTCTTAACTAAAACAAAGGTATTTTTGTATTTAAATTTATTTCCCAATAATTATGAGGCATTTTGTTTATTTTTTTATATTTTAGCAAAACTTTCTTTTTTACATTACAAGTTATTGTAATATTATGATCTATTGGCTATTTTCATTAGTAATTATATACAATAGACAAAATATTAATTCTTTTACTTTATAAATTATTCAGCAAACATTGTATTTATTATTTTAAATTGATCATTCTTTGAAACTTATAATTTTAATATATATGAACAACAAGGCTTCATTTTATTATATTATAATTTATTTAAAATTAAGTAAATTAAAAAATAACGACTTCTTTATTCTGCAAAGAAAGATAGATGATTTCTAAAGAAAGCAGGAGGATTTTAATTTTTTAATTTGAAAATAGGTTATTAATTATAATTGGATGATTATAGAAGAAGGATACTTACATCTTAACTAATTACATATGTTCTAATTGTATAATTTATTTTCTAAGCTTTTATGGAAAATTAGCTGGCATAATCTGAAAAATTGTATAAACTTAATATAAATTATCAATATTAGTATCTGTAAATATTTCTACATATTAATAATTAAATTTATTTAAAAGAATGGGAGTTTGTGTTTCATAAGAAAAGAAAAATAAAAGCTTCAAATGTGCTACATAGTCTTAATTAAACCTTTAAAATTTTATGATAACTTAAGATAAATAAACGACTACTTTATATCACTCAACTAAAATTCAAGCATAAGTTTAACCAAGAGAATATGATTATACAAGTCACTAATATCTATATATCTTTAGATCCGCATCGATAATACAATGTATTACTAAATGGAGTTGTTTTTGCAGTTGTCAATTCTGTTGAGAGGTCTTTTAGCGACGAGCCAATCAATAATGAAGGTTGAGATATGTAATTTTATATTCTAAGAAAATTCTATCATCATAACTCGGATTTTCAAATTTATACTACTTAGAATTCAAATATTACATTTGTTTCTATTCATTATATCTTTTAAATATCAATATTATTAAACATATTATTACCAATCAATAGAATTAGATAGTACTAAAAGAGAATTATATAATTGTCAGAGAAAAGTAATCAAAAATTAGAGGATTATCAGATTATCTTTATTTTGAAATACAGATAATATCATTTTTCATATTTTTTCACAAAAACATTTGATATATTCCAAATATTCCAATAAAATATCTTGTATATTTTGTAGAGAAAAAGCTTTCTTGTGGTTTCTCTTCAAGTTACCATAAACAAGCTTCTATTTAATTTAAATTTAATGATTCTTTATGGTTCAGATTCTTTTTCTAAAGAATTATAGATTCTCTTAATATGTCTACATTTGTTTTGTTAAAAAATGAACATAATTCTCTTACTATTAGGATTAAAGATATTTCTTGAATCCTAATAAATGAGAAGAGCTCAAAATAAGTTAAATTAAAGAGTGGTATTCTATTTTTAATAAATCAATTACTTAATAATTTCTGTTGATAATAGAAATGATGCTTCTATCGAAAAAATAGCTAATATGACATATAAAACAGAATTGATTATCTTTTCATACTACTCTTAATAAAATAGTGGAAAAAATATTAAGAATACTCCTAATTAGAAATTAAACGCATTTATTATGTAGCCTTATTAGAAATGTTCTGATCTAAGAAGATTTAAATCATCATCTTATATGTTATACTTTTCGTAGAACAATATTCTTTCATTATTTTTTTCAATCTTTGGACATTCTATCTAATGACAACTAGGTGGTTTTGTTGCTAAGAAAATAAATATCTAAATTCCAATTATAATAGTAAATATTAAAATTCTTGATTTCTTGGATAGTCCTCCAATAACAATATTTATTCCAATAGGAAGAAGGGTTAGATAATTTTGAAAATTCTTATCCATTAAATATAATTGATAATTTATTAATCTATAAATTAATACAATCCCTCTACATAATAATCCATATAAAAGAAATAAAGATGAAGAAGAAACCTTGGAAATATACTAATTTCTAGTAAAATTTATAATATATATATATATATTGTATTTATTTAATTTCTTAGAAATCAATATGTTAGATGATATTTCTAGTTCAAAAAGTTGTTTGGAACAAGATCTTGGACCTGATAATTAATCACATTTCTTAGAAAAGTATTTTTATGACTTAATTACTGATAATTGTGATTAAATATTAACAAATACTTTATATAGATCTTTAATTGAACAAATTTCAGATAAGAAAATATTAGAAACTATATTAACTAGATATATTTAGGATTAAATTGAATTACAATAACGTTAAAAGATTCATTCAAAATACTTTTTTGCCAAACAAGTAGTTCCTTTTAAAAAATTAATCTAATAATTTAGATAATTATTAGTTCCAGAAGACAATATTAGTCAGACAAGTAGTACATTAAGTTAATCATTTGAAAAAAAAAATAAAAGTGGATTTTGTTAGAATTCAGAATTTATAGAACTTTATGAAAATGAATACTTTAAAGAAATGAATGAACTTAACAAAGGAGAGCTTATATACATAGATGTTAAGTTTCGTATTACAAATTCATAATTAAAAGAAGAACTATACAAAATCAAATCTCATATCTTAAAATAATTACTTTATTAAACTAATACTGATGAAAAGTAAAAATTTATTATTATTACATAGTTTTTTTTAAACTTTTAATGATTATTATAGATTAAAAACAATCACAGTACTTCTGTTTGTTAATGGAGATATTAATTTTGACTATGAAAAATATTTTGATTTAAAAGAATTATATGTTGGTTAAAAGAAATTCTTGATTAAACTTAAAGTAAATCTTTTTTTTTATTATATAGGTTTGTTATGTTTCAACAAATAGACTATATTCTAATTTTTGTATTTCAAATAACATTATTAGCCATACGATTACACAATAAAATATGGCATTTTATGAATTGAAAAGGTATGGTTAATGTAAAGTTATTATAAATAAAACTATTGGAGAATTAAGAAAAATGAAATAGAAAGCAAATTATAGCATTTTTAAAGATTATAGATTTTACATTTTAGCAATAGGGGGTATGACAGCTATTGGATTATTATGGAATACTTTTTCTAAGAAAGAGATTTATGATAGAAAATTATTAAGATAATAATGAGTATACTGTTATTAATTTATAAATTTTATTTATTTAACTGCTAATAGAATGAACTAACCAAATCATGTTATTTCAGAGAATCTCGTGATTTCATAACCACTTTATGATAATGATTAAGCAGCATAATCTATATATGATAAATACTTAAAAGACTGTTCTTCGATACCTATCAGATTAATAGAAGAATCAAAGGAAACTTAAGAAAGACCCTTTGCAGGTACAAGATAAAGTAGTTAACAACAATAAAATTAAAGAAATGGACATAATATATAAGAATTTAGTTCTTTAGAAAGGGATTAAAGAAACAGAAACTAATAAAATATGTATTAAGCAAATTATTAGTAAGATTAACAATATCAATAATATCAAAATAATCAATTAAGATATCCTCATTAAAATATGTATTATCATTAAAGATAACATAATTAATTATAACATTACTATTATGATTAATATCATTATCATTAACATAGAAGGAACTAATAAAATTATAGAATGGAATAAGAATATTATGGTCATCAAATGAGAAGGTAAGAATAAGGTCGAAGAAGAATGCATCCATAACCAAAATATGGATTAGATTAAAATGAAATTGCTGCTTTGAGTGAGATTGTATATAGATAGAGTAGAGCTTCCTGTTGGGATGATGAAAACAAGAAATGTAGCATATGTATATCTCATTTTGAAGAAAATGAAAAAATTAGATTTTTGCCTTGTTTACATAGGTATTATTGTTAATTTATTTTTGATTTCATTCAGGGTGTGTTGATTCTTGGTTGTCCACTAAAGGATCATGTCCTTTATGTAAAAAGTATGTCCGATCCTTAGTTTAATAATTTTCATGAAACAAAAACTATATATTATAATTACTTCAAAATAATTTATTATAAAGATTAATAATTATTGATAAAGAAAATACAAGATAGAAATCATTTGTTTAAATTATCAGGAAAAAATTTCGTTTTTTAAGAAACAAATTTTCTTTTGACTTTTACTGGGAGTTGTAATTCATCCTCTTCTTTTATAACTTCTGTAGCTATTCTGCCATTTTACATATTAATAACCTTCACACGCTTATAAAATTCAACTTTTCTTTAAGCATTTAAGTCATCTTAAAGTGAATTCTCAGTATTTATCTATAATATTGGAGTTTCTAAATTTGTTTAACTTAAGTTTGAATTCTTTATTTTCCTGCTGAATCTATTTTAATTGGATCTTTAGGATTCTTAATTTGGAAAACTCAATTAATCCTCTATCATTTTAATAAACATTTGTGATTCTTTTCTTTATTTTTGAAGCCCAGGCAATATGATATGAGAATCACTGTGAGAATTTTATTGAGAAAAAATATTTTGCAATTAGACTTTAAGTTAATTGTGTTTTGATTCAGGCATCAGGTTTAATGGTTTATTAATTTGTTATGATGAGTTTTATTAAATTTTAGGGAATCGTATATTAATTTCTTATACTCTATCAGTCTATGCCCCTTATTGATAAATACCTTCTGGTTTATGATGTGTAAAGAATTCTTATTCTCTATCTTTATGTTATTCTAGATTATTAAGAAATGAAGCAGGCTTTAAAGACCTTAATATTTAAGAATTAGATTAAGGAGTATATTCTACTTTTAAATCTGGCTATGAAGCTATTTTATGATGTAAAGTTAGCATAATTATTAATTATAAGTCAGAAAAAACTTGAAATTTATAATCTTATCACATTATTGGATCATATATTTATTTATAATTTCTAATACTAAAGTTGTATTTGCTGATTTTAATTGATATATTCAATTTCGTACTTTATATTATATACATTAAAAGATTAGAGGATGGATTTAATGATTATAAAATATTTCTAATCTAAATTAAAATTATATATATATAAATCAATCCAGATTAAATAAAAAATACAAATTTGGCAATTAAAAATAATTGATTGACCATTATAATAAAATTCAAGAATTTTGTTCAATAATTTCATTATTCACACATTATTTATTTTGTCTCCTGGTTTTTTTATTTTTTATTTTATGTCTTCTTTTTTTAATACTTTTTGTAACTTTTCCAATTTTCTTCTTTACTGATAAAGGATTTGGTCCTTTTGCTGGCTTCTTTATTTTTATAGCTAGTTCTTAAGCTAATTTTCTTTCTTTTTCCATTCTTTTTTCTGCTTATTATTATTTAATTTCCTTCTTTATTGGCATAATAATCTATTTCTCTTATTCATTTGGCAAATATTTTAATTCTTTTAGATTCTAAATTCTCATTTTACAAGTCCTAGATGGTTCTGCCATTTCAAATAGATTGTTTTAAAAAAGATAACAAACAGGTACATGATCAATTTACAATAAATTGGATCTTAACTCATCATCTTAAGTACAAATCCAAAAATAATTGTTATCTCCTCCAAACTCTGGTTTTGGTTTCACTATATCTATTAAACATTCAGCTGGACTGACTCCTTCAATATGTTTACAATTGATCTTAGATAATCCTTGAGCATATTTAAACACTCTTGGAAATAAATGTTATAAACTAGTTAATTCTCTAAGCACACAGATTGTTGTATGTTTCCAAATTTTAGCTTTTGTATATTTAAAAAGTTGCTATGATTTATGTATATAAATAAATTACTTTATCAAGATCAACATTATGATCAAGCATTTACTTTATAAAATTTCCATCAAAGACTAATTGATAAGGTGGCTGGAATGAAAAATTTATTCGATAGAAGGATAAATTCTTTTTGAAGCCTTTAGTCTTTTTAGCTTTCATTAAAAATTAAAATAAATTATAATAAAATTAGATGGATCAACAGCCTGAAAGAGTATTTGAAATAAAAAAATGGAATGCAGTTGCATTATGGAGTTGGGATATTAAAGTTGATAATTGTGCCATATGTAAAAATCATATAATGGAAAAATGTATTGAATGTGATGCATAAGAAGGATAAGGAGAATGTATTGTTGCTTGGGGAACATGTAATCATGTATCAAAGGTTTTTATTTAAGGCATATCATTTTCATTGTATAGAGAGATGGTTAAAAAATAGATAAACATGCCCATTAGATAATCGAAATTGGGAATATTAAAAATATGGATGAGTGTTATTTTATATAATTAAATATAATGGATAGTAATTCTTATTATTAAATAAATATTATCATATCCTTATAATAATTTCTTAAAAAATTTTACTTAAATTTGAATACAATACAATGGCTTTGTTTATATAATTCAAATAAAAATAATATAAAATAAGAATTTAGGGATATATATATTAATTATCAATGACTTAAGCCAATGAAATAAATAAGAATTACAATAATAATGAAATATAATCTGATATGTATTCTGCGATATTCAAAGATGAAGAAATTCTTTAATTTTTCATAATTCAAATATTCTATGATTAAATGAAATATCATTATGGAAAATAATATTTTACAAATTAATGATCATATAAAGGGTACTAAAGGCTCTTGATAAATCTGTAATAGAATTTCATTTTTTCCTCTTCTATCCTAATGTTTTATGAGATATTTTATTGCTTATTATAATGAGTCATTGCAATCTTAATTTAATTGTTTTCCAACATATTAAAATTATAGGGAAGCTTCATTGTATTTAACATAAATTGAACCTCTTTTATTACATCCTTAAAATATTTCAAATAAGATTCTATAAAAATGATATTTAAGTGTTTTGATATTTGAAAGTTATTGTATATCATAGATTATTGTTATTTTTTTATATAAAAATAGTTATTATACATGTTAGATTAGAGATTCTAATTTCTATTCAGAAATTTTGAATTTTTTATTTCTAAGTAATTTATAATTTAAAATCTATTTATAGCATATATTTCTTAAGAAACCTAAGCTTTAACAATCATTACGGCAAATCGATTTTTGAAGGTGTTAAAAAAAAAATTTATATAATTTAAACTAAGCCTGTTTATATTATTTAGGACTAGATTAAATTATTTTTGAGTTATTATTTAGAATATCTTCAGTAAATTAGACCAAAAAAATTGGTTACTAATAATAAAAGATTGAATATGTAATTGCATACACTACTTTTTTGTTACTGATCATTATAGTATTTGATCCTTATTCATTACGAGATACTTTTTGATTTTCTTTAAAAAAGAAATCTTCTAAACTTTATGACTGATGATTTGTTGTTCTTAGAAAATTCTTAAGATCATTTGTGTTATTACATTAAAAATTCAAGGATTTTGATAACTTATACTAAAATTCAATTTTTTCATTATCAAATGAAAATAATAGAAATGGTTGATTAACTATTTTTGGTAAAATTTTTTCTATTTAATTAAATAAAAAATTATACCCCATAAATTATCTTTTTAGCACAATAGAAAATTGTTCCTACTCTGAAAATTTAATCTTCTCGAACAATAACATAAAAATAATATTAAAATACAAGTTGCTGCATATATATTATAAGAACGTTAAGTATCTGCTAAAATTGTGTTGATAAGTTTATATGAAAATGTAGTAACAATTAAAAAATATGATTCAAAAACATCTAAAACTAAAATTATAAGTATATTGCAAATTGTAAAGCTATTAATAAATAATGGTAAAGCTATAAGAGAAATATTCGCCATCAAGACTTATTCATATGCCATCAAGGAGTAATTGAAAAAAAGTAAGGCAATTTGAATATATGTTCTTTTATATTTTACTAATATAAGTGACAATATAATATAAATTTGTGTAGCTATTATTGCAGGTACATCACTATATAATGAATAATAGCAATTTAGTATGAGTTTTATTATGCTGATAACTAACATCCCATAATGGCCAGACTTAAATATAGGCATTCTAAAATGTTAATTTCTCTATGATTAATATTCTAATTCAGATTAAACATCAAGGAACTTAAGACTATATTTCTTCATTTATTATTAGATATGAAACAAATTAAATGAATTATTATTAATCAAGAGATAAATAATACTTTAATTATTATTGAATTTAGAATTATATCTAAGATTATAAAAGATGTAAAAAAAGAATTAAAATTATTTATAAAGATAATAAATTACTTTTTTTTGTTTCATCAATCAAGTTCTATGAATAATTAAAAAGAGGAAAATATTTGTTTTTAATTTATTAATATTAAATATTACTTAAATAGCAATTAAAATGTATAGATAATAAATTTTAATTTTTCTTAAGAATTTAATTATCATAAGAAGATATAATCATTGCTAAATGGAACCAATAATTATTTAATGAGAAAGATCTATAAAATATTGAAGATTTTAAGTAAATAAATTACCAAATATTGAAAAAATATTGAAAGTTTGTCTTAAGAATTTTAAATATAATGATAAATAAATATATGGTGATAAATGATCTAATAATTTAAACATAGCTTTATTGAATTTCTAAATAATTTTATTATTATTCAATAAATTATAGAAATTTACTAATAAACCACCAAATTTTAAAAAACTGACAACTATATAATTTAATCAAGCAGCTAGTGTTTTCTATCTGAAAGTTGTTTTTCTTCTTTTTTATTAATCATTTATTTATTATGGATCTTAAATTTTTGTAATTTGATTTTACTCGTCAATTACAATTAATGATTATTGAAATGTCACTTATCTCTTATTGCTATTAATTATTTTTTTTATTTTTCTACTAATGGTTTCTAACTCTGTATTCTATTACTCATCAGTTCTCAAGATCTCAGATTTTCTTAAGTCTTCCTTTTTATGGTTAGGAGAGGAGAAATTATTTTTATAAATTGAAGAGTTTTACAGACTTGGTAAGACACATTCACTTTTAACTATTTATTTATCATTTCCAATAGCAATTCTTCTTCTTGCTGTTTATGGATACATATAATCAATAACTATATCCTAATATCCTTTCTCTTAAAAAAAATTAACAGGTACACTTTCAAGATCATTCAAAAATCTTGATGGTCTAAATTGTTTGTCTTAAGGTTTGTATTGCTATAAATTTGAATTTGAATTAACAATATCTGAATAGCTGATCTTTTTACTCATTTTTATAAATATTTATCAATTAATGAGTTTTATGAATGAGCAAATTGAATTGGAAATTTTCATTCAAATTTACATTAATAAAATTTTTTTTAAAGAAAAAATAATGTAAAAAAAAATAAATACTATTAGATTGAAATATTTAAAAAAAGCATAAACTTGATTTAAGTTTTTATAAAAGAATGATAAAATATTATTTTATTGATTTTTTCATTACAATAATTTTTAAATTAACTATTATTTTTTTTCTGAATCCTTGTTCAATAAAATTCTTTATCTTTAAACAAAATAATACACTTAAGCCCAAATGATTTTATAAAAGTCATAGTACCTTTACATTTATAGATCAAATTCTTCATAATCTAAAAGTTAAAAATGATTAATACAATATTTTATATCTCCTTATTTAATGTTTTTTTTTTTGATTTCTTCAACTTTCTTTTCATAATTATCTAAATCTCTATATAATTCATCAATTTTTGGTCGTACTTTCTATTCCAAAAATTTTGTATTTTCAGCAATAAATTTTGTTTCCTCATTTTATCCTTATAATTCTCCTTAAAATATCCTTTTCAATTTAATCAGATTCTCAGACAATAACTTCAGCTATTTAATCACTTCATCAGTGTCAGTCTTTATCTATTTTTCAATTAAAGACATTTATAGAATTTACTAATTCAATAAAAATTAATATTTTCAATAAATATTTTTCATGCAATTTATATTGAAATATTTAATGGATGTAATAATGTATTATTTGAATATATTTGAGTAATATATAACATTATTCATCCAAAGTATATAATTAAAAGAATTATTTATAAAATAATAAAAATTCTAGTTATTTATTTATATCTTATCATTTTTTTTCAAAGATTAGTAACAATAGATTAAAAGTTAGAATTTTATCTAAATTTTAAACTATTTCCTAGTGTTGACTTTTTTCTTTTTTGATATTAAGAAGAAATAAAACTGGCTGAATATTTAAGAGGTAAAGCAGAAAAATCAATATTAAATTGATTTGAATTTTTAATTGAATGAATTCTAGTACCATCTCCAAAAGAACTTTAATCTTATGGACTTAAAGATTTGATAACTGTAGCAGTTCCTTTGTGTACTTATCCTTATTATGATTATCGATAACTTTTAATAGAAATAGGAGATTAAAATTTAATGGCAGATTTAATACGATTTAACATTTGTTTTGGAGTTCTAAAAGGATATTGATTAATATAAAGTTTTTTTTATTAAAATATTTCTTTGTTTAATCTTTATTAAATAGCCATTTCTTCTATTTTTTATGGTGTTAGTTTCATAAATGTAGTTATTTTACTTTGCATTAGATCATTTTAATTATTAAATTTATTTTTTTAAATTGATTTTCTTTTTTCATCAATTAAAGGTGAAAAAAGATTTTAAGTTGATTAAATAATTTTAGGAGATATTAAAATGGATTTTTATTTATAATCTTCAGGTTAAGTAGTAGTTTATTAATTTATTGTTATAGTTGGTTAAGTTTCAGCAATTATTTTATCATGTTTTGATTAATTTCTTGATTTTCCTTTGAAAGTTTTTTCATATGATTTATCATTATTTATTTAATATTAAGTACTGATAGGTCTATAATTAGCACTTTTAACTCTTCTAATTTAAATTGTTTCTGGAGTATTAACCAAAAATGGAGATGCTTTTTTATCCTTAATCATGATAGATTATATACCTCTAATTAAAAATAAGGACAATATCTTAACATAATTTCCATATCATCATTGATTGTTATTTAATCTCTAGAAATAAAAGACATTTCCTTATCTTTCATAATTATTTGTTTTAGATTTTTTGTTTTTTCAACATAATTCTTATAATCAAATTTTAAATCCAATTATTCTTATGATTAATTTTCTAAACCAGCTTCTAAAGGATATGCATGTTTTAATTTCCATTTATTATAATAAACTCTTTTTTCATCTCTTACTTTTTAGATTGCATTAACAATATCTGGATATCTTTATTCAATTCTTTTATAATCTATTCTATTTAATTTATATAAAACACCCTCTTAACTTTAACAAATAGCTTTCCATATTCTCTTTTCTTAATCTAAAAATTCTTCTAATCCAATTGATTCATTTTTTCCTAATATACATATTTCTGCTTCTCTTTCAAAATAAAATACTTCATCACTTCCATTCTTTATAAATTCTTTCTTTACATTTGTAACCATCTTAAATTCTCCTTCAATTATAAAATATAAACTATCTCCTTTATCTCCTTATTTATAAATAACATCTCCATAATTATATACTTTTCTTTCCATAATCATAAATAAAGCTTTAATAGCATTTTTTGATAAATCTTTCAACATGACATTAAAACTTAAAGTTTCAAGTAAATGTAAGAATTATCTTTAAGCTTTAGTAGACATTATTCTGTCAAATGAATCTTTGTCTAATTCTAAAATAAAACAATCAGTTATTGCTACAATATCTGCTCCTCTTGGTTTTCTTTCCTTTAATATTATAATAAAATACTAATAATGCTAATTCACCAAAATATTATCCATCTTTTAATGTTGTTATTTCTTTTAATTCTTCATGAAACTTATCTTTCTTTTTCCCTTTTTTTGTTGTATATGTTCCTATTACAGTTATCACTCTTTTTAGAACTTTTACTTCTCCTTTGATTATAATATAGAAGGTATCACCATAAGTGTCTTATTTAATGATAATTTCATTTTTGCTATAAATATGCAATCTTGCATTTTCAGCTACATCTTCTAACATTTCTTCATAATGATCACTAAACTACTCTTGAAAAAACTTAATATTTCTAAGAGAATCAATCAATAAAGTTGTTTCTTTTGAATTACGAAATATAACTGGTTTTAAGCAAATTTCAACGATTTACTAAAAGATTATTTTAAATTTACTTCAAAAGCAGATTTTTACTTCTTTGTTTGGATTTCTATAGTTTATAAACTACTGGATCTTTTACTTTCAATTTAATCATGTTTTTGTTGATCTTCCATATATTTAATATAAAATTTTATATTTTCTAAAGCAAATATAGAGTTTCAGAACATTTGAACAATCGCATTTCAATTATAGGATATCTTGATTATGTTGATTTGTATTAACAACTCTAAAAAATTGAGAAAATTATTTTTTCATTATTTAACATACAAATAATTTATCCCAATGTCTTATATTTAATTTCAATAATTTAAATTAATGGAATAGTAAGCTGCTGCAACTTAAGAGAAAACTCAAATTTAAACATCAGCACCATCTGCTTAATAACCTTAGGCTCAACCATAAAAACCAAGGACAGTCTTATCTGAAATCAAACTCTAAATTTTATTATTAGAAAAAGCAGTCAGTTCTAAAGATATCAAAGCAATTCAAAAAGTATCGATCTTTGTTAAAAAGTTCAGAAATGTAATATACATTAAATAATTTTTAGACTGTAAAGTCTCATCATTTGGCCAAACTTTATAATACATTCTTTCCAAATGTAGTAATTTAATAAGGTAATGATTTTGATGCAAATTTCAATGAAGATTTAGGATTAAGTGCTTAAGTTGTATTAAAATTAACTAAAATAATTGAAGTAAATGTATTCATACAATGTCTTTATTTAATTTGGCTCTTTTAATAAAAATAATCTGAAGCTTATGAATAAGTGAATGTACTTGGAAAATAATTATTATAATAAGTTCAATAAAATAATAAAAGATATTTAGATACTCTATTAGGAGTTATCTATGAATATTTATCAAAATCACATGAGAAATTAAGCAAACTTGATTAAATTAGAGAGTAATTATATATCAATATTAAAGTGTCTTATTTGAAGGTTATAGAAATGCTTGTTAAAATAGAGATGAAAATGGTTAAGCAATTTTAATAAACTTAATATTGAGAAACTTTATTCATTATAATTAATATGAATAGAGTTATAATTTCTTAAAAAAGACAGAATTCCCTGAACATGCTTTTGGAAATTAATAGGCAAGATTCCTATATTATACTGGATTAATTCATGCTATAAGAGGTGAATACCAGGAAGCTTATAAAAATCTAACTTAAGCAAGTCATAAAGCACCAGATAATACAGCTTTTGGATTTAAAGTTTAGGCCATAAAAGTGATAGCTTTAGTTGAATTATTATTAGGAAATGTCCCTAATAGAGATACCTTCACTTCTCCTGAATATTAATAAGCTCTTTATCCTTACTATAGAATTGTTTCAACTGTTATTAAAGGTAATTTGGGAGAATTCTAATAAGAAGTAGCAAGATCAGAAAATATTTTAAGAAGAGACAAACTATTTAATTTAATTTAAAGGTATTAAATTTAATCATTAAAATTTAGATTACCATAAATAGTTATCAAAGCTGGTTTAAGAAGAATTAACTTATCCTATTCTAGAATCTCTTTAAATGATATTCATGAAAAACTAAATCTTCCAAATTAATGCAATGCTGAATAAGTTGTAGCAAAAGCTATCAGAGATGGTACTTTAGCTGCTATTATCGATCATGAGAATTAGATAGTTATAACAAAAGAAACTAATGATCTTTATGGGACTAAAGCACCTTAAGAAGCTTATGGAGAAAGAATTAATAATTGTTTAGGATTATATAATTAAGCTGTTAAGGTAATTAATTTGTAATCTATTTAGGCTTTATAATATTAAAATCCTGAATATGATTATGGAGAAAAGTAGGCTGATGATGAATTAACAACTGATGAATTATTAAGTTTAGCTGAGCTTGACTTTTGAGTAGCATAAAAATGTATAATCAACTAATAATTATATTTCATTTTTTATTTGTAAAATTAACACAAGGTTCTTTGTGTAATTAAATAACCCAACAACTATTTTAAAATTCTGCTTTTTCAACTAAGTTACTCCAGATTAATTTTAATACTGGATCCTTTTTATTACTAATTTCCTTTCCTTCATAAGTAATTGTTACTGTTTCCAAAATTGTCACATCTACTGGTCTTTAATTATAAGTTAATTCTAGTATTTCAAAGATTAGCCGCTTTAATTAAATTGCAATAGTTATTATATTTTCATCTTTTGGATTGAATATTTGTAATCTATTAAGTTTGTAACTAAAAAAATCATTCAAAAATAATAAATTTTTAGTATCAAATAATTATGTTTTCCATTGATATTTGAGAATTTTAAAATTCATTATTTATTTTAAACAACTATTTCTAATTAACCATAAATTATTTTATTATTTTTAAATTAAAGACATCTGTAAATGTTTATAAATTCTTTTAACTAATTTCATTCTTAATTCCTCTTATTTTTTAATTGTACTCTTTAAAATAACTTTACAATCCTCAACTTTCATTACTGAATCATCAAATTTAATAATAAAAGTAGATGACAAGGATTTCATCATTGAATACCTTATTAATTACTTAGTTTTATTATCTTTTAATATTTCTATTTTTCTTGAATGAAATTCATTAATATTCTAATTAGTGTACAAATTATATAAAGTATTCTCTAATGAATTTTTATTACATTGCCATTCCCTTAAAAATTCCTTTAATTATTTTGAATTATCACACTAAAATGGTAGTTTATTTTGAGATTTAAATATAAACTCTAGTTTTTCATCACTGAATGTAAATATTAAATATGGTGTATCAACAATTTTTGGAAAAACACTCTCTAAAAATATTTAATATCATACCCCACATATAATCATATTAGCTTAAAAGAAAACTAGTTCTATTTAAAACATTTAGTTTATAAGAAAAAAAACACATAAAAAACATTAGTATAAGGGTTGAGCAATAAATTATATATGATTTTTATGTTTCCATCAACATTGTGTAAATTATCTTAAAAAAAAATGTTGATATAATAATAACTAATGACTCTTTGAATTCTGAAATTAGTATAATAATAACACCACACATTGTAAAATTACTTTGATATAAGGATAAAGCTTAAGCACTAGTATCAGTTGTAATAATTAGTTCATAACCAATTAATAAGTATGCTAAAATTATAAGCTATATGTTTATTTTATGAATTTTGAATCTCAGAAACACAAATGACAATAATGAATATACTTGACAACCAATCAATATTGGCATTAATCCTAATTCATTTTATAGAACTAAAGTTATAAGTTTAGAAGTAGCCACTATAAATATACAAGCAGACCCAAATTAAAACACAGGTATACTGATAGTATTAATTCTTTATTTTTGATATTCATCCTCCAATTATTTGTATTTAAACATCAATGTATATTTGTTCATTCTTTTCTTTCTTAAGATAATTTACAATAAAATTTATACTTAATTACATAAATACTTTAGAATAATTTTAATCATTTTTTATCAATAAAATTTTAGTATTATTAAAATATTATGAATTATTTTTTAGGAGGAAGCTCATAATTTATATGTTAATATGAGTTCAATTTATTGAAAATAAACAAAAAACATAATTTAATAAATACTGAACTTGTATTATTATAACTGAATCTGTAGCTAGCAAAGAGTATATAAATTTGTTATTAAAGATATATAAAGTATTATATGATTAATTTTAGCATATATATTTTTCTTTGTTATATATATTAATATTTATAATCTTCTATTTGATTTTTATATATTTTATACTATTTACTTGATGATATAAAATCTCATTAAAATTATAGAATTTGTAATTTGAATATCAGAATAGTCTTATAACTAATACATGAATAAATAATAATATCAACCAAATTGAAAAATAATAATTAAGTCTTATCAAATTGGTTTTCTACAAACAGGACATTCGTTCTTCTTTAACTTCCAAGCATCAATACAAGATTTATGAAAAATATGAGCACAATTTAAAGTCTGCAAATCTTGTGTTAAATTTTGTGTGCATATAATACATTCATCTACCTATTCTAAGGCTTTGAATTGTTGTTCTATGTATGGAATACAATCAACAAGATGGTCATTTAAAAAATTTCTAACGATGTGATCACTACAATATGGACATGCAATCAATCCATATTCATCATCACATTTATGATCTACTTATTTTGGTTATAAGCATGCACTACAAGTTTTTGATTTTATGGTATCTGTCTGAGTAAAATTTTCCTAAATTTCTTGAATTTTTATTATATGTTAAGAGATCTATTTAGGTTTTTCACTTTGTTAATAAATTTTAGTTAAAAAGGGTGGGGGAATCAAGAGTGGTTTTTCTCTTTTACTGGATGAAATAGGAGGAAAACCAATCAACTTTTACTAATTTTATTAATTCTAAATATTTTGGTCTTAAAGTTATTCTTTTCTTAAATCTTTCTGTTTTTCTAACTTTCTCTAAAATATCTACTAACTCTATTTCATATTTTATTTAAACAATTAGTGCTCCTGATTATCTTTACTTTAAAAATAAGAATGAATATTATTACAATTTATCCATATTTGAATTAACAATTGTAGTATGACTTCTTTTTTACTATTAGTTGTTATCTTTGGAATCAAAACTTAAAATGTTAAGAAATTTCTAATTAAAGTTATCATCATCATCTTCATAAAAAAAAGGATTCATAATAAATTATAAATAATATGATTTCAATCGATAATACTTATGATGTTTAAAATTGCAATAAAATCATTGATATATAAAAACAAAAACTTATAATTAAATAAATGAATCCATAAACATAATAAATACAATGAAAATGTTCATTTGTAATCAAATTCTATTGAATTTTATGAACAAAAATTAGGAAAAAATATATAACATGATTTAAATGCTATTTTAAACCAGGGTATTGTACTCTTTCAAAATAATAATTTATAAAATATCAATCGAATGACCTTATTTTGTAGAATAGATTTCAAGGTTAGTTCCATTAAAAATATTAATTAAAAATATTTCTAATCCAATTAAAAATTCTATTGTAGAATTATTGCTTGATATACTTTTAAATATACAGTCTTATTCTTTAATAATTGATTGAGTTATAATTTTGTAAATCTTCAAAATATATATTAAAAGTTAAATGCAGATATATAATTATATAATGAAATGATAATTTTATTTAGAAGTCATAAGAAAATAGATATATTTAATTATTCAATGAGAAATCTATAATATAAAAGTGTGAGTGTACAGTTTATCAGCTTAATTTTATTATTATGTAGTTGAAAACTTTAAATTGTTGAAATAGTATTTAAAAGTGAAATTAACTTTAAGGCAAACAATAGAATAATTTAATAAATTAAGAGACATAATAATTTAGGTTTCAATAATTATAGATCAAACTAATCATCTTAAGTTTTTAAAGTAATACAATTAATATTAAAATAACCAAATATAATTTATATAACAAAAAAAGCTATGATATTAATATTATTATATAAAACTGCTAGATTCTACTATCTCATAATTTAAACTATTAAATTAAGAAAAAGAATTAGAAAATCAATAATGAAAGTATTATATATAAAAGAATAAATATACTTTTATTAAATTTTGGATTATTTTAGGTGTCTTTATTTTAAAGTTGAAAATAATCTAATCAATATATTTCTTAAAGTAAAATAAATTTAGATAGAATAATTTTCATCAATCACAATTATAATTAGCCAATAATTAGACAAGAAATTTAAAAAATTCAGGAATAGTATTTTAATAAATTTCTAAAAATGTTGTTTCAGAAACAACGTTATTATCATAAGTATGTTTTCGATTATACATTTCAGATAATTTTCTTACTTTATCTTTCATCATAGTAATAACCATTTATTTTTAGGGCTTCTGCTTTACTTTTTTTTAAGTTGAGATTGTAGTATGCATATCAAATGGATTTCTTATAGCCTTAAATCGAAGATATTTAAAGATGATATCTGCATCTTTTTAAGCTGCACCTCCAGCTTTGAATAACTCAAATAGATCTCTAGTATTTAAATATGTTTTAGACATCACATCATAACAGCTAAACACTAATTATATAATTTCTATCATCATATATATTTATTACATTGCTAACTCATTTCTCTAATTTAAAGTAAAAATGATCGATATACTGCTTAAGTAATTGAATAAGGCAACTACATTAAGTTTATTAATTTTTAAACACTAGTCTAACAACCTAATTAACTTGCAAGATAATTGACTAACTAGATATTAATAATAGCATACTTATGGTTTTGTGATTTCTTAATAAATGTTAGAATTAGACAACTATTTGAAAATCTCTTAGGTATAAGGACTATCTGGATCTAATGAAAGATAACCAACTTTCACAGCTTTTAAACGATTTGAAATTTATCTATATTTTTTATAAGTATTTTTTCTTGATGTAATCCCTGAAGAATCATGTTAACTATTGCACATTGAATATTTTTTTATTGATTGTTGTTCTAAGTGTGATATTTTTGGTAGTTCATAATACTCAGAACAATCAGACAATACATCCATTTTTTCTTTATTCTTAATAAGAAATTTAGGATTGTATTCCAATTCTGTTTAGTAATTTAATTCTACATTGTATTTATTAAAGGAATTAGATTCATTAAATTAATAGTAATTATCTTTAGTCTTTACTCTTGACATCATCATACTTGAATTAATTAAGGATCTATCTGCTCTACTTGATCTCCCTGTAAGAATAGTTATTTTCTCTTCTATACATCTCTTGAATATATTTGATATATCGTACATTCTTTTATTATAAATATAAATTTTATCATAATAAAATGGAAATTTAGCAGTTCATATAAAATTTTGAATGAAATAAACAATCATCATTATTCTATACTCTTTAGTAAAGATTAGATTTTCTCATTATTCTAGATTTAATTAATAAAATTTTTATCATCTTTTGTCCATTGATCTTCAGATTTAGTCATCAAATCTAGAAATCTTTATTTAATTGTTTTTAGTTTTTCAGTTTTAGTAACAGTTCTTTAATGAGATTTAATGTCTTCTATTAAAATTTTCTTTTTCAAAACCCAATCTCTTTCATCTTCAATATAAAACATTTCTTTTTATAATTTGAAATGACTTTTAATTTATTATTTATTGAATTAATTAGATTTTCTCATAGAAGCTTCATATAAATAATTGCTTATAGATTAATTGAATGGTGGATCAATTGAATGAGGATCACTACTTTCTGACCAGATCTAATTTAATTGATTTAAGATTTTTAAAGATTTAGACAACTAATTTTCTGGTAATGAAATTGTATTAGCAAAAGTGACATAAGTTATTTCAATAGTTTTTGACCATGTAGATATTATTCTTACAGGAATCATTGAATTCAATGCAAAACTCTAATAATTATATAAAGAATTACTAATTATATTGTCTCAAACCTTGCTTAATGATTTAATTTTGAATTAGTACCACATTATATTATTATACGATCATTTGTAATAATACTAGAACTTGTTCTTCCTGCAGACACCCATAATGCTATGATATTCAAGGGTTTAGGTAAAGTCTATTATAATTAATATTTAATTACTTCATTTTTTAATTCAGAATTACCAAGTTGACCTCTTTCACCCCATCCCCAAGTATAAATTTTATTTCTAGTTTTTGCAATAACATGTTTAAAACCACAACAAACCTACAATACTTTTTCAATATTAATCAGACAAGGTTCATGTCTATATCTTCTATCACCCAATCCTAATTCTCCTTCATAATTTTCTCCCCATGAATACAATTAACCACTTTCACATAATGTAACAATAAATTGATTTCCACATGATATCATTCTAACTTTCTATTTAATAGGTATATTAACATTTAAATTAATTAATGAAAACACTTTATTATCACTTACAATATATTTTTTGGATGACATAGTACATTCTTTATTTATATAATGTGGTTTGTATTTGATTTATTTATATTAATCACCATATTATAATAAAGAACCATCTGCAGTAGTTACTAAAATGAATTCATCACTACAACTAATAGACTTTATTCTAATGAAATCTGGAAATATATTCTTTTCAACATTATCAAAAGTATCTTTATTTAAAATTAATTACCCATTACCAAATTCAAATATGGCAGTTCCACCCAAAGTAACACATAAAGTACTTTCTTCAGTAGTAAAATATGATTAAATTGGATGATCTTTTCTAAATTATTAAATAATAATATTAAGCAATGTTCTTGAATAAGAATAATTTGGATTGTAACATTAATAGATATCTGAAAGTATATCAATATCAATAGGTACAGAGAATAATGCAATTTTTGGTAATCTTGGTCTCCATTAAATGAGACAAGTTTCTAATAATGGTTAGATTTCTTCATTTTCCATATTTTCATTTGTTAAAATCCATAAACTGGATGCATCATATTTTTATTATTAAACATTTTTTTCCCATGGTAATATAAAAGATTCATAATTCTTTTTATAAGCCATTTGTTTCTATAGATATATACGAGCAAATTTTTATACACATCTTGCAGCTGTTCTCATTTTTTGAAACATTGTTGAAAGTAATTTCATTCTAAAATATCCTTGAATTAAATAAGCAGCATCATGAGCTCTTCTAAATTAACTTCTTGCAATAAATCTTCTAATTGCTGCTTAAATTTTTATAATTGAAACTTCCATTTTTATTTTTCTTCCTGCATTCTTTATTTGATGAATTTATTTCTTATTCTTTTTTCTAACTTAAATTCCTCTAAAATTTGATTATATAATTATTGCTTTCTTAACTAATATCATTTACCAAGAATCATCAATAATTTTTTAAAATACAATTTTAATTTCTCTAATTTTCCTCTCTTATTTTGATTGTACTACATATCTACAAAATTTCTATATTTTACTAATAGCTAATTTCTTTCTTGCAATATCTCTAAGTATATTAAATCTTTCAAAATATAACTTTAAATATAATGCAGATTTTTCATATTTTTATTGTATTCTTCTTTCATGTAATTTTTTATACCAAACTTAAATTAGAAATGCTGCTTTTACTCTTTTTCTTATGAATACTTTAAAACGAATTCTTTATGCTAAAGTACGAAGAGTCATTGCAATTTTCATCATCTTTTTCAAATGTTAATTCATCTTATAAATTTTATATGATCTTTACAACTTTGCTGCCCTTTAATGTTTAAGAGTCACAATTTTTGTATATGAATCTTCAATCATTTATAATCCTGTATTACGAATAAATATCTTTGTCTTTCCAAATAATACTTATTTTGAATCAATATGAGGCATATGTTATTTAAACATATCTAAGACTAATTGTCTAAAATCAATATCTGGATTTTTTATTAATTTACTATATATTTCATTTCTTGTCATATCAGCATATCTTTTATAAAAAAATTAATATGGTCTTCTGATGCTATAAGATTCTTTCCTAACTTTTAAGGAATCTAATACACCTAGATATCTGATTTATTTGAGAGTCATTTCAGAAAATACTTGATTTGGCAATTTACTTTCATTAGGTTTAATGCATCTTATAAAATGAACATCGCATTAATGCAATTCTGTCATTAATTCAATCATTTCTTTTTTTATCTTTTATGATATCATCTTTTCTTTCATTCCTTCCATAGTATATAATTATTTTAAAAGTGGATTTTTTGTTTGACTTATCATTGATATAGTTTAAACACTCATTTCATCTTTGTTTTTTTCTCGAAATCCTGTAACAGTATAACAAACATCTTTTGCTGTATGTACTAATATAAATGAAGGATCACTTGGCATTTTAGGTGTTTTTATTAATAGATTTGATTTATGAACAGTTCTTATTTTTTATAGAAATCCATCATCTGTTGATTTTACAGAACACGATTCATCTAAAATACTAAATATACCTCCAGGTTATTTATCTATTAATTCTATTACAGAAGTATTATCTTAAAATTCTAATTAACCTAAATGATCCTTGAGTCCTTCTTCAATAAAAATTTTCTCCTCCTCTTTGAAAACATATAGAATATACAATTGATGTAACTTTTCATTAGTATAATTGATCATAATCTATTCAAATCCATTTTTATCAAAAACCTCAAATCCATAAATATCAAGTAACCCAACAGATGTCTTAGACTCTACTTTAGGTTTTAAAACTTTATTTAATTGAATAACTAACCAATTAAATAATCTATCATAAATATCCTTGGCCAAGGAATCTCGTGTAAATTAACATTCATCAAGTGTCAATGGAGACAATATAGTTTATTTGTTTATTACTCTTGATTTAAGAGTCAAAGCCTAAGATAGTTGTTAATTTGACAATTCAAGTAAACGCTCTACTAAGCTTTCATTAACTTAGGCAGGCTATGTATCTGTTAGAGTACTATTGTCAAACTCAAGATTTCCTAAATGTAATACTGCAAGAACTGTTTAAACTATATTTTCAAAATCAGAATGCATTCCTAAAATTGAAAAACTTTCTTAAATTTCTTTGAACATTTCAGCATCATCAACATTTGGAATAGTATATGTTTTTGAAGAATTTAAATAATTAAATTCTTCCATTTTCATTGTTACTCCAAATTTATTTAATAGTTCTTTTGGTAGGCCTTGTAAAAAGAAATAAAATATATGAAAATTTCTTTCATTTTTACCTTATTAATTTATTCTTGACTTCTCCATCAAGTAATTAATGATTTCTGCTCCCTTAATTTATCTAGTCTTATCGTCAACAATAATCCTAACATACTTTCCAAATCTTGATGAATTATTATTCCTCACAGTTTTTGCATTACCAAAAGCTTCTAATATAGGATTACATCCTAAAATTTAATCTTCTATTTTATCTTTTGAAGAACTATCTGATGCAATTGATGTTAATAAATTCATAGAAAATTTTGCATTCTCAGTTTTTCCTGCTCCACTTTCTCCTGATATAACAATTGCTTAATTCTTTTCATTCTCAAATAATTGTCTATAAGCTTATGCTGCTATTGCATATACATGAGGAGGCAAATCTTTGATAAGTTGATTCTTTTTAATGATATCATCTATATATTAATTTCTTATATCAACATCCATTAAACCATGAATTTATTTAAATGGATTTATGACTAATAATGTAGGACCTACATAAGTAAATATAATATCCTTTCCAAATCTATATATTAAATTATTTAGTAATTCTGCATCATTAAGAATTTCCATATTTACCATATCATCAAACCCTTTATTTCCTAATATGGTTGGATCTGCTCTTTCCAATATTTGTGTTGGTTTGCATTCAATCTATCCACCAGATTCTAATTTGATAATAATTATTTTCCCATCTGAACTTATTATTTCAGCAGGTGAAAACATAGGGTCCTTATTATCAAGATCTTACCAACACAATGCATTTGGAACTATCCAAGATAAATCTAGTTATGGTTATAATTTTTTTGCCATATATTTAATTATATTTATCAAATAGGTTCTTCATCAGAATCGTTGTCATCATCATCAGCATCTGGATCTATTATTTTTGAGTTTTCATTTTTTATTATATGGTTTATTATGGATGATGAATTTCGCTTTTTAGTTTCATATTCATCTTTAAAATCTTTAAAGTGATATACCAATATTTCCTCATAAATACAATCTATTTTATTTTAATATAATACCTTTAAGTTATTGAAGTGTCATATTATACTCTTCGAATTCGAAATCTATCCTTTATACTGGTACTGCAATAGGCTGGTATTATAATATATATCATATACTTCATCATCAGGACAATGTAAAGCAGATAAATAAGGATGTTTTAAAGCATCCTCAACAGTTATTCTTTTTTTAGCATCAAAAGTAAGTAAGCTTTTCAATAAATCAATAGCAAGATTAGAAGCATTAGGAAATAATTTATTAAAATCCTTTCCTGGTCTTTTAGGAAGTCCTTTTGCAATAGTTCTATATTTTTCTTTAGGAATCATATTCAATTCTTATTCAGATGGAGTACCAATTACTTCAAATGTCAATTCTATTTGATTCTTTGTATCCATTCCAGGTAAGAAAGGTTTTCGTCTTAACAATTCTGCAAAAATACAACCAACAGACCAAACATCTACACTTTATGTATAATTTCTCCATGATAATAGTAATTCTGGAGCTCTATACCATCTAGTAGCAACATAATCAGTTAATACACCTGCTTTTGCCTAGAGTTAATATCATTTGTAAATTTTACTTTTAAATCAGGTATTAAAGCTCTTGCCAGACCAAAATCACAAATCTTTAGATCGCAATTACTGTTAACTAATAAATTACGTGGTTTTAAATCTCTATGAACCACATTTGCAGAATGTATATATTTAAGACCTCTTAATAATTAATAAAGGAAAAATTAACAATGTTCATCTGCTAGATTTTAATCTGACTTAATGATCTAAGCTAAATCTGTTTCCATCAATTCTTGAACAACGTAACTAAATCATTTTAATTTATACATATCTTCGAATTCTTCTCTTGATTTTGGAAGTAGTATTGTATTGATTCCAATAATCTAAATATAATTGATATATACATTTTCATGTTATAATAATCTTAGTAGACGCAATTCTCTTAAAGTTCTCTTAGTAAATATTTTATGTTCGAAAGCTTTTTCAATCTTTTTTATTGCAACTAAATTATCCTCAGCATCTAATGTATTATCTCTAGCTGCTACAACTATACCATATGCTCCTTAACCAACTAGTCATATAATACAATAAATTATACTATTGTCTAATATTTCATATTTATCATCAATCTCAAATCTAGAGCCTAATATTGTGCTCACTTTCAATTTGCTCTTTTTATTACGGTAATTTGAATAATGTTAAATTATGTCATCTGGAAGTTAGCAAGGTTTCATTTACTTTATAATATTAATTTTTTATTTTTTGATACAAAACTTATTTAAATCATGCATTAATATAACAAAATTCTACTATAATTGGCATAAATATAAACATTCTTCTTAATTAAATACTATTCGTTGACTTTCAGAAATATTTAGAGATTTATACAAGTAGTTTAATAAAAATATTATTTTAGTAATAGTAATATGAATGGTTAAACCTTTTTATATTAGGATAATAGAATAAGTTTGATTATTTTATTTAACAAATTATTTCAATTAAGAACTAATGCATATTCAAATTTATTTATTAATTTTTTTTATACATAATAACTCTTCATTTTTAATTATATATTCTTATTTTATTTTAAATGAGATTAGAGATATCAATGTTTGGTTCATAATCCTTTTAATAATCACATAATCACTTTATTTGACTTAATAGGTTTTATTTATCAACAAACATTTTTATTTCAAATTAGTAATGTGACTTTAATATATCTCAAATCCATCATTACTTTATAAAACCAAAGTATAATATTTCTTGATCTAAGTTTAAGTAAACATGTATTCTTATTTCATTGATTAAAAATATATATTCTCAAATTCATCAAATATTATTTCCTCAATGAATATAAATTTATCAAAAAGATTTTATAAGATGCATTTTCAATACTTAATACCTTTAATCCAATATCCTTTTTTCTATGTGTCTTTATTCAACCTGCTTAAATATTTATTCATGTAATTTAGTTTCTTTTCAATAAAATCTACCTATATTTCTAAATCCTTATTGCTTGTCTCCTCAATTATTAATGATATATAATCTAATCACTAACATATAACTGATTTCTATGTGATATGAAAGAAATTATGAATAAATTATTACTGGAATATATACTATTTCATTTATTTTAATATACTGCATAATACAAACTTAATACAATTCACAAACATTTTATTCAAATAAATTGGATGGATCTTTCTACAACAGAGAATATCTTCTATCCATATTCAGAAGTATTGATTTATTATAGTATTTCAGGATGTCTCTTCATTATTCCAAGAACTGGAATAATATATTATTAATCTAACTATAAGAATTTCTTAAAAACATAATTTCCAAATGGATGTGTTGCAAAGGCTACAAATAAATAACTAAAATATTATAATATAATTTACTTGTTCTCTAGATCAGCATTTAACATTATATTTGTAATAAATTTAATATCTTCTTATTCAATTACATCAAGAAAAACTTCAACAACATTGCTACCATATTTGTTGTAAGATAATGTTTAAAAATTACTCTTAATAATTCTGAACAGTTCCATTTTTTACAATTTAAAATTACTCTTCAATATAAACTAAATTATGTAGTTACCAAATTCACAAATACAAAGTTATTATGATACATCCATAATTTAGTCTAATAATGATTAACTATATTATTTTTAAAGCATAAATTAAATTATTCTACATCCATATGTATGCTATGACATAGAATATACTGATTGTTCAATATGTTTCTTCATATATTCACAAAGTTTGTAATCAAAATTCTCCAAACAACTTAATAATACATAACAACCATTGTTATCATTAATTAATTATCTAACATGTTATTTTATCTCATCCATAAATTCAATTTATAAATTATGATCCTCAAATTTTAAAAATTCTATCATTCTATTCATCACTCTAGAAGCATATTGATTTTTAGATAATTCAACACAATAACCTTGGAATTGATGAAATAAACTTAATTTCCATTATTTTTCACCTAAATCAATTATTTTATTAAAATACCTGATAAAAATATTTTTTAAACCAAATAATTTCCAAATAAATCTTTTGATGTCTTAATTAAGTTTTTTTCTATAGTCTCAAAGATCAAACTTCTTTATAAAAAGGTACCATTATCAAAAATCTTTTATAGATTTCTTGAAGCATTCTAATTCCCACATATTTAATCCTAAAAATTAAAGAAAAGAGATACTAAACAATTTCTAAATTGATAATCATCTTGTCTTAATTATAATTGAACTTAATTATCTTCTTAAAGAGAAGGATGGCTGTTAAATGTGAAATAGAAAGTTTAAGGTGGAGTAATAGGTTACATAGTTTAGTGTTTTTTAGGGGAGAATTAAAGTTACTTCAAATCATGATAAATTTTAATAGAAGGTTTCTTCTCTTTTTGTCTTTCGTTAATTCTAATATGTAAAATGAGTATATATACATTTAAGGTTATGTGTTTGTGGAATTGTAAGTCAGAGTTTCATAACCATGATTTTCTCCAAGAATTTCAATTTTTTCATTGGATTGAACCAATATAGGTTAAAACTCTTTGGCGTTCAGTGATAATTTACTCTTTTTTCGAGTCTATTTCCTTTCATACATTTACACTTCGCTTTCATCTAAGACATTATCATAATATTCACATACCACTAAGTATTGAACCAATTAATTGTTTTTCTTCGGGATCCATATTTAGATGTTGTTTTTAAAAATACAAAATAAGAATATTTGTTCCCTTTTATAATAATTAATTTAATATATAATTAGACATCAAGCCTTTTTATTTCTAGAATTCTTGTACTCACTTACATTCTAATTCTGAAAATTGTGTGATTTCCCTAATAAATTCTCTATGAATTTGAAGTTTGTTTATTTTTATTATTTCTCTGATTAGAAAAAAATAAATAATTGAAATTCTCAATTTCCAGTATGAATTTAATCTTTTTCTATTAATTATATTTTGAAGTTAATTCTACAAACATGTACTTCCTTTTAGTTTACATTAGAGAATTAATATATTTTCTTCTTCTTTATAGTTCTTCTGTTTGTGATTTTCTTATTCTTTCATTTTTTAAATGAAAAAGTTGATTTTTCTAAAAAAATGTAAAATAATTGATTTTACATTAGAACTCTTTGAAATAAATAATCAATATGTTTATGATATTCATAATTATTTAGTAGTAAGTCTATCTTTTTTATTTAGAATCCATCATCTTACAAACAGTTTAAATCAAAGAATCAGAATATATAATTCTTAAATAAATAAATAGATAGTTTATTTATTTACATCTTTAAAAGATGTTAATTATTATTAAATCGTTGAAATAAATATTATTTTCTCTTATTTAATGTCAATATATACTAAATTCTTGCTATTTAAATATATGGTTTAATATAGTTTTGATTTCCAATTCTTAATATTATATGTAATGCTTGATATTATAATCACAGGATTCTACATTTAATAAAAACTAATTCTATTCTATCCAGCAATTATAAAACTGAATAATTAATCACTTTTCAAAAATAACTTTGCAAAAATGTAGTCATCTTTTGGCTTTGCTTGATTTCCAAATATTGTTGAGGTGATGCATTTGTCTTTTTATTGCATTTATGGATTATTCGAGAATATTATTGCATTTAAAAATGATAGTTAAATTTCCTGATCCAATTTTAGTTATCTTTACACAAAAGTATTATGATTTATTCTTCCTAAATACTTTCTTGATATTTTTAGGAACATTAGGGAAAGTTGGAACAATGTAAGATTACTATAGTATAGGAACTTCAACATTGAATATCAATGACAATTTCTAGAATGAATTTTTAGGAATGTGCTTTAAGAATGTAAATATTCTAATGGTTTGAGGCGATTAGATTGTAATTCAATGTTGTAACTCAGATATGATTATGATCTGAAATTTAATTGAATTGAATTCGAAGAATAAATATATTAACATAATCACACTAATCTTCTATCATTAAGCAATTTCTTTATGTAATATACTTACCATGCTGTCACTCCACAAATAGCCACTGTTTCTATAAATGTTAATATCATCAATTGTTTATTTATCTTTTGTACATCAGCCAAAGCACCTTTAGATTTCAATTCATTCAATTTTGTACTATAGAAAACATCTCTGATTTTCTATAAGACTCCTTAAACTCCATTTTCAATAGGATCTATGTCATTTTACTCTATCTCCTCTAATAAAAACGATATCAATGCAAGATATACCTTTGTCAGATTTAGCTACATCAATAGCAAATTGAACAACTTTTGACTCTTTTGCTCTCTTGTTTTAAAATATCAATTAATAATCTCCTTTTTCTGTGGCATTGAAATTGAATACTGCTTCCTTTTTCATCATTTTTGTATAAATCATTGAACCAGAAGGATCAATAACTTTAAAATCTATAGTGTCCATAGTGTAGATTGGAATAAAGAAGGTGCCTCTTATATTAGTAGGTGTTTTCTTAATTGTCTCAATAAATATTTCTTCTCCTCCTTTTTCAATTTAGAATGAGATCATATCATCAGGTAGAAAGCCTCTCATATATTTATCCCAATCTTGCATGATTTCTTTGGTTTCCTCAATGCTACACCAAGAGATTGTGAAGAGACTTAATAATATTGGAAACATAAATATATGAATCAATTTAATTAGAATGTACTCTAACCACGTATATGTATTTTTTTCATTTTTTTCTTTGTTTCACTCATATCAATAACTTTATCTTTTTCTTCCATACTTTCCTCACTATTCAATCTTTCTTGATCATTTCTATTTTTCCCTGAGGAAGATCTTAAATGAAGTAACTAAAATATAAATAAATTTAAACTTGAGGATGTTTTTAAGGAATTCCCATACAAGGATTTTATTTATTTGGAACCTTCAGAGATTTTTTGAATGCCATCTAATTGAGAACTTTTAATTTAGAAATAAAATTAAGGAACTCTTATAATTCATTATTGTCTATTTAACATTAAATTGGAGTTTAAACTAAAAATTTAAATTTAGATTACGTTTCAGTCTTTTTGTTGTATCCTTAAACTTCATAAGTTATTCATAGTGTCTTTTAGATTCACAATAGATTTCATATAAACTAAGAGCATCAGAATTAGGTAGAGTTACATATTTATCTATTATCTTTTCCACTTCAAAACATATGAAACTCTAGAATCTCCATACATCAAAGTAAATGTATTTTTATATTTCAGAGATATTCATTTCAGATTTTAAAAGAATTGCTGCAGTATTAATAAGATTTTGCATTTTATAATGCCATAAGAACATTAACTTAGGCTCAACGTGATCTTTATCACTTAGATAAGGATATGAATTACGACAAGCTGCCCTATAAAGATCGATATTAGCGGCTAGACGTTATAGATAACTAAAATATGCATAAGTAAATTATGAAATGCTTAGATCCTCGCTAACGTTCATCTCTGTATAAAATTATTCGTTCTTCATACGAGTCATCAAGTCAGGTTCTGTAACTAGATTATCTTAATCTTGTTGTTCTATTTTTTTTATACGACAATCTTTGAGTTTTATTGATATCTCTTAAGTGATATCTGTACAATGGAACATTTAGTGGATAACAGATAATAATTGAATTAAAGCTGTGCTTCCTGCAATTGGCTTGTACTCTTAAATATAATTAAAGAGAATGTCAATATAACCTAATTGTATTTGACAATCTATTACTATCATTTTTGGTCAGGTATTGTGCCATCATTTTTGTCATCTATTTTAAATCAAATTGAACATAAGGACCCATAATCGAGTTTAGAATTTCTTAAAACTTGTTCTATTCACTTTAATGAATATTAACAGCTGAATTTGAATGAAACAGAGATGTAAATTTGCTGAACAGAGACATTAATATATATAAATTAAAATAATTAAGGTATCCCATTTATTTTGGTTCTTTTAAATATGATATATATTATTACTATAAGAATAAAGCTTCATTTTAATTAATATATTATGAATTTCATCATAATTGTTTCCTTACTCATTAGCAATCTTTTAGCATAATCAAATTAGAGACCTACCTAAAAGAAATTCGAATCTGAAATAATTGAGTAAACAATAACAAGAGTATATATATACAAAATAATTATTAGATCTCTGACAAAATGAAGGATAACAAACTTAAATATACATTTATAAATTCATTTCCAAACACTCTTGATACAACAGTAACAAATTATGATCCAAACATACCAGATGCCTTTGTAATCACTGGAGATATAACAGCTATGTGGTTAAGAGATAGTACTAATTAGTTATGGACCTATATGGAGTTTGTAAATAAAGATAGCAAATTATAAAATTTAGTTAAAGGAGCAATAACTCGTTAAATCAATTAAGTCTTAATTGATCCATATGCAAATGCATTTAATTATCAAAAGAAATAATCAGAATGGAGTTCTGATAATACAACTCGATGTTTTTTAGGTGTCAATGTACATGCTATGTCTGAACATCTTCATGAGAGAAAATTTGAAATTGATTCATTAGTGGCTGTTTTAAGACTTTCTTATGGTTATTACAAAGAAACTAATGACACTTCAATCATAAATTTTAAATATTTAAAGGCTCTACAAAGAATACTGAGAACATTTAGAGATTAATAAGCAGATCAAACAGAACAATTTAAAACCTTCAGATTTCCTTATACTTTTTAAAGAAATGGTAGATCAACTGATACAGTTATTAATGGAATAGGAGAACCACTTAAAAGAACAGGATTATTAAGAACATTTTTTAGAGCATCTGATGATTCCACAATCTATTAATTTAATATTCCAGAAAATGCTATGGCTTCAGCAATCTTAAAATAAACAGCTGAAATGTTAAGTGAAGCTTAATTAACTTGGTCTTTAAGAAAAGCAGCTGAACCTTTAATTTAAGAGGCTATTGCATTATCTTCAGAAATAAGAGATGCTATTTACAAATATGGAATAAAGGATGGTGCATTTGTTTATGAAGTTGATGGAATGGGTAAGTAAGTATTTATGGATGATTCAAATCAACCAAGTTTGCTTTCTCTTCCTATTTATGGATTTATTGAAATTGATGATCCCTTATATCAAGCAACTAGAAAGAAAGCATTAAGTTCAGCTAATCCTTATTATTTCGTGGGAACAGCAGCCAAAGGTATTGGAGGTCCTCATATTGGGGCTAATTACATATGGCCAATGGCTATTGTAACTTAAGGATTGACTACTAATGATAAATAAGAACTGAGAGAATGCTTAAGAATGTTAGTAACAACTACAGGAAATAAATGGTTTATGCATGAAAGCTTTTTCAAAGATAATCCTTCTAGTTTCACAAGATCTTGGTTTGCATGGGCAAATGGATTATTTGGAGAATTAGTCTTAAAGATAGATAAGGAATATCCAGAACTATTAGAAGAAGAATATGCTTGATAATAGAAAAAATAATAATATTTCAGTGTTATTTAAGTAAATATGCTCTTAATCTCATAAACACTTTGATATCCATTTTTTCTGGTTTCGTTGTTAAGTTGTCTATCATTTCTAAATGGGCCTTTAATATTCTAGCTTTGGATTGCTAATAATTAAAAAGTTATTCTCCCCAATTAGTATCTCTTGGAATGATTGGAGATGTAATCTTTTTATATAAAGAATTAATAATTCTTCTATAAAGAACTATAATAATCTCTTCATTAATTAACTCATCTCCATCTAATAATTGGAGATATGTTCTAAGGAATTTAATTAAATCTAAATTGAATTAACTTTTCTTTATTTTAAATTCAGAAGTTAATTAATTTAAACTGATTCCTCTTGTACTTAAATTTAAAAGTTCTTTATATGGAACATAATGTAATTATACTAATTTTTCAATATTTGTAAGGAAATCATATTTTGTATTGCAATCCATAAAAATTCTGAATTTAACTCTGTCATATTTATTCTTATTGAGTGCAAATCCATAATACATCAAGAGATGTTCATTACCTAAACATCCATATAAATTTAAGATTTACTCTCCTTTCTCTATATCATCTACTGCTCTTGCTGTAAGATATGCTGGACATTTAAGAGTTGATTGTTGAATATCTGTGTACCAATCATGATCACTTTAATCCAAAGATTATTCATAATAATCTCTAAGATAATCATCATTTACTGCAGCTTAGACTTTTGAATCTTTGGTATTTAATTATTATGATTAATGATTGCTTTATTCAGTAGTAGGCTCATCTTCATCCTCTGAATCATCAGGTATCATTAATTTTGTAACCCAAATATCTGGTGCTCCTGTTCTAAGTAATTCCTAAAACAATTTTACTAATAATTTATTCAATATTTTAGAACATCTTTCATTCTCATTTACTTTTAGACTTTCAATTATTTCTTAATCCTCTTGACTAAACCAATATTTATTTTAGGAAATGTATTTAAATTTCATATAATTATTTTATATGTATTCTTCTTATTTATAATTTTCTTATTCTAATCCAAAGATAGCTTTATTCTTACCATGATTTATCATATCTATCATAGGTACTAAAAATGAAAAAGGATAATCATTATTAACACTTAGTCTTCTATTCATGCAATATCTATATGCCCAATCATAATCATCAGCATTTAATCCTATTTCCATTACTTCATCTTTTGCTGCCTAATATTCTTCTTCAAATTCTTATTTCAATTCTCTTAAATAATCAAATGGAATTGGTTAATCACAATCTAACAAACAAATAGGATTTGATGAAACATCAAAAATAGGTTTTAATTTTCCATGTCTTTATGTTGTCAAATAAAGAATTAATGTTTGGAAATCACTTTTTTTGTTACCAATTTAATTCAATGATGGATAAATATGAGGATTCTTCTTCATAATATCTACACATTATTCATTTTAGAATACTGTGAATGCGCTAATTGCAAATATATGAGAAACTTTTATAAGAAATTCGCCTGATTCAATATTATCAATAGCTTTAATCCCAAACATACCACCATAATCTTCAATTTCTACTTTATTCATCTAAACTCCCTCTCTTAGATATTCAATGTAATTATTCATCAATTATTACATATTACAAAAATAAATAAATAAATAAAATAATTTCATTTTTAATAATTGTTTTTCCATGAATAGAGACCCTCATACTTTTTATTACTATTACTCTATTCAATCTTTTTTTCTTATCCAAATTTCTTTGATTATACACTCTCTAATTATTTTAATTAATTCTATTATTTATATTACCCTTTTATTTTTTCATAGGACATTTGGCACTATCAATATTATTATTATATATTTTACATCAAAAAATGGTGAAGTCAAAGGGTGATTTAATTTATGAATATCTTTCTGATTATCTTTTTGATTATCAGTATTTATATTACGTAATTTAGATTCCTATATAATGTAATATGAGATTTACTTTAATACTCATATCACCAAAATCTTTATAATCTCTATTACTATCAAATGTTGTCCATTTTATTTAAGGGGAAAGACTACGCTATGGTCTTAACCACTTTCTTTCTTTATTTCCCAATTCTTATCCAAAAAGATCAGAGAATTATTGATTTTATTTCTTAGATTAAATATTAATCTCATTCTCTATTATTTTAGAAGGACTCTTATGAGTTGAACCATCCTAATATTATTGTTGTAACTCTTAATGCTTTCTTTATTTGGCATAATCTTTATCAAATTCTGCTTTCTCATTCACAGATGTGAGTACTTTACCATAATGCACATTTGTCCATTAGATTGATGTATTAATTAATTATTAATTTTCAGGTGATTTAGCTTTCATATCAATAATTTTAGTATTCTCAAATACATTACTTGATAGATCAACTTGTTTTCGTTATTTATCGTTTCTATTTGTTAACTATTTTGTAATATTTTAGTTATTCTTAACTTTTTCCTATGTATCATATTGTCTTAAACCATCATCCTAAACAAAATAGAAACTTTGCTTTGGTTAATCTTTTGGTTTATGAGGAGATGATGATTTCAGATTCGAAGATTAAGGATTGAATTATATAATCTATGACATAGTATCTTAAGGAGCATATTATTTTCTTGGAGATTAATTTTGATTGCTTAGATTACTCTTAGCTTATTAATTTACAAGTGAATTATCATTTTTCATTTTTAATTTAAAATATAAATTTTCCTTTACATTTAGTTTGCAATAATAAGAAATTATATAAATAGAATACTGTGAGTACTTGTTAATAATTATTTCTTATCTTATTTTACCTTCCTCTTTATTTAATTTAAGAAAATAAAATTTTATATTTTTTTATCTGAACATAAAATTAAGAAAAAAATATATATGAGTATATTGACAAACAAATTTATGAATAACGTTTCCACTTTAAATAAAATAAATATAATGGAAAATAGATTTTAACTTAATTAAAAATGAATAATCCTCATTTGATTAAAATCAAATCTCTAGCTAATTTAATTAGCTTATTTTTTAAATTTTCATCCACTTCTTAATTTATTTAGAGTCCATTACAATATAATATTTCATGGGTGTTTGAAGTCAAATGATCTTATTTAACAATGATCTCTCCTTCTATAACATCTGTTGGAATCTCCTACTTGAATTTTTTGTTTTGATCCCAATACCATTTATATATCTTTTCTTTTGGTAAATTGGTTACGTTGGCTATTTCTTTAATTGTATTTTATCCCCATATTTATTATTTTTAGTAAAAGTCATTAAGAGTGTCAATTTGCTTTTTTGATTTTTTGAAACGGGAACATTTATTCTCCTTATACATTAAAATTAAATTAAAAAAATAGAACAAATTTTGTTGTATCGATTTGTATTATCTCAAAAAATTACTAAAAAAAGTGTTCTAAAAAATTATTTATTCAATTTTAATTTATATTTTAACAGAAAAATAAGATTATAAATTATATTTTTATAACATTATGCAATCTTAATGTTGTTCCTATTTATAATACTATATACTTATTAATAAAGTGAATGTAAGAATAAATATAAAGGAGAAAAAGGAAACATAAAATTTTTAGATATGAAAATTTTATCATAAGCATTTCATACTCTTTAATTCGATCCAGCACTTCTATTCCTTATTTATTATGAAACACTCGGACAAGGTCTAGCAAATGTTCCATTAGAATTAGGTCTCCATGGTTTTTCAAATGTTTAGGTAGCACTCAATTTTTCGAAGGTATTTTGTTTTGTTTTTATATCCGGGCCTCCTTCTTCCATATATTGAAGTACTTCAAAAGTTCCTTAAAATCCTTTTTTATTTTAGTTTGATGGTCTAAATGGATTTCCTTTATAAAGAGGTGGTTTTTTTTCTAAAGGGTTATTATTTTAGTACATATTGTATATCCTGCTCCATCTAATAAGATACCTTCTGAAGTAAAGGGTCTATTTCCATGGCTAGTAGTGATAAATCTTGTTGTTCCAGGTAATTATTTGCTTTTGTGTTATATTCTCTCTTATCTATCCATTTCTTCTTATCTATCATAAGGATCAGGAATGTATTCTATCTAACTAAATAAATTATTTATTGTAGTTCTGCCTAATCCTTTTTTTGCAGGGTTAGTCAAAAAATTTCTAGCTTAAGTAATAACATTTCCAGCTGAATTTCGAGTTTTATAGATTTTATCATTATATTCCTTCATATGTTCAAATTCAGAATGTTTACTGAATAAGTTAAATTATATACACAGATTTTTAGTGGTCATTCGGTTTGAAACTGTTTGGATTTTTAATAGCCAATTCTTTCTCTTTATCATAAATTTATTTAGCTTTAAATGAATCTTTATATGGGTCATTTAATGTTGTATAGCCAGGTTCTGAAAACAAAGCAGGTTCATGTTTTTTTTAGAGTTTTTTATTAATTAGAATTCCTTTCTCTTTACCTTAGCCTTCATAATTAGAAAATATTGAATACTTTTCAAAGCATCGTTATATTAATCCCCCAATAATAAAGGTGGTGGCTAATTAAATAATCCATGACGCTCTCTTTCATTATGTTTTAATTATACCTTTAAGAGATATTTTCTAAATCATGAATGTAATTGTCATTAGAAGGAACTCTATACTAAGTTGACATGAAATATAAATAATAATTATCATAATTTTTTTTCATATTTAGAATCATAAGCATATCTATATTCTGTAACTTTATTATTCCCTCTAATACTTTTATGAGTTTTCCATCCTTTTTAATCTCCAGTACTGTTATTTTATAGATAACCAGAATTTCGAAACTTCTAGTTCTTTAATACTTTATCAGTTTAGCGATATGTAGGAGAAACCAATACTTTAGGATTCTGAAATTAAACCTTTGTAGAAGTATTCCACTTTTCATTATTGATAGGAACATGATTAAATGCTTCTCTTGTAATTGCTGAGAAAGGTCTGCCAAATATATTTTCTGATTTGGTATATGGGATATGTCCAGAATAACCAGGAATGGCTGAATTTTTGAGAAGGATTTAGTCTTAATTTCTCATAGTTTAATAGCTGGTTCTATAGAAATGATGTTTGGTCCAACCATCAAGTTATTCAATATTTATAGATAATTGCATAATTATATAAATCATTCAAGTTATTCTCTTTCATACAACTAAAAAATAAATAATATATAATTACAGGTCTATCTTGATCTTCTTCATCATCTTCTTCTCCTTAATAATCTTCATCTTCTAATTCAACAATATCATCATCCTCATTAATAATTTCTAAGACTTCATTATCATCTTCTTTGTTTTGTTTTCTATCAAAATATTACTTTCCACTAATCTTTTTCATCATTTCTTCTAATTATGTAAAATTCTTTTCTCTCTTTTTAATTTCATAAATCTCTTAATCAAACTTCTTCTTCCAAATAGTAAAACTTTCAAGTGTAACAGGAGTGTTTGTTGCAAATTTAGGCATGGGTGGTATATATATATAGTTATCATCAGTCTTTGAGTTTTATTGATCATATAATTCTTATAAATACATTGATTGATCATAAACATAATCCTAAAATGTAATTGATATTATTACTCTTAATGATTCAACAACTGCAAAGACTATTGGTTAACAATCTGCTTCTTTTTCATGTTGTTCAATTACTTATTCACAAACCTTTCTTGCCCTTATTAAATTATCCTAAGTGAAATTTCTACTCAACCCTTAAATTTCAAAATGAAATCTTTATGATTTTAATGGATAATCATCAGGAAAGGCAATGAATATTTTGCAATAAACTACATTATCATGATAAAATTAATCTGCTGGTACAAATGGGGCAACAATTATTTAAAATGAATAAGGATGCACATCTTTTAATTACTCATAGTCTGATAAATAGATAGCAGATAATGCATTAAGTTCATCTTTTTAGAAGTGATCACATTATTCATTATGAGTTTGGATCATAATTAATTATTTTAATAAAATACATACAATAATAGAATAGATAAGGGATATTTTATAATGTACCAAATATAAATGAAATCATGCCTTCTTCTTTAATTTTGCAGCTTATTTGGTTGCAATATCGATTTTTTTTAAAGCATTAGCTCTTCTTTATTTAGCATTTAATCTCTTGGCTCTGAATTTAGTGTGATCTCTCTTTGGATTTTATTTAACACCTCTCTTTACTCTATCACTATTCTTTCTGATTTCATCATGAATTTTCTTGAATAATTCTTAAACTGATTTGGCACCAGTCTATTTATATAAAAATTAAAATATACAGTCTTCAATGTTTATTCCCAATTGTGGAATTAGACATCAAATTTAGATCTTCCATCTTTATTTGTCTTCTTTTCCTTTTATAAGAGAGCCATATATTTATCAACATGAACACCAAAGATTCTGTCTTTATGAGCATTGGCATCATATTTCTCTTTCTTATCATTATCAACAGAGAATCCTGGGAATCTTCTGTTATTGTGTGGGATGTGAATACCACCATCAGCAGCTCCCTTTAAGGCTGCAAATACTCTATTTCCAAGAGTTGATCTAACCAAACCAATATCAAGAACAGCAAAGAATGGTCTTCTTTCTGGATTCTCTTTATCAGCTACATCATACAAGTTTCCATCAATATTTTTATTTCCTTCATAGAATTTATCCATTTTCAATGTCTTAAGTGTTCTTCTGGCTAATAATAATCCTGTGGCATATGAAGCAGCATAATTTTTTAATCCAGTTGTCAAACCAAATCTCTTTAATTCAGTTGATTCAGCAGATGCCACTACTTTGTCACCTTTCAATGTAGCATAAATGACTTAGCAAATGATCTTAGTATTTGTGTGTCTAACAACAAATCTATATTTTGGGGAATTATATTTATCCTTGTCTTATACAATTAATCTGCTTCTTGCATAATAATCAGTCTTTCCTTCTCTTCTTCTTCTGAATTATGTTTAGAATCTTTTGAAATATGGTTTTCCTTTAACAAGCTTAACAAATGCCATTAATTATTAAAAAGATTTGAATTTTTCATAAATTATACTCAAGCACTTATATATTAATATAATAAATTCAAGTGTCTTTTAGTTTAACTCTAAAATTTCTATAATGTTCATACTCCAATTTCCTCATTTGATATAAATATTCAAAATTTAGGAGATCACTAAAATGAATTAATATTTTGTTGAAAACTATAAATTAAAAATTGTAAATTTAATAAATATCTTAGTCAGTTTAGTTACATGTTTACTATATTATTATGAAAATGGATAAATTGTAGATAAGTTATGATAACTAATAAAAACAAATATAGATAAATATTATTTAAATTAATCTTGAAAAATGAGTAATTCTTATCTTTTCATAAACAAAGTGATTCAATTCATTTCAATTGTATTATTGGAAATAAATATTTAAATATTCAACACAATACAACATTATCATTTTTATATTTTAACATTAATATGTTCATAATCACCGAATAATAACATCTACTGTTGTAAAAATTGGCATAAACCCGTAATGATGATAAATAAAGACTTACAAGTAATCAAAGCAGATCTTTAAGACCCTCACTTTTCCTAAATGATATAAATAGCATCGTCAATAATTCTTTGCCTACTATTTAATAATAAAAATAGGTCTAGCATGAAGACTTGTCTCATAAGCCTACAGAAATCATGCAAATCTCAACAGAAAGAGAGTATGTTAAACTCCCTAAAATTGGAAGATTTTCTCATCTTCGAAAATCAACATAAACTGAAGTGAATGAATTTTAATTCTTATCACATCAGAATTCTCCTATTAGAAACCATTAAGATATATAATAATAAGAAAATAAATATTTTTCTAAAACCCCAATAAAGAATATGGGAACTCTCGTTTTTCAAGGAAATTCCAGCACTAAGAAAAAGAGTGTTAAATTTAATCCATAAATTGAAACAATAAATGAAGCAGGGTTGATTGGCAAAGAATATATTGAAAATACTTAGAGATAAAGTAGATTCAAAAGATAAATTTTTAAACTTCACACACAAGTAAACTGACTATCTTAAATATCTATAAATAATTATTGTCACAGAAAATTCTCAAAATTATTAAGCATCTTCTTCAGTATTTAACTCTTTTTAATCACTTTGTGATCCTTATTATTATTCTTCATTTATTAATTCTTCATCACTCTGCTTTTATATTTATTCACCTTAACCTTATAATTATTCAAATTATTATAATTCTTGAGACTCATTATTATTTATAATAAAATCTGATTAAGAATCTTTAATACATTCAGTAGTTTAATCAGCTTATTAATTTGTTTCCTCATTTTCATTTAAAGATAATTAACCAATTTATTCAACTATATTAACATCTTATTCTTCATTTAATTATTATTTTTAAATATCTTCTTATCTTTTCATTATTTCTTATTTTTCTTCTTTCAATTATTTTAAGATTTTAGGTTCTTCTTTTACTTATCTTAAAGGAATCTCATCATCATCAATTTCTTCTAACTAAGTCTCCTAAATGGAAGAAGATTCTTTATTAGGATTTAGATTCTCTTATTATTATTATACTTCTGGCTCTTAAAGTTAGACTTCCTAAGTTGGTTGATATTTAACAAGAGATTTAATTGCCTTTTCATTTGATAGTAGATTAATTACATCAAGTAATTATTAATTTTTTGATTATCTTCCTTATAAATTTTAAATTCAATAATTACCTTAATTTTTAATATGATTTTCTATAGCCATATATAACATATACTTTATGCTCTAAACTTTGTCTTAAGCTAATTCTACTAAAGGGTTTAGAAGATATTTTTCAAAGATGTCATCCTCTAAATTCATTATTTTTATACACATTTAAATAAATCTATTTATAAATTATGAAAATTTACGATTATCTTTAATAAAATACTGATGATTTTTAAAAGCCAATCATACTTTCTATTAAGCATATTTTATATTATTCAGACATTGATGAATTTTTTATTCCTTCAAAAAAAGAATAAATTTTAGAAGATGCTATTTTTCTAACTTATGCTACATTATCAGTGCATAATTTAAAAGCAATAGGAATAATCATTTTAAATATAATATCTGCTGGAAAAATAAGAGCCATTTCATCTAATTAATTAGCTATTGATTCTCTAATTCTCCATTTTTTTTAATCTTTCTAAATAAAAAAAAAGATTTCTAAAAATGCCTCTTTCTTTTCATCTGAAAATATCTTCAAAAATTAAGATAAATTCTTAACACAACCCATTAATACATTATCATTTGGTTCTTTTACAAATATAGTCTCTAAAATAGGAAATAAATCTATTTCAGCTCTCTCTGCTCCAATAATTTTAGCAATTTCATGAAGACTGGCTGCTAAAGTCTTACAAATTCTTTCATTTTTTTATTTCCATAAATGATTAAATAATTTATGCAATTATTACCATCTTGTAACTCCAACTGTCTATAAAACTGCAGGAAAACCATAAGCACATGCAAACATAACTTACTATTCAGGAAGTAATTCTCTTATATCTGAATCAGCCATTTTCAAATAATTTTCAATTAATTTTGGATCAATTTTGTCTTTTTCAATTGCTGCAATAAATCTAGCTAAACATCTATAAGCTACACCTTTAACATATTTATTAGAATCGCTAAAAATGTAATTATCTCATTACTTTTAGAATTATAATAACTGTGGTGTAAGATCAACAATTTTTTAATTTTATGATGACAATTCTACAATTTATAAAAAATGCTCAACACATGCTTGCTTTACTTTTGTGTTTGGTTCTTTACATCTTTTCATGTAAAATGGAAACAATTTTTTATTAAAAAAGTCTTTTCCTACCACTTTTGCAACCAAAGGTAATTAATTTACTGCTTCTTTTCTTACATCTTATTTTGAATCTTCTCCAAGAGACATTACTTCAAAAGCTATAAAAGATTCACTTAATTATATCCCAAACATTGATGATAGCTTACCCATTAATTATAAAGCTACTATTCTATTATCTTGATTAAGATCATCATGTGCCATCTTAATTATGATTGGTAATAATTAATTTCCTTTTTCATCACCTTATAAATGAAGAGCAATCTTTGTTAATTATTAACCTGCAAGTTCTTTGATTTTCAAAATGCTATTCAATAAAAAATAGCTTAAAATTTGTATGACAGGTTATTAAGCTTATTAAGATGCTTCATAAATTAAATTGAGTTAATCTATAAACATTATTTAAAATCTTTCATCTTCAGTTTTCTAAATTATATATTACAACTATATTACATATTTTTCCATAATGGTAGGCAATTTATCAATAGATTTTTATCCTAAATTTCTAACACAATAGCTAATATGTTTAGTGTAATTCTCTTTGTCTATATTAGTCATTTTATGTATATTATATAATTTGTTAAGAAGCTAATCTTAATCATCATCTAAAACAAAAGAATGAATATCGCCTTGCTTCTGATTTAAGAAAAATGCTTCTTCTTTCAATATTTAATTCATTATAGACCTGTCATCTGATTTCAGTTTAGGAGAAATTTTAATGTTATACATATTTTTAAATTAATATTAAGCTTTTTAATGCTAACATCATGAACTTTTCTTTTTTGATATTTATTTCTTTAAAATTTAAATTTGCTTTTTTTTATCATTTTCTACCAAAGGTTTCTCACTTTATTATCTTTTGTTTTCAACCTTTTTACTTTATATCTACTTTTATGATCTTTTTTGTAAATTTTTTGAATTCTTTTATGAATTTTTTGAATTCTATTTTTTTTATTTATCCTTCTCCCAATCTAATTACTTATAATACAAATTGATTTCATTTCTAAATTTTCTGAATATAAATAAGGCAGCTCTTGCATCAATTTCAGAACTATGTTATCCTTATTGAATATTTTGACCCAAATACTTCAAACACATCTTTTTTAAACCCTCATATTATTAATAATATTACTTGATCCTTCTTCTAATTTTAAAAAGTCCACTTTCATAAGATCTCTGGTTTAGTAATCCTCTAGATTAAATTCCATAGCATCAAAATCACTTTTCAAAGTATGTCCAATTATGGTCTTATCTATAAAATAATTGCTTATATTTACCTTTGAATAAAAGTTAAAGCTTTTATTTTTCAAAGTCATTATAAACTGGTTTATCTTTAATTATTTATGGAGTTATCCCAGAAATTCGTGTAATATAATTTATCACCTTAAATCTTGGTTTATAATATTGATCCAAAACAACATAACCATTATAATTAACAACTGTAATCCTAGCAAGCATTTATACACTAGCTCCAATCTCATTTTCACATTCAACCATTTCACAATCAATAGCCAAAAAAGATCCTGTTTGATTCTAACTACCAGGAACAGGGAATCTAACATCATATTTTTGCATTGCTTCTGTTATAGTTTAAACTTTTTATGATTCCTCGGTATTTTATTTAGGTTAAACCTTATTGAACATAATTAAATTATGATAAAAATAATTTCTACAAATTATTTATTTAATAAAGAAACATGAGTATAAAATTTATATTAACTATTAAAGAATTATGTAAAATTTAATTCAATTAAAATTACAATAATAAGATCTTTAAATTGAATATTTCCTTAATATTTTGTAATTCCTTTGTGTTCAAAAATAAACAAACATAATTATTCAATAATTCATTTTTAATTTTCTATTATTGAAAAATAGAAAAGAAGAAAATATTTGAAATATTCTAATTCAACTTTATTTTATTAATTTGAAATCAATTTTACTAATTAAAAAGAATGTTTAGAATATAATAAAACAAAAATAAATATTTTCATCTCATTTGATGATATTATTCTATGCTAGCTAAAATTTATAGTCTTTCAGTTTCAATTAATTCATCTTCAATTCTTCTCTTAAACCTTGATAAAGATTTCTCAACTGAATATCCCATCAATTTATCTTTATTTTAGTTTTTTTAAGAATGCCCATCATTTATTATTTATGAAATTTAGACTTCTTCATTTATAGATTTCTAAATAAATAAATATATAATTACATATTCTTTAAAAGAAACTTCTTCCATATCCTTAGTTATCTTTTCTTTATCATCTTAGTCCTTTTAATTAAGTTCAATAACTCTCATAGCTATTTCTTAAGTTTATTTTCTTTTTTCAGGATTATACAACTCTCTTTCATCTCTTGTACAAAGATCTTAAGCTTTAAATTCTTTAGATATAACCTTTCTTCTTAATTCAAAATTTTTATCATCCTTCATATGTAAATAAATTAATTTGCATCTATCTACATAATGAGTTTCTAGCCTTCCTTTGTGTTAAACATTGAATTTTATGTGAGTAAATACTTCTATATCTAAAGCCAAATTTTTTATATATTAAAATAATATTGAGTCTGACAAAGTAATAATTTCCTTTTCTTATTAATTAATAGAATTTTAATCTTTCTGCCACATATCTTTTAATTCCTAAACTCCATAGAAAATGACACAAAAAAATTTCTCTCTAACTTCTTATCTTTTTTTTTCAAAGTTAGATATATTTTATTCCATTTATCTGTATTTCTCAACCCAAGCTTTCATCTTTTAAATACTAGCAGTTGATATATTTGAATATGGTTAAGATGGTTATTTTAATAATTCATTTGTATTGATTTTAGCTATTGGTGCTTCTTTATAAATTGAATTAATTTTAGAATTTTCATTACCTATATTACTTTATTATATAACATGAATTGTATTAGGCATATATTCATCTTTAGTTTTGATTTTCTTTACCATTTTATCTAGATCTATTCTTCCTACATTCAATTCTATCTCTTCTTCTCCATCATCTTCAATTTATATATTATTTTTTTATTCATTCATCTTATTTAGATATTATTTTTGATCAATTAGATTTGAATTTTTAGATTGTAGATTTTTTTTGATATGTTCAGGAATGACATTATTACTTATTTATTCCCTACATGTATCACAATTAACTATTCCATAATCTAATTTCTTTATCAAACATTCTGCATGGAAAGCTTTTTCACATTAACTACAAAGTACAAGAACCTAATCAGGATTTACATATTGACCACAAAAACAGGATTTAAGTATAGGCATAAATTCTCTTTAAACATACATTTGTCTCATCACATATCCTTTTTTTTACTTCATTTAGACATATTCAGGTAGTTTAGTAATTTAAACTTTTTCTATAATATCAGACATTTTCCCTTTTTTCAATTATTCTGTCTTAAAAACTTCATATTATCCATGATGTGGTTATTTACCTAATAAAAATTAATAAATTAGAATATCACAATTATATAGATTTTTATAATTTGAAGTTAAGTAATAGATTATAAATAATAATAAATAAAATTAACCAACCTTTAGGTAAGTCTTCTGCCAATATATATTCAAAATATTCGAACCAATCTTCTTCTTAATTGAAATTCTCGATTTTACAAATTCCAAAACCTTTTCCTTTATGAAATTTGACAAAATCAGAAAAAGTATATCTCTTACTCATTAATTTATTTATTTTTATTAATTGCTTCTGAATTTAATTGTATTTAGTCTTTAATATTTATTAATTGTAACACCATTTTAGTTACTTAATTTTAAGTTAAATTTAAGATTATATTTGTTGATTTAAATAATTTAGGAAACTAATCAATTAGTTCAATAATGTAATTAAACTATATTTTAATTAAATTGAAATAACTAATGTATTTTTAATTCCATATTTTTTTACTATGTTATTACAAAAGAGAATATTAATAAATATTGATGTTAATTATATGATCCTGAATTTATTATTTTTATGTGGTTAAATATAATTAATAATGAAATATATTTTACACCAATTAAATACTACAAGAGTTATTAAAATATATATTTTGCAATAATTTTATATAAAATATTAATCTTAAAAATGAACATGTAAAGAAAAAGCCATTCTCCTGAATTAAGAAAAGAGTTAGCATTAAAATTATTAAGAAATGAAAAGCATCCTTTTGTTTCCAAATAATCTTAATCCCCAGAAATAAAGATGACTAGATCTACAGTCTCTTAAAAGCGTAAGCCCCAAGATCATCCTGTTAATTCACCTATTATTGAGGATCTGTTGAGGCAATGTAAACTATTAGAGGAATTAGTTAAGAAGTCAAAGAAGGTAAAAGTTCTTATGGATAAGTGTAGATTATTGATGAGAAAGAAACTAAAATTTAACTTTTACTTCAATTACTTAAACAAAGAGAAAATTGTTGTAAAGAGTTATAAATGTAATCACATAAACTAATGGAAGAGAGATAAATTTTAATTGAACATATCACTCAATTAGAAAACTAACTCAATCTATAAGAAGAAGAAGAAGCATGTATGATATATAATTTAATTTATTAGATTCTTAAGATGGATTTTAACAACATATGACTAATTTAAATGATTTGAGACATTTTCTAAATTAAATTCGTCATAGTAATGAAGACATCCCAGTTTTTGTTGATGTTGATAATCTGACTTATGAATAACTTCTTCAACTTGAAGATACAATTGGTTACGTAAATAGAGGTTTGAGTAAAGAATAAATAAAAACTATTCCAAAAATAAGCTTTGATTAATGCAAAACAGATGAATAATTGTAATAGACATTTATATTAATTTAAAGATGCTCTATATGTTAAATTGAATTTGAGAGTACTGACAAATGCAGAGCACTTCCTTGTTAACATATCTATCATTCAAAATGCATAAAACTATGGTTAGGAAAAGAAAAACATTGTCCAATATGTAAATAGGAACTGGAAATTAATATACCAATTTAATATCAAACAGAAGAATAAGTAATGGTAGAACAATGAATTAATAAATTATATATCTTATAATGGACAATTGAATATCTATATATAATTATAATATTGAGATATTTTAAAATCAAATAAAATAAATAATATCAAAGGTATAATTATTTTTTTCTATTTTTCAGAAATTAAATATTTGTATCATAAGATGATAATGTTTGAGAGTTTAACATTCCATCTTATGATAATAAAAAATCATTTTGATTTTCTCTAGATTCAGGTGACAGAAAAGTAGTCATTGCCTTTTTATTAATTCGATGATTATTTTAGACTTACTGTTATTAATCTTTAACATTATTTTCATCATCTGAACTTAATTGTTATGCTTATTTAATAATATCCATAGGTAAAAATGTATTTTTTTTATCAAATTTTCTAGTTTATATTTCACCAGTTATTCTGCTTGGACTCTTTTCATCCATGTTATCTATTATTCCTTTTTATAATAAGACAGTTTTTAAGTGTTTCATTCTTCTTTTTAGTTCATTTTATGTAGATTATTCAGCCTCTCTGATTGCCTTATCTAATATTCCTTTTTAGGTTTAGGCTTAAAACATTAAATTTAGTTTGAATTTTTCTAAACCAACTTTAATCTTATTTGATTCATTCATTTATTATTCAGCTTACTATTCTAAACCTTAATAAAAAGCCTTGGTTTTTGTAAATTATTCTTCATAATCTCTTTTTTTCCTTCTTGCATTTTCATGTAATTCTTCACCTATTTCTCTGAATTCTGAAAAAAATATTTTATAAAAGTTTTATTTTGATAAAGACAATAGCTCACATTAATTTTATGCAATAGCAGTATATTTTCTTTAAGTTTCTTTAATTAATTCTATTTCACCAAAATATTATCCAACATCTATTGTTACAAAAGGATGATAATCACATTCTTTTATACATAATGAAACACTACCCTCACGAATAAAATAGATTTCACTTGCATAATCACCTTCATTATATATAACATCTCCTTCAGGAACCCTAAAGATTGTTAACAAAGGTCCAATATAGGCTGTAAATCTTAATGGTTTATGTTTAAAAAGATCAATACCAAGAAATACATTTTTATACATGGCTTATGATAAATCAGTCCTTAAATTTTATGGTAAAAGATTTAGAAATTCAACTATTTCATTCTAATTATTTTTATATCCTTATTTTAACACTTTACAAATCTTAGCATATAAAGTATTATCAATTTTATGATGCTTAACAATTTCATTCAATGTATCAATTTTTTCTTTATATTTTACATTTTATGAATCTAATTAAGTCAATAAAGAACTAACTGAACCAATAGTAACAGAGAAGTATATTACTCCAATAATCATTATGAATATTGTAATCATCTATTCTGTGCTATTTGTTGCTGATATATCCCCATATCCTGTAGTTGCCATTGTTTAAAAAACCCAATACATACTCATTATATATCTTTCAAAATTAGACTCATTATCTACATATTGTTCAATCCAAGTCTAAGTATCAGATGAGATTGTTCCAATGAAATACCAAAAGCAAGAAAATAAATGACTTACTAAGATTACTGATAATAATGATATTATCATAACTCTAATATTTTACTATGATAATTAAACAGAATTACGCTTATATTTGAAAATTGATTTAACATTTCTCCATACTTTTTCTTTTATATGCAAAACTTAAGAATTCTAGACATTTTTATAAGTTTTAACATCTTATAAGCTTTTGGAAGTTTTGCAAATTTTTGAAAACCAGATGTATTGTTATCATCAACTAAATACTCTAAAGGCATAATACAGATTATGTCCAGTATAAACCAACCAGTTAAATAATGTTTAATAATAGTCTTTCTATCTACTATTAAATCATCTTAATCATCAACATAAGCACTAAAAAGATTTATGATTATATCAGTTCCATACAAAATATCTATAGCTATATTGAATCCATATGAAACTGCTGAATATTCTGTATCATCATTCTTAAATGATATTTCATAAGGAACTACAAAGCATACACACAGTAATGCTATTATTATTAAAATGTCCCATATCATTTTGACTGGATCATCAGGAAATATCATATAAGTAAGATGAGCATATCTTTTATAAATTAACTCAATACCGTCTATCAAATCTATATCTAGATTCATCATCGACTAAATTTTCTTCGGTTTCTTCAAAAAATGAATCTTCTTATATCGAATCATTTTAATTTGAACCAGAATTGTCTCGAATCTCCTCTGGATATACTCTATTTTTTCTTATCGATTATTAGAGACTTTGCAAACTTTAAACAATAACCTATAAATTACCTTTATAATCTACTAGGTCTAATCCCTTTATTTCTAGGTACAGATGCATGACTAATAAAAGTTCCTTATTTCAAAATGCTTCTCACTTAAGGTATTATTTCTTCTTAAAAATCATGTGGAGTTTTGCTTGAACGTTTTGTACCACTATGTATTGCACGGTTGCCACTTTAATTTTTATTTTTCACTGTCTTTTAATCTGATGGACTAGAACTTGATGGTCGTTATTCAATTTTTAGATTATCAGTTTACTCTTTGTCTGAATCTAAGCTAAGACTTTGTCTTTATTTCCAAGTCTACTGTTTTTCCTCATCAATTTCTTAAATTTGTTATTTTTGTCCTAAGTTCTTCATTTTATTTATTAATATTCTACCATGATATGCAATGATTAATTACTTGACAACTAAGGGTTAACATCTTAATTATAAAGAGTTTGACTCTATGTTTGTTAGCTAAAATGATCTTAATTCATTAATTTTATTAAATTATATGGTACAACTTAATTAATTTGATTGGAACAAATACATCTTAATTCATTCATACTGCTTAGATAAATCCTTACATTTAAAAACATAGTTCAATTTTAAATTGGCATAAACTTCATTTTTTAAATAATTTTCAAATTTTACTATTCATATTGACTAATAATTATTGATTATTATCAATAACTAATTTCAAATAAACAATCATTAAATAAATATTATTATTTATGTAAAGATTGTAAGAGTAGTAAAACAAATTTATAAAAAACATCTTTAAGTATTTTTTCATTAAATTATTTATAACAAATACATGTTATAAATTGTAATTTTACTTATGATATTCTAATTTTAATATAGATTTTATTAATTCCAAGATATAATATGTTTTTTTGTATTAGAAATATCTCAATTAACAGATGTAATTATATATTAAGTGATACTTCATTAAATTTATTGAGGATTTTTATTCTTTGACTCTTTAATATGAAATCAAATTTATTGATAACAAAAATAAATGAAATTTCTTATTGTAAATGGTTATCATGCTTCTCGGAACAACTTTAAGTTAATTGAATAATTCAAGTAATTAATATGGGATGTATAAAAATAATTAAGTTAGATAACATAATCATTAAAAGAAGTTGCGGATGTTGAATTCGAGTTTGTTATTGTTGATAGGCATTCAGTATAAGAATATCTATTTGAACCTGAAACGTCTCTAGTTAGACCAGAACATGGATTGAAATTTGATGCTATTGACATGATTTTCATAGCTGCATCACCAAATGTTCGTCCATGGCATCATAGAATGAGAAGTGTAAATGAATGTCATTACATAAGATAATTACACTTATTCGAATGTGTTTAAAAACAAAAAAACTATTATTTATGACATCTTTTGGTGCTTAAGCGCTTGCATATTTATGTGCCACAAACATTTAAAATGTATAAAATAATAATTAATTGTATAGTATATAAATATAACAAATGGATATGGTGAAGGATGCAAGCTAGTAGATTTTCCAAAATTTACAAATTAAGCATTAAAAAATGGATCTGATGATTTCTTTTTAGATTCAACTACTGGTGATCTATATTTTTATAGTAAATAAACTGATGAATGGATGCCTAAATCTAATGTAGGTATTCATCATCGTAGAGATGCTATGGAATATTAATCTATTGGAAAATTTGTAGTTAAATCACCAACTTATAAACCTAAATAATAGATGCTTAGTAATTAAACTGAAATGACATGTATTATCAAAAAATAATTTTTAAATTTTTGGTTGTTCAAAGATGTTTAAATGGAATTCTCAATTAAATAATCTAATGCATGGGATATACATACGATAACATTCGTTAACCCAGAAAAAGTTTATATTTATTTATTAATTATTTAATAGAGATTTTCAGTTTTAGCTGAAAATAATTTTAGAGGACCTTTAATTTTATAATGTGATAATATTTTAGCCTTGCTTTTTGAAATCGAAAATAAATCTAGAGATCAAATCAACATTATTTCAAATTTTATTGAAAATGGAATTAAAACTATAAGATATTCATCACATTATGTATAATTTATAAAATTATTTAGAATTAAATAAGTATTACCTTTGAAAAATATTTTAACACTTAAAAAGGCATTAAAAATATAGAAATTATATTTGACAAAACTGTGAAAAAAACTAATAAATTAGATGATTCCATCAAACCTAAAAGTATAGAGTATAGAAAACTTATTAATGCATAAATTTAAGAATAAGAAAGGGAAAAACTACATGCTATTTAAGCAGGTCTTTCTAATAAAGTTAATAAATAGCCAGAGTATTTATATTTTCAATTAAATTAGAACTGTATCTCATAACAATATAATGTAAAAAAATTATAAAGTTAAACGAAGAAAATCCTTTTCTTTAAAATAATAGTAACTTATGATGCTTTCTTAATAAGTTCAGAATCATGAATTTCTTCAATAAAATCCTAATCTAAATAATTTATTTAATGATTAATAATAAATCAAAAGTAGTAGACATGTTAAAATGAATACAGAACCAAAACCTTAACCTAGAATTAAATAAGATGATGATTTTGATAATGATTAGAAAGCCCAAAAAAATCAATTTAATTAAATTTAAGTTAGAAAAATATTACATCCATCTTTAGATGAATAATTCTTAGGATAGAAAAGAATTTGGATTCCAGGATTCTTGAATTATAAATTAATAGATGTTTAATCTGGTCTTACTTCAACAAGAAAAGGTAGTCGGCCTTTAACTGATCGCTTATGATTTCTTTATTTAATTAATCAATCATTTTCATTATTAGTATTCATTTTTTTTATTATCTCTTGAGCAATAGATTCTTAAATTAAATTAGTCTACTAAAATGTAATTTTTTTTGAATCTAATAATTCTACANTAATAGAGATTTTCAGTTTTAGCTGAAAATAATTTTAGAGGACCTTTAATTTTATAATGTGATAATATTTTAGCCTTGCTTTTTGAAATCGAAAATAAATCTAGAGATCAAATCAACATTATTTCAAATTTTATTGAAAATGGAATTAAAACTATAAGATATTCATCACATTATGTATAATTTATAAAATTATTTAGAATTAAATAAGTATTACCTTTGAAAAATATTTTAACACTTAAAAAGGCATTAAAAATATAGAAATTATATTTGACAAAACTGTGAAAAAAACTAATAAATTAGATGATTCCATCAAACCTAAAAGTATAGAGTATAGAAAACTTATTAATGCATAAATTTAAGAATAAGAAAGGGAAAAACTACATGCTATTTAAGCAGGTCTTTCTAATAAAGTTAATAAATAGCCAGAGTATTTATATTTTCAATTAAATTAGAACTGTATCTCATAACAATATAATGTAAAAAAATTATAAAGTTAAACGAAGAAAATCCTTTTCTTTAAAATAATAGTAACTTATGATGCTTTCTTAATAAGTTCAGAATCATGAATTTCTTCAATAAAATCCTAATCTAAATAATTTATTTAATGATTAATAATAAATCAAAAGTAGTAGACATGTTAAAATGAATACAGAACCAAAACCTTAACCTAGAATTAAATAAGATGATGATTTTGATAATGATTAGAAAGCCCAAAAAAATCAATTTAATTAAATTTAAGTTAGAAAAATATTACATCCATCTTTAGATGAATAATTCTTAGGATAGAAAAGAATTTGGATTCCAGGATTCTTGAATTATAAATTAATAGATGTTTAATCTGGTCTTACTTCAACAAGAAAAGGTAGTCGGCCTTTAACTGATCGCTTATGATTTCTTTATTTAATTAATCAATCATTTTCATTATTAGTATTCATTTTTTTTATTATCTCTTGAGCAATAGATTCTTAAATTAAATTAGTCTACTAAAATGTAATTTTTTTTGAATCTAATAATTCTACAGGAAAAAGATAGTTCATTTTTCAATTTAATTTTATATGATAATTAGTTTTAATTTATGAGAACTATTAATATGATTAAAATGAACAATAAAAGTTTGATCAATATTTAGGATAAGATTATTAAGAATAAGATTACTAAAACTAATAATATCATTTTTTAAGAATAATAAAGATAGCATTTTCAAAAACCTCAAGGACTCTAAAATTAATCAGGTTTATCAAAATTAAATTTAACTAAATAATAAGAATAAGACTTTTTATAGAAGATTTTAATTCCTTAACAAGGGAAAAAATGATATACTTTATGTATTTATAATTATAATATTACATCGAATCTCAAAAATGTTATGTATAATAAATTATAGAATTTAAAATTATAATAAGTATAATTTATTAGGATTCAATAATAATTCTAATCATATGAGCCAAAGCTTTTCTTAAATAAAGACAGGACTTCTAACAAATCAACCAAACTAAAAACATTATGAACCTTAAAAAGAATGTATTATCGAAATGGAAGATATGACATATCAATAGAGTTATGTTTTGCTACCTAATGAATGTAATTTATAATTATTTTAAAAGAAATCAATCACTAATCTAAACAATAATAACTTAATAATAGTTCTGCATTACCATAAAAATAGGGCAACAATCATTTATCTTAAAATCAAATATAGGTATCTTTAGTTTAAATTAAAATTAGCATAGATATTAAAATTAGCAATAGATATTTGTTCCATAAAGCATACTGAATAATTACTAATATAATAAGTAGCAATTTGCAATAAAATTAGTCTTAGTAATTAATTTTACATATATAGAATTCATTACGCAGTTTGCTAATTTTGTAGAACTTCATAAAATATCACAAATGACTAAAAGCCTTTTATGTGCTATCAATGTAGATAAATATAATAACCAATTTATGAATTTTTAAAATGTTCTAATTGCAATGTGAAAGTGAAATATTAAAAAGGAAGTAATTAAATATTATAATAAAAAGTATCTTCTATTATCAGATGCACGAGGTGTAACAATTATAATTTGTTAAATTTATAGCCTTAAGTATAGGGGGATAAGGATAAAGTATAATTATTAAAATCAGATATTTTCATAAATAGATAATTACTATTTGTAAATTTTAATTTTTCAATTCTTATTATTGCTCTTTAATGTAATTATATTTTTTTAAAAATACATTCTTAGAGAAATGTTAACAAAAATATTTTCCAAATGCTTCAATGTATACGAGATAAGAAAAAACAAAACCATATACATTAAGCTCTGAATTTATCTTTTAATAAAATTATAAAATATAATAGATTCATTGTATAAAATATATATTTTCTTTTTTAAAATTGAATTTAGTCATACTAATTACAATTTAGTGTCTCGAATAATTATATTAAGTGATGATGCAAACATATTTCAAATTTCATTATTAACACTTATGTAAAAAACTTGAAATATTCTTTGAGAAAGTGCTTTAAAACTCTTGTTTATGTGCTAATTTAAGGGTTTTTTACTTTAAAAAATGAACATTCTACATTATTTATAAAAATTAAGAGTTTTTCCATCTTTGAAGTTATCTAGATCATGTTAGTTGAAACTTTATTTTTATAGATTAAAATTGTAGAATTTATATCATCAAAAATGTATAATCAAAGAGGATCAAGTTTAGAGAAAACCTTCTTTTGCATATAATTAATGCCATATTTAGAATTTGTAAGCATTCTTTTATAGTTTTGCTTAAATTCCAAAATAGACGAATGAACTTTGATATTATTTCTTGGAGGCCTCTCGGTAAGAGGTTGTTAATAGCTATGTTTACTAACTGACTTTAATGACATAATATTTAAACTTACTTATTTTTGATTTAGATCAGCAAGAGACATAATGTTTTTTAATGAGAGTCTGCATTAAGCAATCAAAGGGAGTTTTTCAAAAGAAGATTTATCTCTCTTCATACTTTTTTATTTTAATATAAAATATAATGATTTTCTGAAATAAATTGAAAAATGATTTATACGATTTTAATAAATTCAAAGCATAGTTAAATTTTATTATAGAAACATATTAATTTTTATGAATATTATTTCTAAATTTATGAGTTTGAGAAATTAATTCTTTTCATATTTTAATGATTATTTTGACAAAATAAATCCTTAAAAATTATTTACTATTCTGTAAAAATAATCATTAAAAATATAATTGTTTAAAGTTTCACAATTTCTCAGAAAAATTAGAATATTAACATATCATTTTGAAAACGAGTTAAAAAACTTGAATATAAAGAGGAGGAAAATAAAATAATTAAGTTATCTAAAGTCAATAACATAATTTGTATTAGAATAATGTAGAGTATCATACTTTTCTCTATTGCTCAAAAGAAAAGGGATAATTTGTTCACAAATATGAGTTTTTTTATTAGCCAAATAATTAATAATATATTTGGTTTTTATTACCATAAAGGCTTTTTCATTTTTCACTTTTCTACATTTATATGGCTGATATTTTCAAATCTATATAATAAATTAAGCTAAGATTTCATAATATTAGCTATTTTTAGGAATGAGAATTTAATAATAAATATGTGAAATTTAAAAATATCATTAAAATTATTTCAAGAAAATTCCTAAAATCAATTTATTATTTATTTATATAAAATGAACCTTTTTTTTATCATATTAAGTATTTTGCAACTATATTTTATCAACCAATAATTTCTTGTATTTTTTGCTGATAGAACCTGATTTTAACTGGCTTATAAAGATTAATTATTAATTGCTGAGATGGATATTTTTATTAATATATAACAAATATATTTATATTCCAAATTAGTTGAACTTTTTGTATTAAAGAGTACTAATAGGAAATAAATTAAAAAATTCAAGAATTGTATATAAAAATAGTATTTTTAAGGATTAATATATTAAAGCTTTAAATGATGTTGATATTTATCTTATGTGAAGATTGAGAAGAGTTAAGTTTAGATATAAATGAATATCTACAATAACATTATAAATAAATTAATTAAATGAATAGCATTGATAGTTATCAAAGCAAGGCAACAATGAATGCATAGTCTATAATCTCTAAAATAGCCACTCGAAATGGATAAGCAGGGTAAGCAAGTAGAGTTATATGTTAGTAATGGCTCATTGATAGCAGCTTTGGATGAGGAAACTGTCTCTGCTGCTTGGAATGCATTCGGTAATTATAAATTTTGTATTGTAAAGGTCTTCATGTTTCAAGATAATTACGAATGGGTAGAGGAGTAGCAATGAATAAATTTGGAACATTTTCTTTTAGTGCTCCAGATGTTATATTAGATGGAGTTACCAATCCAGTAGAAAGAGATAAGTAGCCACGTTAACCAGTTTTTCTTGTTGCAAAGGTAGTCGATTAATTTTATGTAAGGAATTTGTTAATGGATTCAATCTAAAAACTGCCATAGCAATAGGTCGATAATTAAGACCTTATAAAGTGCAAACATCTGGTAAGATATAGCATGCAATTGTAAATTGGGCAGAAATAGCATTGTATGCATCTTAAAATAAGGATTCAGCTAAAATGGCTGTTGAGAGAGTCATTAAATCATTATCTGATATTGTTCGCAATGTATATAAACTTATAAATGATTTTAGAGGGATGTTGTTGAAGTTGAAATACCATGTGTTGGTACATTTTTTGTTAAATCCCATTGTGCAGCTGTACAATTTTTAGATTCCCTTATGGATAGTTGTAAAGTAAAATATTGGATCAATATTTCTTTATAGGAAATAACAAAGAGACCATTGTCAGAGAGAAAATCTAAAGGAGATATGCGTTTGACATAGTAGTTCCTACAATAATTGAGTAAGAGTCAGTATCCTGAAGAAAATAATATGATGATTGATGAAGGTGCCAGGAATTATTTAACTAATTCTCTTGGGATTGAATTACCTGATGCAAGACCTAAAACTGCTAAAAATTCATAAGTTTAGTCTAAAAAGGGTGGTTTTATGAGTAAAACTGTAATATTTAATGATCAATAATATTTTTAGATAGAATTAAGACCATCAACTTAATAGATTTCTAGAATGGGATTTCAAAGATCAGTAAATGATAAAGTGCATGCTTTAGAAAGATTAAAATATTATATTAGAGATCATGCATTAAATATTGAAGATGTAATATTAGAATAATAATATTAATTAGTCATTTTTAGATTTATGTTAATAGGCATTTGGTAAAACTAGTGAAAGAAAAATTAGAATGAATTTTGATGATTTTAAGAGGGCTGTGATTAAGATTGATTTACCTCTTAATGAAATATAAATAATTACTTTGTTTTAGACTTTAGATGTTAATAATGATGGTTTTATTGATAAATTTGATTGGCTTAAAGCTATTGTTGATAAAAGTAAATATTATATATATAAATTTAATAGAAACTCATATAAATTATATAAAGGATGTTGTGTATAAATTCTAAATTCATACAGATGATTTATTATAGAGAATGAATTTACATCGAGATCATCCTCCTGTTAATTTGTAATAATTAAAATTTGCTTTAATGCATTTAGATGAGTCTTTAAATTAACACAAAGCACATAAAGTGGCAAAGGAAATTTTGGATGGAAAAGAAACCATTAGTATGAATGATTTATTAGCATTATTTAATACAGTTGAAGAAGATGACAAAATGTATGATTTGTCATGGTTTAAAGATACATTGCATAAAATGAGAGATCATTTAGTTGATCCTTAGAAAATGAAGGTTTTGAGATCATCTTTTGAATATTTTGATGAACATTAAGAAGGTAATCTAGATACTGCCAATTTTAAGACTGTCTTAATGGAAAGTTCATTGGGATTGAATGTTTAAGATATAAATAGATTAGTTCGATATCTTCCAAAGAATAGAGATTCATTAATAAATTACTATGATTTTATTTAAATGATTATGGATGTTAATAAATAAATGGATTAAAAGGATACAGCTAAAGATCTTGTTGATTTTGCATAAAAAATCAATAAGTATTTAACTTAAAAAAAATTCACTGTTATATAATTTTTATAATAAGTAAAATCAGGATATGGTTCATGCAATATTGAATCTACTGCATAATATTTAGAAAAGAATCTGTTTACTTAATTATCTCATGATGAATGTTTAGAATATTGTAGAGAAATGGATGTTGATGGAAATGGTGTTGTTAGTGATGAAGATATGAATACATTTATAAAAAGATATTCATATTTTAATGTTAGAAAGGATTAATCTTAAATTGAATAAATTGTTGAAAGTTTGAAGATTAAACCTTAATTTGGAGATAATTTATCAGCTATTGAAAATACTTGTGTTTAATCTAAATCTATTGATTTAGTTACTATGGGACAAAAGAAAATGTTTTAATCTTTAGTTGATGGAATGAATTAATCAAAAAGTTTATTTCCTGTTGAAGAATTACCAGAATCTAAATTTGATTAAATACTTAAGGATTTAAGAATAAAATTAAATAGAAAGGGAATGTCATATGAAGAACTTTTTACATTCTTAGATACTGATCATAATGGATTCTTATCAATAAGTGAATTCTATAATATAGATAAAATTATGACTCTAAGTTAACCAGCTAAAGATGGATTCTTTGCCTTTATGGATAAATAGAAAATTGGTTTAATTGATCTTAATACTTTTGTTAAATTTATGAGTAAATCCATTATTTAATAGATGCCATCTTTATCTGAAGATGATTTTGATTGGGAATTAGAAATCCTATTCAAAATAAGAAATTGGTGTTAAAGAGAGAATATTACTGTAGAAGATGCCTTTAGAACATTTGATAAAGATTTTGATGGTTAAATAAACAAAGCTGATTTAAGAACTTTTCTAAAGGATATATTGAAAATTGAAGAAAAAGAAATTACTGAAGCAAAAATCAATAGATTATATAAGTTGATGGATTAATATAAAAGAGGAAAAATTACATTAATGGATTTTAAAAGATTTGTAGAAGAAGGATTTTTTTATGGTAAAAATAAATAAGTATTTGGATAAACAACAAATGTATCTGCAAAATCGTAATAAGAATCAAGATCATCTTTTGATTGGAAAATGAATGCTAGATAATAAATAGGATTAATTATAAGTAGACATTATCCAAATGTAAAAGAATCTTTTGATATTGTTTCAGGATATCGTAAAAAATTAGTATTCTAAAAATTTAAAAAATGGATTGATGAAAAGAATGTTCTTTCAGGATTTGATTTAACTGAAAAATTAGTATATGAAATCTTTTCTGATCTTGATTCTCATAAAAAAGGTTATTTAGTAGAATCTGATTGGCTGAATGCATTTGCTCAATATAATTGGTAAGATTAAATGATTAAAGAAATCTAAGATGCACTTTCTACTTATTTTTCAAGCATTTAAAATGCTATTCACTATTTTTAGATGGAGCATAGTCATGTGATAACAAAAGAGAGCTTTGCAAGGGCTTTGTAAGCTTTATTCCCAAAAAGATTTGTTGAAGGTGACATAGAAACTTTATGGACAAGAGTTCAAAAAAATGGATCTTTAAGTAATCATGCATTTGCACTTATATTTGGAAAAGGTACAAAAGCTTATGAGCTTCCTGAAGGATAATAACAATAATAGCATATTAGACCTATGACTTAAGGGTAATAATTTATTAATGATTTTATAGAGGTTTAAGTGAATTACCTTTGGATGAGAGAAATCAAGTTAACATTAGCTTATTAGATAAAATTAGAAGATTTTTGAGAAATTCAAATAAAAATATTAGCGAATTATTTAAATAATATGATTCAGATAATACTGGATTCATTACTAATTTAGAATTCCGTTAAGTAATCAGAAGTCTTAATATGGGGTTAACATTTTAAGATATTGATATATTATCAGCTATGTTAGATACTGACCGAAATAGTATGGTAAATTGGAGAGATTTTGCAAAGAGATTAGATTTTAGATAAGCAGATAATAAAATATTAGAAAGAGCAGCAATTCATTTATAGAGAGTTAATGATCATATTTATCATTATTTGTTATCACCTAAAGATGCATTTAGATAGATTGATGCACAACATACTGGATTTTTGAGTTTTGATAAATTTAAGGATATGATTGAAATGTTGTATAGATTGGCTACAGAAGATATTCCTCCATTTGCTATTATTAAAGATCTATTTGAATTTATAGATAAAAGAAGGGATGGTTTATTAGATTTAACAGAATGGATGGATGCTTTTTCTAAGTTTTCAAACCCAAATGAAAAGAAAAGGTACTTTCTATCTTTTAATAATTAGACCCATGAGTGCAAATGTAAGAGTGAAAAAATCATCACAAAAATCATTAATGGCTTAAACTGATAAAGGATGGATGACAAAACAAAGTGTTTAATCTCCTTAATAATTTGAGGGATTAACTGATGATGGATTAATGAATGCAACCAATAAATTCAAGACTTTTTTAAGAAGACCTCCAGTTAAGCAAACTGCACTTTAATATGTTGGTAAATATTTATTTAATCATAAGAAAATGGTATTTGGGAGAGCTCTAAAGAATTTGATAAAACAATAAATGCAATTGGAAAGAACAGGAAGTATCTTCTTGAAATATTTAAGCATTTGACTTAGAATGGTCAAATTCCACTTACTGAAGATGTAATTATTTAAATATATTTTGTAGTTAATAAAATAAGAAATGGATAGAATGTTAAGATCTTAAGGAATTGTTGTCAGAGATGAATAATGGCCTTAATTAATTTCTTGGTCCAAAAAAAATGGCCGTATTGATTATAAATTCTTGCTTGAAGTATATAAGGATAGACTAAACGGTATGGACACACAACCTAGAATGGGGGATGAATGATGAATATTTATTAAAACAGCGGGCAATGTTATATTAATAATTAAATAAAAATTTTAAAAAAGCCCTTTCAGCTTTTTAAATCACAAGCCTTCTCCCAGATAGAACAAGTATGTTTTGAATATTAATCCATCTAGTGAGCAGTACCAAAAATAGAGTGTATAAAAAGTCTTAGACTGCAAACAGCTCTAAGTGTCTCTTCGTTCCTAAAAAGAAGGAACGAGAATAAATCTATATCACACCACCTTCGAAACACAAGGTAGTAATCATTTATCTTATTTTAGAATCCGCTTTCCAATATTGAAGAATTGAACATTGATTCTAATTGTTCTACCGACAGCAGTCAACGCTTAGAAAATCTAAGCCCGGTCTATTATTGCCCTAAAGGCAAAGAACCTTGTGGTGAGCTTTAAGTTGTCCTTGACGGTGACGTGATCTAAGTGATATCCTAAACAAGGAATAGGAGAAAATCACGAAAGTTCAGTGACCAAGAGACCTATGCTATGAGTAATTTCATAGCTGGTCCTAAATGTCTGGACATCCCATGCCCTTAGTTCCTTTGATCATATATATATCTATGGAATTATCTATAAATCAAAACACGTCAATTATACAGCTGAAATAACTGCCCAATCTCATTGTGTAGTAATTTTACAGATTCAACTACATTAGTGCTGCATATGATATTAATTTATACTTATCTACAATATTCACTTCCTAAATGTTTAAAAATCTATCTGTATTATTTTAGATCAATTCTTTTATTTTAATACAAATCCCACTATCTCTATTCTGTCGATTATTGACTAAAATCAAAATTGGTACTTAATCATGAGCCTTATCACTTAAAACCTCACCAAAATATGAGAAGTATAAAATACTTAAAACAGTTTCTCACTTCATCCCATCTCTCAGATTTATTTCCATCTACTACAAAAATTATGCCATGACATTCTCCATAGTATTTTTTCCAGATGCTTCTTTAGGTTTGAGACCCTCCTAAATCCCAATAAGTTACTTTATATTTCTTATTTATAGATTTATTAGAAGCCATATAATCAATCTCTGTAATATTCAGACCAACAGTTTTTGGTATTTTATCAAATTGTATAAATGGATGTTTTGCTAATTGTTTTAATTTATTTAATAATGTCTATATATAATAAACACTTACTGTTTTACCAGCTCCATCTAATCCAATAATTAAAATTTTAAAGACAGGAGGATCAAAATACTTTTGCCAAATTCCTTTAATTAAACTTATCATATTTATTATTAAAATTCCAATTATAAAGATTATAAAACCAATATCTAATTTTTATATTTAAATATAGAATCATCTTCTCCCTTCTAAGAGTCTTCCTAATTCATCTTTTAATGTATTATTATATGCTCTTATTTTTTCGATTTCATTTTTATGATTATCAGATTCCTAATATACTATAAATATCTAACCTTTTATAATTTCTCTGTTTCTACTTTTTTAGTATATTATATTTTTTATTCAAGTTCTTCAACTCCTTTTAGTAACTCCTGACATTCTCTTTCCATAAACATAATTTTATTTGTTTTATCTGTCTTCTTTGACTCAGAATCAATCATCTTTCTCATACCATAAGCAATTGAACTCTCATATAGAGTTTTATAAGAATTCAATTGATTTCGAAATTCATTTCGTACTCAAATAAAATAAACCTAAATTTCATACTTCACTAATAACAATCCCCTTTAACTACAATCTATTGTAATTTATCTTATCAATTCATCAAAACATTATTCATATAATTCTTCTCTAATAGGACAAATTCCAGTTTCTCTAGCTCCTCTTGATAATAATCTTTTGTCTAATTCCTGCTACAATTATACAACCTCAATTCTTGTAGCAGGAGTGGATAAAACTGTTTATACCCATAATTGCCCATTTTTTAATCTATATTCTTTAGGTGGAAGATTCTATTGTAAAATTTCTTAGGTTATCATTTTCTCTTGCTGTCATTATTTTTTAAATTAGTACTCTTCCAGGACTGTTGGCTCTGACCTGTTGTTTAGCATATGCATCCTTTTTATCACCTTAATAATAATAATCATAAATCTATACCTGTGTTTTTTCCAGCTACTGAAACTAAGACGGGTGTTGAGTATTTTACTAAACTATTTAATTGAGGAACAAAATCTTCCATTAAATGCCTTATAAATAATACAATTATAAAATATATAACTAAAGTTTAATTATCTGATTTAGGTAAAAAAAATAAAATAAAATGAAATATAATTTTATTAAATAGAATTATCAATAGAATATTCAAAAACAAATTTAATTAATTAATGCATAGAACCATAATACAAATTAATAAATTCAAATATTAATTAGATATCATAATTTCTCATTTAATATATATAAATTATATAGATATAATAAATTATTAATAAATAATTTATTATTTAAGCATTTTCAACGTTTAAAATTTGAGATATTCTAATTTATCCACTTTTTTGCTTTACCTAATATGGTATTTAGAATTCAGAGAAACTATTCAATAGAATTTCTTCATAAAGTAGATCGAATGTAATTTTGTTTTATATTTACCTATTGTAACTTCATATTTTTTGAATTCAACTTAATTTAAAAGCTAAGTAAGCCATTAGTTTGTCTACTAATGTAATTAAGCACAAAATGGGTGTTTCAAAGCTGACTTAATTGTGATTTTTAAGGATAATCATAATGTAAATAGTTTCCTTAGTAACTCAAATCTTTTGATTATGATAATTAAGTGATATCATTTTAGAAGCATACTTAAATAATAATTCTAATGAAATTGATATTTTGAATTAGTAAAGTTTTTAATTTTACAACATCAACCTAAGAAATTAAAAAAATATTCTTCATGCATATACTTTAAATTCAACAGCTATTTCATTTGCTTTTTATTGCCATTTATCTGTATTTCTCTGTTTTGGCATGCTTATCATTAACTTGTATATTTAATCCATTCACATCATTTTAATCATTAAATTTGATTGGAGATTATTATTACTTATTTCAACAGTAGCATAATTATCTTCAAGTATAAAAGAATGTTCTTAAAATTTGTAAGTTTTTCACTTATTATTATTTATTCTAATTTTTAACATACAACTAGCTTTTTTATGTTAATTTAATTTCTTATGGCATAGTTTATTATTTATTAAACTCTTGTAATTTATTTATGTATTTGATAATATTTGCCTTAATATCTATACTAAATTCGATATCAACTAAGCTCCAATCTAACATTAATTCAACCAAAAATTATCTTCTACATATAAATGAGGATAAGAATTTATTATAATTCCTTAATGCTATAGATGCCTAATTTTATACAAATAATTCAAACCCATTTTGCACATTAATCCAAAAGAATATTGCTATTTACATAAAATAACTTCCAATACTTTAGAATCATGAAAATTATGAGTAATCAAAATATAATAAATTAGTCAAGTAGATAATTAAGTATATCCATTTGATTAAAAACAGTTTATTTGTATGACTTAAATTTAAGATGGAATAATTGTGTTAACTACTGATTTCATTATCAATTTCTTTCAATTTAACTATGATGCTATTTAATCTAATAAAAATAATTAATTTGCAAAAAAGATTTGGACTGCAGATTTTAAATCTATTATCTAAGATTCAGATTTGATTATAGAATTAGCATAAATTGTCTTTTGTACTTCTTCAAACTAAGTATTAATCATATTTCCATCAACTGCATATTTATTGGGAATTAATTAAGTCAAAACAAAAGAGCAAAATCTTGAGGTTATCAATGTTGGGGATTGGGTAAAAAGATCGAATAGAGGATTAACTAAATCCATAGATGAGTTTATATTTACATGTGTTGGAGAGTATGGAATAGATATCTACCAATAAGCATCTGAGTCTTTAAGATTTATAGCGAATTTAGATAAGATCAATTTAAAATTAGAATAATTTAATTTGAAAGATTTTACTTTGATTAAACTTAATGATTTTAACTATAAATGTTACTTTTTGGACTTAAATGGGGACGTTTATATCATAGAAATTCAAATAATCAAATATGAATTAAAATTTAAATTATTAACATTAATTTACTCTAAAGGTTAAGGAATTTCAATTGATACAAAAAATGGTATAAATTTATTTGTAGCTTATTAATTTTCTCATATTTATTATGTAGTTGAATATTATATATCAGTAAATTAATCTATTTATCTTGAATTAAACTCATATAAAACAAGAAATTAAATAAAATGTTTAGATGCAACTGATGAATTTGTAATATTATAAGGAAATAATCATCACAAGATTTTATTTAGATCAGATATGTATTAATACCAATCAGATAAGTATAATATATATGTATATTTAATTATTAGTTTACCAGTATTTACATATTTAGGTTTAAGAGATTTTGAAATATTTTCATTATATAATGATAATCAATCAACTTTGAATGGATATGAGATTTTTGTTGGAATTACATCCACTAGTTTATTTTTAGTCAAATTTAACATTCAACCATATTCGATAAGATGTTTATCTGATTAAACAAAGTAATTTTATATTATTAAATTGATAGTTTATCAGAAATTTAATTTTATCAATTTATAAGTAATACTACAACATTTATAGAAACAGATAATCATGTTGATTAAATAGTTACTTAGACAATTTTTAATTTTACAGTGTAATTAATTGATTCTGAAGATTTTGAATTCTAAATTGAAACTTATTAAATTTTGATTGGAATAGTTTTTTTTATATTATGTATTTATATATGTTTATTTTTAGTTAGTACCTTTTTATATTGGATTCATATATAGAAAAGAAAGATAAATGATTTAGAGAAATAAATTTCATCAGGACAACATAGAAATAATTAAAAAATTAATAATTTGTGATATAATATCTATGAATGAGTATTTTATTTATAGAAATTAAATTATCATAATAATCCAAAATCGATGTCTATGATGTACTTTTACAACAATGAATTTTAATCGAAATCAAAATTTTGAATTAGAAATATTAATTAATGATTGAATTATTCTTACTGTAATTGATATTAAGTTGGGAAGTGTTAGGGAGTTAATATGAATTTAAGGTAGAAATAGGGTAGTTACAAACAGTGTTAGAATTAAATAATGCTAAAAATGTATCTCTGTCTGGAGAAAGTAATTAAGAGTTTTGTTGGATTAATAAGGAACAGGTTGTTTTACAATAATCATCTCTTATGAACTAATAAGAACTTGATAGTATGAATAAATACTATTATTTACTTGCGTCATAAATTGGTATTTGGGTAGTTATGAATGATATGATCTTAACTTAAGTAACACATGATGGAATAATATTAAATTAGAAAAAGATTGAAGGCAATATTAGCTATTTCTAAGGTTATTATAATGAAAAAGGTGAAAATGCTATTTTTTTAGTTGATTATCACTTTTTAAATGACACTTAAAATACATTCTATCATGGTGCTATAAAAATATATGATGGATTTCTATTTGTTGTTAATAAATTCATTTATGTTTATGATTTATAAAATAATACTAACAAATATTTTGGATAAATAGATATAACTAAATTTTAAAATATTATTGACTATGATATAAAAAAAATTGATGATAAGAAATATTATTTTTATATAATGGATAAACATTTTGGATTAACTGTTTTAAAGATGCTTTTGAGATACAATAATATCAATTCTAAAGTAATTTATGCTGAAATATATCCTACTAAGAATCCTAAATCATTTTTTTGTAATGAATACAATAGCTGTTTTGGATTATATTATAATCATGTGTATAAAATTTTGAATTTTAATATTAACTTTATTGATAGTAGTATATCCATTTAAGAAATCTTATAACAAGAATAAAAGATAGAAAAACTAATTAATATTGGTGATACAATGTTTATATAATGTAAGAATAATCATAAGATATATCTATATAACTCTTAAGAAATCTAAAATATATAAATTTTGGGATTATAACAAATCTCTGTAGTGAATTCTTCGTTGATTTATATGATTACAAATACTAAATTAATCAAATTAGAACTCACTATATCTCCTCCAAAAATACTTTGTTATTGTGATGACAATGAAGATTGTCCATAAATATATGATTATGGAATTAATTATATAGATAAATCAAAGTAAATGAGTTTAAAATTCACAATAGAATTTTAGACTTCTTTGGAGGATCAAATGAATGAAGTTTTAGTTATTATTTTTTCAATACTATTTCTATTTGGAAGTAATTTATTATAATTTTATTATATAGTTTTATTAATGATTTTTTGGATTTATTCTTTAAAAGCTTAAATCCTGTTGTTGGAAGAAAGAATAAAATAAGGCTATTAATTTATGTAAAAAAATAAATTACCAATATTTCATACCCTTGAAAACCTTGCTTTTACATTTCGAGGAGTTGAAACATTATCCAAAAGAATCTAATAATAAGAATCTTAGGAAATTTAAGAAATTTATTGAAATCTTTAGATTTGAATTTATCTATATTATATATTTTTAATTCTTAGATTTGAATAAAAAAGCAAATAAATTGATTGGAAATATTTATAGTTTAATGAAGCTTAAACAATAAAAATAAATTTAAAAAATAAATGAGTTACTAGGCTCAACACTAAAATTAACCTCCGAACTACTAAAATATAAGAGAAAAATACTTGATTTAAGGTGAATACAGTTAATCAGGTCTCTAAAAAGTAAATTTAAGTATTATTTAAATAGTAACAATAACAATCGAATCATCAGATGGGAAGATATATATAAGTAATTTAGAGACTATATTAATAAGGCACCTAAAGATAAAAGTTCTCATCAATTTTCTCAAAATGATTTGTCTCGCGAACATCATAATACTAATAGTCAAAATGTTGGGCATCATGATACTTCACATGGTCAAAATCATTCTGGAAATAATCATCATGAAGGTCATTATAACCCTCTATAGATGCCTTGTAATTGGGATATAGCAAGAAAACATGCATTATCAAGAAGGACAGCAAAAGAGAAGAATAAGGATCCAACTAAAACAATAACAGGTAATTGATAATTAAATAACCTTCAGTTGAAACTTGCCCTTGTTGTGGATTTGAGGTTGATAGAGAAGATATCCCATATTGCTCAGATCCTATGGCTTTATCATTTTTAGGATCAGGCTTTACCTTATTCTACAACTACTTAAAATATTGCATTATCATACTGTTTATTTAATTGATTGTGAAATAATTTCATAACTTATATACAAACTATGAAGGATCATATTGTAGTCATATAAAAAGAGAAAAAATGGAAGGACATATAATAGAAGAACCATATTGTCCAGATAGTATATTTTTAAGATTATCTTTGGCTAATAAATTAGAGTAATCAAAAATACTTAAATTAGCAATCGAGAAGCTTTAGAAACAATGCAAGTCTTAAATTTTATCAGTATTTTCATAATAATGTTTGTACTCATTTACTTTAGAAAAAGTCAAAGGTAAATTGATACTACCATAGATGAAGAATAATTAACACCTGCAGATTATACAATTTGTGTTAAAAATATTCCTACTGGCTTATCTGTTGATTACAAAGCAGAATTAATAAATTTATTTTAAAATTATGCGGTATTAGATTCTACTAAATAAATAATTGTTAGAAAAGTAGTATTAGTTTATGATATTGAAGAAATCATAGAATTAGAAAAGAAATTAGATACTTTGATTGAAAGAAAGAAAGAAGCAATAAAAGAAAATAATTTTGATTTTCATCATTAAAATGTTTTAAAAGTAGATGAAGAAATTGAACATCTTGAACATTAAATTCATAAAATAGAAGAAGAATATGAACTTCATAATACTAAATTTGCAGGTATTGCATTTGTTTCTTTTGATGATGAATCTATGAAATAATAAGTATTGTAAGAGAATCCTCATACATCATTAGAAAGGATGAAATCTCATTGGAATAGAGGTAAATTAGAAGGTCTTGGAAATGAAGATTTATCATGGCAAGGATAAAAATTATTTTTAGAATAAGCTCCAGAACCTAATGATGTTGATTGGGAATTTATTCATATTACAACAAATGAAAAGATATTTAAAAGAGTTAGAGCCTGGATTTATTATATATTATTTGAAAGTGCAGCTTTCTTTGTTATATATTTAATATCCCATAGACTTGCACTATTGGGAGATGAAGCACATGAAGAAGAACTTAAAGGTAAATTAGATTAAGATACTAAAAGAAAAATTAATATTATGTCATTTAGTATATCTATGACTATTGTCTTATTTAATAAATTTGGAGTAGCTAAAATAGTACATTATATTGTAGATGATGAAAAAATATCAAATAAGACAAAATTTTAAATATCATTTGTTTATAAATATGCACTAGCTCTATTTTTGAATGCAGCTATCATTAGTTTTTTAGTAGATATTGTTATATTAAAAAATGTTAAAGGAGCTGGAGGATTTATTTAAAATGAAAGCCAGATTTTTGTACTTAATGCTATATTTCCTCCATTTATATGGTTTGTTGATCCATGGAGTCTATGTAAGAATATTTGGAGAAATTACATTATTTCAAAAGGAGATAAAGCTTTGCTTACTCAATAAGAAGCTAACAAACTTATGGAAGAACCAGACTACCTATCAGCTAAGAGATATTCAGATGTTATGAAAACTATGTGGTTTACTTTTATGTATGGTACAGCAATTCCCTTGGGTACTTTATTTAGTGCATTTGGTATTTTAATTTATTACTTTGTTGACTATTATAATATTTTAAGAAGAAGAACAGTTAAGGAATCAATCAGTATCTAATTATCAACAGGTATACTCATTTTAATAATTTAGAAATGATTGAAATGCTTGAATACATTATCTCATGGTGTGCATTCGGTGAAATGATCATGACGTACACCTTCTTCCATGAAGTAAGTAAGATAGATATACTATTAATCATAATGGCTATTGTATATCAATAATTACCAATGGAAGATATTTCTGAGTACCTATTTCCAGTTGAAAACAATGAAGAAGTATAATAAATATAAATATATAATTAGATAAAACCTTATGCAGAAGGGAGTGCTAGTTTTGATACAGATTACGATAGAGAGAATCCAGTTACTAAACATAAAGCTTTAGCTGAATGGAACTAAAAATAATAAAGTGAAGAAAATCAAAATCACAAAGTTAAGAAAGTCTTTCACCAATAAGATGAATTTGGTTATATTGCTGATGGGCATTATGGAAATAGATGATTTATCTTAAAAATAGAATTCTGTAATCAAATTTATATTTAAAATTTTAAACATTAATAAGTAACTTTAACTTTTCATATTTTTTATATATTTAATGAACTAGTACTAACTAAAGATTTTTCAATATTACTACATTATATTAATCCATTATATTCATTCATAGTTATGGACATCAAAATATATTTTAATATATAAAATTTATTAAAAGAATTTATATTATAAGTTTGTTTTAGAATCAAATATAAAACTCAATTAAGTACTATTTAGAGAAATAAGAAATTTCAATAAAAAAAAGGATTATTGAATTCTAAAATTATGTGTGCTCAAAACATTTAATAAATTATTTAATTAAAAATATTTATTGATTAATATTCATCTATTTTAATTATTAAATACTTTCTCTGCAGAAAATTTGTGAAAGATATAATTCTAATTAGATGATTAACATAATAAAATATTTTGTGCAAATGAATAGCATTAATAATTATTTATATAATTTCATTAATAAGAGTAGTAGTAATATCGAACAAATATTATTTAATAAGTAATATTCCAATTAAAATTTGAAGTAATTTTAAACATCTCATTTTATAAATCAAATTTAGTGGATTATTAATTGATAATAATTTTATGTGAATTCTATTAAATATAAATAATATATTTTAAGTAATAATTATTGTAATTGTATTATTTTATATTGATCTTATTTTATAAAGAACTATTGAACAAATAATTAATCTAGAGTAACATTATATTTATTGATATTAAAGTAGTCTGCTTATATATATTTAATTATAAAGTATATTATTGATTAAATTAACAATTAAATTAAGAAATTAAAAAATTAAATATAGAGAGAAAAAAGAATTTGTAATCCTTTATTAATATTTATATAATAGACCTTACATATTTAAGGATATAATATTAACTTAATAGTGTAAAAATTAGATTTTGATGAAAATGGAATTTTATGGTAATTCATAGAACATTATTTATTGTCTTTATTAAAATTAAAAGTATTATCTGAGTGGAATTAAAGTATTTTATTAAACTATTAAATAAATATGTATATTTAAAGTTGTAATTAAATTAATTAATAATTTGAATTACATTTCGATATTCTAAAATAGGAGCTACCAATCAATAGTTATATATTTTTCTCTCTATAAATTAGGAAAATCAAATAACAAAATTATAATGTAGTTACTATATTCATTAAACTTTTTCATACTAATAAATTATTTATGTTTTTATTATTATCATATGATTTATAAAATGATTATTAGAAAATTATTATTATTTAATTTCAGGTCAACAGTTAGAGTGAAAATGACTTCTAGTATAAATGATTTTGTTCTTAAAAATCTTGAATTTTGAATACAATTTGAAGTCTTTATAATAAGCTCTACTAAGATTTTATAGTATTTGATAATTATTCATTTTAAAAGAGAAAATCTTCTTTCTTAATTGATTAATAATCATATTGATGCATTGTACAAGAAAGCACCTGCTCTTTGATAAAAGCTACTTTATAACATTTAACCAAGATAGTATGAATATTGGAGAGGTAAAATCATATTTATTACCTAAGTCTACTTAACATACGAAGTATTCAATTCCTTTAAAACTTTAAACAGAAATTGATTGGAAAGTCTCTCCAGAAAATTTATTTTTGGAGGCTTTTTGTATAAATTGGAAAAATGAATTGAGATACTTTTATGCTGACCATAATGTTCTTCTTAGAGTAAAGAATTATCTTGGTGGAAGAGTTGTTTTTAAAAGAATAGATATTTTCTATAAATAAATAGGGAAAATAGAGACAAGAAGCCTAAGTTCGGTATGTCACTTTCCTTTATTAGATTTTAGATATACACCATATAAGGATTTGATGATGATAAAGTTTATGTTTGTAAGGAGTTGTAGAAATAAAAACAACACTCAAATAAAGTAATATAATTCTTTTAATCTTAGTTATTTCAAACTGAAGTTGAAACTTTGAAGTAATTAAATCATTAAAACATAATAAAGTTGGTAGAGGTTTTCGAAAGTGATAACTCATATTTAATTGTTTTAGAATATTTAAAGGGAGGATCTCTCTCTTAATGCCTGAAATACTGCAGGTTGACTCTAGATGAAATAGAAATAATATTAAAAGTAATATACGTTTTTAAAAATCTAGTAAATTCTAGAAACTATTTGTTACCTACATGACAAAGGTTTTGTTCATAGAGATATTAAGCCTGATAATATTTTATTTTGTGCATTGGGATAATTTTCAAATTTAAAGCTAATTGATTTTGGAATTTCATGCAAAATTACAGATTTAGAGTAAGATTCACAAATGAATATTGGAACTCCTGGTTATATGGCACCTGAGATTATAAATGGTTCAAATAATAAAAAAATTACATAAAAAATAGATGTTTTTAGTTGTGGAGCCATTCTTTATTATATGTATTCATAATATTTATATTTTAGGTTAACAGGATCAAGGTTAATATCTGGTATTAATATTTAAGAACTATACAAGAATAATAAATTGTATACTTTAAATAATCACTTACTTTAAAAAATTAAAGCTCAAAATTATAGAGACCTATTATCAAAAATGATTCATGAAGATCCTGATTAAAGAATAGATGCAAGACAAGCCTTAAATTATTTGTAATTGATGAAAATCCCAACAAAAATTTCCTTATCTACTTCATTGCATTGTTCCTAAGATCCAATTCAAAAAATACCAAGCTTTAAAAAATTGATAACGAAAAGTTGACTATATGATCTAAATATTATTATTAAATATAATACATGAATGTTCTATTAAATTTTATTGGAATATAATAGTTATATTTCTGTTCTCTTTTCAGTAGACATTTTTTTATATAATTTATTTTTTACTATTAGTTAACTTTCCAGAATTTAATTCCAAAATAATTTTATATATTAATAATTGAATTTCATTTCTCTAAGCTGATATTGATTAATGTAAAAATATCAATAATTAATGACTATTTTATTAGGCTTGTTGATTTATTATTTAATTTCAAATAATTCAGAATAATATTGTATATATTAATTAATAAAATGTTGTGCAAAAGTAAGCATTTCTTTAGAGATACTGAATATTTCATTTATGAAAAAGAGAACTCCATTCAAATAGGGAAAGTATATCTTCATTACAAATCATTAGAATGAAAAATAAATTAAATACACAATCTAATTAGATTTATCAACTATAATTACTTGGGTATATGGAGATAGAAATCGTTTCATTGGATTCAAATTTAGATGGAAATAAAAAATGAAAACAATGATTATGGATTATCATAAATGTTTATAACTTAAAAGCATTTTTGATGGAAAAGTCACATATAATAATCTAGTCAAAATGTTTAATAGTGTAAAATCAATACGGAAGCAATCACATAATACAGTATATAAAAGTTTTAAATTTTATTGTAGATCCTACTTGTCCATAGTTGTATTGATTAAAGATCATACTAAATGAAAGTGACACCAAATAGTATCGATTATAATAAACTTGTATTAATAAAATCTAATCATTAGGATTTTATGTTAGAATTAGATGTGTTAAGCCTTCAACATAAAAATATGATATCAGTTTCTGAATATTTTGTAGAAAATGATAAATTTCATATTATATTTGAGCATCTAGAAGGAAGGAGCTTAAGGGAAAGAATGAATTCGTAATATAAAATGAAAAAAGAGGAAATTATAGTAGTTTTAAAAGTATTTATTATTTTTAATATAAATAGTAACTTCTTAGTCTTCTAATTGCATTGCATAAAAAAGGATATATATGTAGAGAATTAAATCAAGATAATATTTTTATATAGAAAAATGGTAGAATTATTTTGACTGAATTCGGATAAACTACAAAATTAGGTGAAATAATGAGAACTAAAAGAGGAACAAAAGATATTGATATGATGAATGAGTTGACATATCAAAATAATTAAGATTTGAATTTAAATAATGAGGAATTCGATAGATAATTTTGGTTTGCTTAAGACATATATTCTCTTGGAGAATTGCTTCATGAAATGTAATAAAAATTGATATATATATATAGGTTAACTGGTAAAAGTATCTAAAAAACAATATTTGATAAATATAGTGGATTTCAATCTAGTCAAAATACGATTTCCACTTTAAGAAAGAAAGTTGGACTTAGAAAATTGTTAGATAGAATGTTAGAACCTGATCCTAGAATTAGGATATCAGCAGAATAAGCTCTATATTTTATTAAAGATATGGAATTTGGAGATGATTCATTTGTTGACTTTTCTGATTAAGATGAGAGAAACAATTTTTAGGAAGTTTATTAATTTATTTCAAAAGTATGTCTTTAGAATCTCTGATATATTTATATATATAAACTTAATAAATTTTGATTTTATAAACATACTATTTTAGATGAATATATAGGTATAATTAAATATTATTATATGATGAATATTGTACTAAAATAAGATGTTCATGATCTATAGAGGTTTGGTCTTTTTGCCTTGAACACTGTTCTGAATTTTTTATGACTGGCTCTTGGAACAGTTTTTACAATTGGGAATTTGATTGAATCACCCTAAAACTATTATAATGAATTACTCTATATTAATTAGTTTTTCCTCTCTTGATATCAGCACTCTTAGTTAATACTGAAGTTCTGAGGATATGAATTGTTTATGGTTGAGCTCTGTGATTTCCAGCCATTTCTTAATCTAAAAATGTTAATGCATTAATAATTTACATAATTATGAGATAGCTCCATTTAAAGTAGTATCTCTAAATTCTTTATACATGTTATGAATAGTTGTTCTAGATTAATATTTAAGAACAATTCCATATGTTTTAACATTGGTGTCTCTTCTTTCAAATAATTCTTAAACTGCTAAGATCTAACCATGAGATGGTTTGAGCTTATTCAATCTTCTTAAATTCCACCTAACCATTTTTATTTTAAGCAATACCAGAATCTACTTTTAGCAGCAACTGTATTTCTAGCAAAGATTCTCATGCTAATAACCTTTGGATTTGGATCATCTTTAGAAGGGAGTCTTCTTCCAGAAACCAAATATTATCTGGTCTATACAAATATTACTTTAATATTTTACTTTCATTTGGAGTGAGTTATCTTATGGATCCTAAGCTGAGTTTTTAACCATTTTGTATATATTTTAAAAAAAGATTTAATTTATCAAGTAATTATCATAAACAATAGAATGCATAATTTGCTTTGCTTATATTATTCTAAAAATTTGGCAAACTATTTTTGATAAGATGATCAATTAGTTGAACAGTTTCTTAATGTCTGTAGAATTTATCATTTTCATGATTTCTAAACATTTCAATATTTCTCATTATGGTATCACCTACAACAAAATGCATATTAGCAATCTTTATTTTTGAATTACTTTTAATATATTCTACAATTTAGTTTCTCATTCTAATAATATTTTAATATAATAATATTACTTTTCTGCTCTTTATTCAGGACTAAATGGAGAAGGACTTAAATTTAATTTTTTAAAATGTTGCTTAGTCTTAACTTTAAGATCTTCTAAATATTTTAATTATTTAACTCTCATTTATAATTATTACATATCTAAATTGATTTTTTCAATCATTTCCTTTAAATTCAATTATTACATATCTTAAGTTGATCCATTTCTAAAGAGATCTTATAATCTTTAATTAACAATTTAAAGATTAGCTGGAGCATACACAAATAAATGAAATAATTTAGTATTTTCATCATCAATTAATAATATCTTGTTGATAAAATTATCAACTTCAATAATATTTGATGAATCTGAATATATGATATCAATATAAAAGTAATTAAACACTTTATTTTAAATTTTAAATATGTTTTGAATTTTTGAAATGTTAATCCATAAGTTATTTTTATTTAATTCACTACTAAGTGTTTCTTTGGAATGATAATTTTTGGTTGAATAAATACAATCAAACCAATCTATTTAAATACTTTATAGAGAATTGAGTTTCTAATTTGGATTTAATTATAACACCAATATTGATTCTGTTCTAATTTTCATTATTAATTGCTTATTATTTAAAGGCTTTATTTAAGGGTTTTGTGAGTTACTAAAATAAGTACTATTGTATTCACCAAATAACTATCATAATATTTAAATATACAAGATTATAACTTATTATACATATCTTATTGAATTAACACAAATTTCTGAAACCTTTATATAAAATATAAACATCTTCAGCATCTACATTTAAATTGATAATTTGAAATTAAAGGGAATTTAAATTACTCTATCTAATTTAACTATTGTTACTTTCTTTCTGATTCAAGATTAGTAGGTGAAGTTTATGCATGAATTAACTTTCTTAATTATTATTTTGGTCTAGGAATGAACTTAGGTCTTTTAAGAATTATGTTAGTTGGTTTTGATATTTAAGGTAATTCTGTAACCTCATTTACAGAAAAAGTTCTACTAGTGATTCCTTTATCTTCACTCTAATTCTAAGATTATTATTATTTTGATTAATATGAAATCCTTGAATTTCTTGTAGCTGCATTAATATTATTAATTGTCTTACAAGTTGAATAATTTCTTATTGGTGCATTCTTTGTTATTAACATTCCTGATAATTCATCCTATGTTTTTGGGTATTATTTTTTTTTTGAAATGCTCAACATAATTATTTAATAAATGGAATACAAATTATTAATGTTAAATAATTCAATAAAATTAAATTTCAATTATCAAATACTCCACATTAGAATATGGCCCTATATATCATAAAACTAACAAGGAAATTTGTTAAAATTAAATTTAATCAATTTAAATTCAATTCCTAATATAATTGCTTAGTAAAATGATTATTTATATAATATTTTAATTAGAATGCTTTTCTTTAATAATAAAATGATATCTTTCCTCTTCATACAAAGAATGATTATTGTAATTAAAACAACTGTTAAAATATATATTAATAAATAATTCTTAAAACAAGTATAAATTAATAAAGATCTTAAATCAAAAAGATTTTAATCAATAGTGATTAAATGATACATATCATTTACATTGTTATAAAACAATAATAATTAATAAGTTACTTACATATTGAAAAATGGGTTCCACTTGTTGTCATACTAAATTCTAGAGTTCATCATATGGTAAAATGATTATGTTAACAATAGCAGAATTATGTTTAGAATAAGGATCGAGTGCACTGATTTTATAGAAACAAAGTTTTTCATAATAAGAGTTGAATTAGATGGTAGCACCACTCCCATTAGGAAAGGAATCACCAATACCAACAAAACTAGAAGCTATGAAATAATAGATTCATTTATTAAAATTGGAGTCTATTGAAGTTGGAAATGAGTTAATAGAAGTGTAAGAAAATACACCAGATGATGAAATTGATCTTACAAGAAAAGTATCAATTGATAGTGAATTACAAAATATCAATAATAAGGAAATTCTGAGCCCTAATCATAAAGAAACTAACCTATTACAATTAAGTCCTATTAAATTAGATTCTGCCTTTAATTTACCTTAACAATCTCCTTCTCCATAAAAGAAAAATTGTAGGAGAAAAGAATCATTAAGTGTAGAATAATATAATAATACAACTTTTACTTCACCTCGTATTTACACAACAAATAGATAGATTTAAGACTAAAGTGCTAGTCCAACTAAAAAATCAATAGGATCTATGAGTTCTTTAACTATTAGAATGGGTGTTGAATTATTTATTAACTTAAAGAAGGGTTCTATAAATAAGGTATATGCGTTTGGATAAGTACTTGGATAGGGAGCCTTTGGAAAAGTATGGAAAGTCACTCATAAAACAACTGGTAAGATTATATAATTTAAATTAGGTTTGATAAGAGCGATGAAACAGATAAAAAAATCTGAATTAATAAAAGAGGATGAATAAAAGTTATTTTAAGAGATGCATATATTAAAAAACTTAGATCATCCTCATATTGTTAAATTATATGAATTGTATCAAGATTAAACTAATTATTATATGATAACTGAATATTTGTCAGGTGGAGAACTATTTGAGAGAATAAAGAAAATGTAAGTTTTTACAGAAAAAAGAGCAAGTGAATTAATACTTTAAATACTACTTGCTATCAATTATTGTCATGAATAAAAAATTGTTCATAGAGATTTAAAACCAGAGAATATTCTTTTTTCAGGTCCTGAACCATAACAAAATCTTAAAATTATTGATTTTGGATGTTCTCGTAGATTTAATACATCAAAAATGACTAAAAGAATGGGAACTGTATATTTAATTATTATATCAATAGCCTTATTATATAGCACCTGAAGTTTTAGGTTAAAATTATACAGAAAAATGTGATATTTGGTCATGTGGAGTAATTCTATATATTCTGTTATGTGGATATCCTCCATTTACAGGTAAAAACGAATAAGAAATCTTTGAAAAAGTTAAATTAGGTAGATTGAAATTTCCAAGTATTTTCTATTAATACTTTAGATGAGGAATGGGATCTAATTTCAAAAGAAGCTAAACATTTAATTTAAAAGATGATTTAAGTGGATGTAAATCTTAGATATTCTGCATCATAAGTTATGAGTGATCCTTGGTTCTAAAAACATGCAATTAATTAGCCAATTAATAAAAAGGTGTTAGATAATTTATCTAAATTTTAAGCAACCAGTGAATTTAGAACAGCTATTGTTTAATATATAGTATCTTAAATGACGAATCATAAAGAAATTGAAGATTTATAAAATACTTTCTAATGTTTAGATATAAATAGAGATGGAGTTATAAGTAAAGAGGAACTAATTGAAGGATATAAGAAAATTATTAAAAGTTAAGAGTAAGCTGAATAATAAGCTGAAAGAATTTTGGAAGAAATTGATAAAAATTTATCAGGATAAATTGATTATAGTGGTATATTATTCTATAATTCCTTAGAATTTATCATGGCATCAATTAATCAATCTAAAATCATTTCGTAAAAAAAGATTGAATAAGCATTTCGCATATTTGATTTAGATGGTGATGGATATATAACAAAATAGGAATTAGAAGATGTAATGGGTACATTAAATTAAGATGTTTGGTAATTATTTCTATAAGAAACTGATCATAATAAAGATGGAAAGATTTCGTATTAAGAATTTTTAAAACTATTTTTTTGATGAATGTTTGTATTAAAATTAAAATGATATAATTTAATTTGCATTATTATTAAAATTGTTTAATCTTTGTTTAAAAGAATTTTGAGATTCTTTTTTTTGTATATATAAGAATAAAAAATTGGAGAATATAAAAAAATATATTTTTCAATTAAATATTAATTATAATAGCATTAAAATTTGATTGATAATGGTAATAATCATTTTTTAGCTTTTTTCTTTTTCTTAGATTTTTTTTTCTTATTCTTTCTTCTTTTTCTTTTTTTTGTTACTTTTTTAATTTCTTCTAGTATGGCATTTTAAATTTCTATTGGAACTTCAAGTCTACAAACTGTTTTATACATTTTAATGCAATCCAAAAATTTCTTAGCAGCTATATAATATATAAATTATAATTACAATCATCATATAAGGCATTTCCTCTAAAATCATAGACTTAAATTGAATTATTTTTAGTTAAGACTTCACATATTTTTTCAATCAGAGGAACATCTTCAGATTCACCAAATTGATTATTAGCTATATTTAATTCCTCTAACCATTCATTAGTTTCTAAAGCTCTAAACAATTGATATACACTAAATTGAATTCATCAATATTACCCTTGATTTCTTAAATAATTTCCCTCTAAAAATAAATATCTTAAATCACAATCAAGAAAGGATAGTATATCCTAAATATATTTAACACTTTCTAAATCTAATCTACAATAATTTAATGAAAGTTTTCTAATTGTTGCTAAAGAATTATAAATAATATGATTTTACTATTCATTTCTAATCCTTTACTTAATTCTTTCATTCCTTCACAACCAATATAATTAAAATCAAGAATGAGTTCTTATAAGGGAACTTTGAAAGCAGGTGATAATGCATAACCAAGATAAGTGCAACCTTGTGGATTAATTTCATTTTCTGTAAGATCCAATACTTTAGTATTTTATGCTTTTTAAATATAATTTGCCAAATATTTGACACCTTCATTATTGTTTAATCCCAGACCAGCTTTCACTAACCAAATGTTGGCCAAATGTTTATAACTATTTTTGAATTATATTAATATACTTTAGATCCATTAATGCCTCAAAAATACCTCTAATAGCATTAGGTCCAATTTCTTCAATTATATGAAGCTAAATTTAAGTGTTATTAATTACAGTAGTTAAATGTTCTTGATTTTCTAATGCTTATGCAACTGCTTAAACAAAAATTTTGTTTTATGCCACACCTAGACTTTAGATCTTTCTATTATAAAATCTCATAATTTGTGTAGTGGATTCATCATTATCTTCTCCTTTTTTGCCTTTCTTGCCCTTTTTGGACATGAAATATATAATAAATAAATTATATATTAATTCTTAAACACAATTCTATAATTTATTAAAAGACATTAGACAAATAAATATCATAACTCTTGATGTTTTAAAAGATAAAACTTAATCTTATAAATATCATTTGGTAATCCTTATTAAAATTATTCATCCATAATTTTGAACCCACTCTTTTTAATTAAATTCTCATATATTCTCTCAGATCTAGTTATTGAAGCATCTTCTTCATCATATTAATAATCTTAAGATGAAATATTCTCCTTTAAAATAATAGGAGACTTATTAAATTTTTAGAGCATATTACAAAAATCTGAATCTGTAAGATACATACTAATCCATTAAATCCATACGCAATCATAATTTGTTTTAGGTTCAAATTCTTCTACTGACATTTAATAATATAAACAATTAAATTTACTGAGCCTTCTCCGAGATTCATTAAGAAATTTGGCTTCCCTTTCAACTAAATGAATCTATAATCAACAAAAGATCTTACTTCCTTAAAATATTTGATAAATAATTATTCAGATATTCTACCTATTCCTGAACCTAATTCCAAGAGTGTATTAAATTATTGAATGTTCTTAAGTAAAAACAATTCAGACTGTTAAATATCAACATTATTTATTTAATCATATCCTCCCAACATACTACTATTTGTAATAGATTGTTTTGACCAAAATTATTTATTGATTTCTTTCATTGAATATTTTGCAAAATTCATTTAATATTAAATTTATGTAATCATTATCTGTGAAAAATACAAAATATCAAATACAATATAGAGAATGGTAATTATATAAAATAGATCTCCAGGAGTTATTCATGTCATCAGAGAAGACTTAGTGAAATAAATAATAGAAAAAATAGTAATGATAAGAACTATATCAATATCATTGAATCTAGTAGAAGGAATAAATTTTTTAATTCAAGAAGAAAAGAAATAAAAAAATAAGAAGAAATTCTATCTTAAAATAAAAAGTTACTTAATAAAATAGTCAATATCAAGTCTAGTTTTTATCGATCGGTTATTTTTAGATTTAATTTAATAGTCATCTAGGTAATCTATAAGTAGTAATTGTTCTAAACAATCTTCAAGATCTATTGAATAAAAAGAAAAGAATATCTAACGTATTAAGGACAATCAAATTACAAGATAAAAGATATCTTAAATGTGTATAAGCTGATATAATATTTCAGTAAGTCTACTTTTAAGTCAATTCCAACAGAGAGGACCAGCCGAGATTCTCTTCGAAGACCTATATACTAGATAGAGAATACCTAAAAAAAAGAGAAATGTCTTTAAGTCTAAAAGATTAGTTAAGTACGATTACTCTCTTTTCCTTCTGTGAGAGGCAATAATAAACCCAAAATATTTAATCCAGATAATACAGGGATAGGCAATACATTACCAGCAATAAAAAAACATAACTATTAAATCATAGCAAGGATGCTCAAAGATAAATTGTATAATAACTGATTACTTATATTAATGAATAATTATTTTAGAAAAACAATCATTTTGAAGAAGAAAAATAATTCTTCTTGATGTGTTACGATATGCCAATCCTTAACAAACTCACATAATTGATTATATTTAATGTACAATACAAAAATGAGATGAAGAATTAAGGCAAACATTCAAATTCCCACTAAAACTCTAGTAAGCCAGATTCAATCTTTAAAGAATATGAAGCATTATCAACCGAATAAAAATTGAAAGAGAAGAATCATTTTATTTTTCTTTGGATAGAAACTTCAATAATAATTCATTTAGAATATCTACATCTCTTAAAGAACATGACTATAAAAGGTAAATTGGGATTTTGATAGATTTATTTTAATAAGGGACATTTTTGTGAAGTCTTTATAATTATTCTAATGTTTTACTAATTTTTTGCTTATTCTAAATATTAATTATTATTAGGAATATTTAATATCAATATATTATTATAATGATTTGAGTATGGAAACTAACTCAATCCCATAGTTTTTAAAATAATTATGAAATATAATATATATATTATTAAAAATAATAAAGAGTCTTATTTTTCATCACAATTATTATATGGATAGGTGGAATTTATATATTCCTACATTCATTATTTAAATTAAATCAGAAAAAATGTACTTATAACCGTATTACCATAAAAGTTTGTCATAGAATTAAAAAATTAATTTTATTAGATATGATTAAAATTTAGCATTATTTTTATTTGTATTGAACTTATTTTATATATATTTTTATTAAATGAATAATAATACAACTATTATTCCCAATCGATAATTCCCTAATAAATTATTGACATAAATTCAAACTTTAGATCCTCTTTAAATTAGACTAATAATCCAAAAGGAATTTTTATAAGGAAAACTCTGCCAAAATATTTAACATTATGTTTTGGTCCAAAATGCAGATTAACTATATTCAGAAATAGTTTTGTTATGGTATCTTAGAAAGGAAATTACATAAGATGAAGCTCATTTATTCATAAATAAAAGTGATCCTAACTTATTTCCATTCCAACTCATGTAATATTTAATTAATCCATAAATCAAATTACCTCTTCTTAGATTAATATTTAATACATAAAACATTTAATTCCTTAATTCATCATTAGATATAGTTTTGATGAGTTAATAAACTAAAAAGGAAGTCTCTTCTCTTTTATTAGGTTTTGATGAGTAAGTATAATAATATGAAATAAATTTGATTTTAAATCATTATCCTAAATTGAGCCTATTGGTTTCTTATCATTTAAGAATCAATCCTAAATTTGAAGAGTTAAGTAGTTTTGATACAAATTTAATTGCAATTACTCTAAAAAGATCATAAACAATTAATAAAGGAATTGAAACTTTACTTAATTATTTATTAGAATGTGATGATAAGAAAAGCATAGTTGATATCTTAATTTAATTGAATTTTTAAAATGATACAGTTTTAAATTTAGGAATCTTAAAATCTCCAGAAGAGGTTTAATATAAAGAAGAATATATATTTTTTGAGAAATGGACTTAAACAAAAAGTTTTAATGAAAAAATATGGGGTAGATTCACTTCTTTAGTCAATTAAAAGATGATTAAACTTGATAATTAAGAATTCACAGTAAACAATCTTAATTTTGCTTAACCTCTTCTCATTAAAGCATTATTTTCTTTAGTAAAAAGACATACAAGCAATTTTATTATAGAGAATGCTATTAATAAAGAAATCAAGATGAAATAAAATCTATTTTTAGATTATCCAGAATTCTTTAAAGTATTTTTTATTGATTACTCTTCATTATTAGATCCAAATTATAATATGTAATTATATATATATTTAATGAAATATTTAGGTTAATTTTAGAATCTTTAAATGTAATACTTACTCATATTTAAAGAACTGCAAAATAACCAATTGTATAACATTTAGTAATTTTATTATAATAATATATTTAGAAATTATTACTTTGTTAATTTTTAGTTTAATGTATATAAAAAATGGTAGATCCATAAAAGATTGAGATAAGTATTTATTAATTTATTTAATAATTACTTGCTAAAGATAAGAATTTGAATTTTTAATTTGCAGCTTCATTAAAATTAGATTAAATTGAAAAAGCTGTAAAGCATATTGATTGCTTATTTTTATTATTATCTGATTTAGATTTATTGTAATAGAAATTGGGTGATAAAGAACGTTTTTATTTATTTTGTAAATGTCTCTAATAAAAACATAAAAGTGAATTATTGGAAAAACCATTAGAGATTTATTAAAATGAAAAATAGCTGAAACATAAATATAATACAAATTTAATAATGAAAAAGAAAGAGGATAGAGTGATTGCTTAATTATTCTGAAACTTCTAACTTGTGAATTAACTATAATTTCAATATATATATATTAGTTATATTTCATTATAATAAATGATAGTAATTGTATTTGAGATTATAAGTTAAACAATAGGAAAGTAATCCTATATGTTTCTGCTTAAAAAGATGCATAATAAGTTTTATTTATATAAATATTATATTATCTATACGTTAAATAAATTTTATATGAAAATCAACCAACCTTTTTAGGTTTTTGTTCGTATACGATCCCATTCAGATTCTACAAATCCAATTGAAGTTGTTAATGAAAATATTGTAACTATAAATTTTAAATAAATAGCTTAGAATATCAAATAGAGAAATGAGCTTTTAGAAAATCTTTACTGAAAATGATTCCAATTAATCAGTTTATGAAGGAGTACTATTGTATATTAAGTAGACTTTATCGAAATTTATAAGTAAAATATTTGAAGGGTTCAATATGACAGTGTTATGTTATGGAATGACTGGATCTGGTAAAACTCATACTATGTTTGGGAACTCATAAGTACAATTAAATAATAAATAAAAAGGATCATTATGGCATAGTATATTAAGCAGTTAAGGAACTTTTTCAACTGAAGAAAAATGGATTTATAAAAATTAGTTTTTATGAAATATATAATGAATAGATTATAGATTTGTTAGAATAAAATTCATAGAATTTATCAGTCTAAGAAGATAAGAATGGAGATACTTAAATACCAGGTTTATCATAATAATGCATAGTTGATGAAGATCATCTTGTTTAATTGATATAATAAGCATAAAAACGAAGATAATTGGCTTCAACTGCTAGTAATTAATATTCATCTAGATCACATGCTATTGTATAGATATAAGTAGTAAATTATGATGAGAAATAAAATATTAAATATGATGGTAAATTAATATTAGCAGATTTGGCAGGTAGTGAAAGATGTTATAATTATAAAAATGGAGGAACATAAAAGATTTAATAAGAAGGTTAAAATATTAATAAATCTCTTTTGGCATTGGGTTAATGTATTATGATGTTAAATTAAAGCAAATCACATATTCCATATAGAAATTCTAAATTAACAAGAATTCTAAAATAATCTCTAAGTGGTAATTCTATGACTCTTTTTATTGCATGTATAAGTAAATAATTTAGTGAAGAAACAGAAAATACATTAAAATATGCTTAATAAGCATGTGCAATAAAAACATAATTAACTTAAGCTATGACATAAATCTAAATTTAACAACCAAAAAGATCTATATCAATTGAAATCTAGAATCTAGAATAATAATTGAATAATTATTTTGTGATTAATAATGGTTTACATAAAAACTTAAATACATTATATTAAAATGTGTAAAAAGAATAGGAAACTAAAGTTATTGTTTAAAATGTAGAATAATATATAGCATCAAATATGAGAAAGTAGAAATTAATAATAAATTAAATTAAAGAACTTATTGTTGAAAAAGAAAATTAAGATAAATCATTTACATATAGAGGATCAGAAGTAAGATTTTGTGATTTAAGCAATAAAAGTTCAATAATTTCATAAATACAACCTCATACTGCAGATTAAAGTTGTTAAACTGAAAGAGTTTGTGATCCAATTTAATTTGATGTAAAACATGGAAGACATAATTCATAATAAACAATTAATAAAATTGAAATACATAAAATTCCAGAATCAAAAAGATTTTCAAATCCATTTCTAAGTACTATGGTTTTAGAAGAAAATACAAAAAAGAATGTATTATAAGATAGAACAAATAGATTCAAAATAAAAATAAAATGAATAATTTTTTTATACTTTTTATTATTAATTATGAATGTTTCATTATTTGTTATGAATATTTCAAAAATAAATGAGTTAAATCTGATATTTTAGATAATATTGTTATACAAAATGATTTTAATATTAATTTATTATTATTATATATTATTTCTTTTCTGTATACAAATCAACTTATTTCTAATGCATGTAACTAATAAAGGCAGAACTTGCAAACAAAGAAGCTCAGTTCATACAAAAGATTAAAAAATAAATTCTGAAAGGTTTTCATTATCAAATATCATTAAAATATAGACGTAGTCTGAATGTTGATATGAATAATTATACACCTAAGTAACCAAAATGGGCTGAAAAGACTATTAAAAATATGAATAGATGTTCCTTTACTGATCTTAATGAATAAGATAAGAGGGGATCTATGAGTACCGTAGCTACATTAACAACAATGAGCACAGATTTTTATGTTTAAGATGATGATCCTATTGAAGAATAGACATCTTCAAGTGATGAATCATAAAGTTATGTAAAATTTAAAACAGAAATGTGTAAAAATTGGAGTATGTTGGGTAGATGCAATTATGGAAATAAGTGTTAATTTGCACATGGTTAAAATGAAATGATTAATCGATAGTGTAATTAGAAATACAAATCTAAACTATGTCGGTCTTTCCATTAAGATTATGTTATTAACACTTATTATTTATTTAGGTCTGCTTTTATGGAGCTAGATGTTAATTTATTCATGAAAGCAGAAGTGTTGACCAGATTAGAAAAGATTGCAAATCTTAGACTTCTTTTTATTAGCCTACTTCAAATTAATTAAGATTGAAATCTTTTCAACTTATAACAAGTGATTGGAAACAAGAAATTCCATTGCAAGAATGTTTTTAACTTTGGAAGACTAAATTGTTATTATAAATCAACATATCATCAAGTAGTGATTGAAGATTTTGTAAAGGTTTATGATTTATTTATTTATTATTTAATATATTAAATGATTTAAGATTAATATTTGTTAATGCTAAAACAGAACTCAATATCTAACTAAATAATAGAGGCTTATTTACAATAGAAATAATATCTTATAAAGTAAAAACAACATAATTACTAAGCAATGTGATTTCTTACTTTGCAAATATAATTACATATGGTCCAATAGCATTGTTTAATGCCCAGAAAATATGCTCTTCTAAATAGTCTTAATAATTTGTTAGTACAATTAGGAAAAATTATGAAACTATGTTTGGTTTAAATGATTAACAAGATTCATAAAATTTTATTGATAAATCTTAGGATTATTTTAAACAATACTTTACAGAGTAGATATTAGATCAACACTATTTAAACTTTTTAAATGATTTAAAAGATTGTTCTTATATTAAATAATTGAATAGAAATTAATGGCTTGATTAACTATAAGAAATTATTGAAATTTCTACAATTTAAGAAGTAAATTTATAGTATCACTTATTAGATCAACCAAACTTAAATTATTAATGAATAATTTGAAAGTGACACTTTAGCTCGGGAAAGAAAGAGGTAATTTTATTATTTAATATTATTAGTATTTGTTATGATGGTGATGAAGAGAGAACCCCTTAATAGAGTGAAGAGGATGAATAAAATAAAAATAAAGTAAGTAATTATAAAGAAATCAAAAAAGTATTAAAAAAATAAGAAAGAAAAAGAATTATAAAATGGAGAAGGAGGTGAAGAGGGTTATGATGCCAGTAATTCAGATCATAAAATTAAGATTTCAAAATTGCCTAGAAGAATCATTTAGAGAAGAAAGTAAGCAAACAATCAAGAGTTTGATACAGATAGAGAATATGTATATATTTTAATTTATTTAGAAATAAAAAGAATGAACAACATTATTCAATATGTGTAATTATTATATATATTTATATTAATTTGATAAATGAGATCAAATCCTCGTTAATAATCAAAAAAAGAATCGAAGAATGTTTAATAGCCTTCTCCACCACCACCTCCTCCTTAAAAACCTGTTTAAGAAGATAAATAATTCAATCCAGATTTATATGTTAGATAAAATTTAAGTCGAGATGAAGTAATTGAATTAAAGGTTAGTAATTAAATAAATTTACTTATTTAGAAAGCCTTTGATCTATTTGATGATGATGGAAGTGGTACTATTGATCCAGCTGAATTAAAGGGAGCTTTTGAAGAATTAGGACTTAGAGCTCAGAATAAAATGATATATTAGGTTTTAGGAGAGATCGATTAAGATAATTAAGGAGGATTTTCATTTGACAATTTTATCAAATTAGCTACAGCTAAATAAAATTTAAAAGAGACAAGAGGTTCTTTGATGAGAACTTTCAATTTGTTTGATTTAAATCGTGAAGGTTATCATATTGAATGACTATAGGTAGAATTACTTGGGATGAATTGAAAAGAGTATCAGTTGATCTAGGAGATGATTTAAATGATGAGGAAATTAAAAAGATATTTAGAAAGGCTGATCTTAATGATGATGGTTTTGTAACATTTGAAGATTTCTATAATATGATGACTGGAAGAGTCTATTATGATTGAAGGAATATAATTATAATAAAATATAAGTATTAAAATTTTAAACTTCTTTATGTAAGAAAATATCTTTGTAACTTAATTATTGTCCATTACTCCAATATATGATATTTTGAAAACAATAATTTTTATTTCTTGCAATAAGCTTACAAGTTTCAATGAATAAATTTTAATATGTATATAAAAAAATTAAAAGACTTAATTTCAACAACTTTTGATGATTATCGAAATGAGAGATATAGTGTTTAGCATAACTAATTGATACTTTAAAAAATATGGCCAACCTTTATAATTCTGGTGAAATTTTATGCTATTATTGGACTTATATACATAATTATTTACAATTCCTTATATTTCTAGAGTTTTAATAAGTCTTATACTACTTTTTATTTATATATTTAACTTGTAGCAATTGTTTTGTATGTAGCTATTGTTGAAAGAATTACTAACTGTTTAAGAGAGTCTTATAAATTAACACTTATCATTTTTACATTCATTCTTATTGAAACCTCATTTCAAATATTTTTGATTGAAGTTTATTTATCTAATGATACAGAGAATAAAATATTAACTATTTGTTAGTTGTTTATTAATTTATTACTTGTTCTAGGAATAGTCAGAACAATAAAATTAAGAATTATGTTATTACTCAAATTTTATTTGTATTTTTTAGCTAGAGGGATTATTTTTCATTTTAAGACTTTACAATCAATAAATATCATATTTTTTATAATTTTGATTTTGTACTTTTGGGATTAACAATTAATAAATTTGAGCAAAGTTTCATAATTTACTGATCAAACTTTAAAAAGCATTCCAAGTGCAGTTTGTGTATTAGATTAAAATTGCAAAGATGTTCTATTTACTAATAATTTTACTAGAAAATTAATAAATTAATTGAATTATGGAGGTCTTTCAGGAACTAAATCTATTAATTTATTATAAAATTAAGGATTTCCTTCATAAGAATCAATTTTAAGTTCATCATCTAATGAAATAATATCATTTTTTGAAAATTTAACATTACCTTAATCTGAAGTTAAAGAATAATTGAATTCTGATATTTTACATAGACTTGATTCTAAATTTGAATGTACTGATCATAATTAAATTAATTTAAATCAAGCTCTAAATTTGATTAAGAATTAAGAAAATGAAACTTAAGGATTTATATATACATTAAGATGTTCATATAATAATTAGACATCAGAAGATGAATACCCAATAATAGTTGAGACTAGAATTAAAACTAAATTGTAATATGGTTTAAATAAAAATGCTATTCTTTTAAATCTCTATGATGTATCTCCTAATTTTAAATCTTCTTATTATAAGAAACTCAATTAATTTAAAAGTTAAGTTATTCGTTCCATCTCTCATGAATTAAGAACAAGATTAAATGTAATTTAAGGTTTCTTGTAAGTAATTTAATGTAACAGCATTAATTATGATAAAGGAACTAATAAACTTTTAAGAGCTGCATTTAATAATTGTAGAATTTAGAATTTGATAATCAGTTCAATCATAAATTATAATTTAATAAGAGAGAAGAAATTAGTCACAAAAACAGAGAAATGCAAATTGATATCAATAATATAAGAAGCCATAGATCTATTTTAGGAAGAAGCTGAAATGAAAAACATTAAAATAACATTTTAAAAACTAGTAAATTAAGCATAGAATGAAATGCTAGATTATGAAAAATTTCAAAGTATTTTGATTCATATAATTTCAAATAGTATAAAATTTAATAACAAAGGTGGATAAATTATCATAACTATTACAAAAGAGAATTAAGATAAAGATAAGATAATATAGAATAAAGAGAATGATAAAAAAATTCTATAACCTTCATAGGGTTCTTAATTATATAGAAGTTCTTAAGATTTAAATGATAGCTCCTTTCATTTTCCTTAAAGGAAAAATACAATATTTAAATAATAATTGATAAATCCTTCTAGTTCATTTTCCAATGCCCCACCTTAACATACAAATACTCATTTATATGAATATTATACAATAGAAATTAGAGACAGTGGAATGGGAATTAATCAATAGAAATTAGAAGCCATTAAGAATTTACTCAAAAATGAGGAGAAAGCATTCTAAGATTTAGATAGAGATTCAGCTTCAGGAATGATGTTAGGATTGAGAGCATCAAATGCCTTAATTAAATATCTTAGTGGAAAAGAAGAAGATAATTATATAACAATAGATTCTATATTGGATTAAGGAACAACAGTTAGTATTCATGTTAAATGCAGAATAACATAATTAACAGAAGGATTTATGCCTAGTGATTTATATAATAAAGAGAGTTCTTAAATTGAATTAGAAGGAAAGATACCAGATATTGAAAGCCAAACATTTAAATTTAATATTTGGACAGATCCAGAAATTAGCAGTAGAACTAATATGATCAATAAAACAAAAAGATCTTCATAAATTAATGTGAATAAAAAAGGGAGTTTACAAATGTTCTCTAATTACAATAATTCAAGTTTTTATAAAAATTTAGAAGGGAGTTTATATAAAAGTTAGGGTTGTGGATGTGAATAAAAAATAGTAATAGTTGATGATGAACCCTATAATTTATTAGTTTTAGAATCTTTGCTTAAATAATTAGGATATTAATCAATTAAAGCTGATAATGGTTAATAATGTGTTCATCTAATTGAAAACAGTATTTCTCTTTTTGATGAACATAAATGTCGAGGCTTTAAAGCTATTATTATGGATTATCAAATGCCAATTATGAATGGAGAAGAAGCAACTAAATAATTATAGTTTTTATTTAAAGATTAATAAAGAATCCAAATTCCTGTTTTTGGACTAACAGGATTTTCTGGAGAAGATGACCTAATTAATTTATCTTAGGCTGGAATGAAAGGAGTTTATATCAAACCTATAACTTTAAAGACTTTGGAAGAAATGATAAATAATTTAAGTTTAATTGAATGTAGAGATACACCATGTATGTCTTCGAGGCAATTTTAATGTTTCGAATTAGATTATGCCGATGACTTAGAATAATTAGCACATTAATGATAGTTATTAATTAATTTATATGTAAATTAGTAATAATAGTTAACAGTTAGCACTTACAAAGATCCAAAACAATGCATTTAATGTCTAATATTCTCCTTTTAGACTTCTAAATATCAAATACACTGAAGCCTCTACATAAAGGTTGATTGAAGAACCTATTAATTCTATTCAAGTATTTTAGATCTAAGGCAGTAACTATGAAATGCATTTTAATACAAAAAATAGCAAGCAACCAAAGTAGACAAAAGAATCAGTCAAGGTTATATCAATTGATTTAAAACTATAAAAGAAAAAATTAAAAACAGCATCCAAAGAAAACCTATCAGATTATCAAAGAAAATTAATCAGTGATATATAAAAAATAGAATAAGAAATCCTAAATCTCAGTTGAAATCCTTTACTTTTTATTTACACAAACTATATATTAATTTTAAATTAACTATTATTCCTTATTTTCTTAATTATTAGTAGAATAAATTAAAACCTTAAGAATTACTAACATTTAAAAATATATACATATTGATTTAAAGATTATTATGATTAATCTTTAAATTAAGATATAAACAAATTAAATTGATTAAATATAGAAATGTCTTTCTCATATTACAAAGTTAAACTAGAAATCCCCATAATCAATTTTCTATTTAAACTCTTTTTTTTCTTTTTATAAACTATATCTCAATAATTACTAATAATTCTGATTCTTAATTTGTTATTAATTAATATTTTTTATAAGAAACTAAATTAAAATTTTCTATATAAAATCTTCTGCATAATTCAAGATATTAGTTCAATTAAGAGAATGAAGTTTTAATATTTCTTTAGATAAATCTCAACTTCTTTAATTGAACTAATATTTACTAACTAATAGTACAAAACTTGAGAAAAATAAATTCTCTATCATGATTTAATTATAATACTAAAATTTTATCTTATGAATGTTAAGAATAAAAAAAATTCAATATAAAATTTTAGAGAGATAAGAATCTATTTATTTATCTATTCAAAATCAAATTAATATGTTTATTTATTGTTACAAGTTAATGATGTTGAACAAAATGCTCTAAAACAAAAGATAAATGTTTTAATTCAAAATTTTAATCATAATTTTAAATAAAATTAATTTCATTTATCATTTGATTTTTTATTGACTCTAATCATTTATTGTAAGTCGTTTATAACTTAACATTTTTTATCTCTCTACATACGTTATTAATCTTCTTAACTTTTTAATCTTTCTAACTACTCTTTCTCATTCCTTATTCTCTCTACTTCATTTGTATATGTTTATTTGATCACATTTTCTTTCTAAATATTAGTTAATAAATACTTCTGGATTTTTATTTATTAATTTTTTGCTATCTTGTCGATTACTTAAATATTTAGTTTTATAATTATCTTTTATTCTATCAATTTAATCAACTTCCCTATTTAATTGTTAAAGTTGGATTCTTAGTTATTTATTGGTTTCATTCAAATGCAAATTTTCAGATTCAACTTCATTAATTTAATCATGCCATTTAGTTAATTTTACTTCATTTTATTCAATTTTTAATTTTTGTCTTTCAATTTGTATTCTTTAATCATTAATTTAATTTTTCATTTCTTATTCTTATTTATTTAATATTCTTAATTCACTTTCTAATTCATTTATTCTTTATTAAGCACTATATAACATATTTTCTTAATTTTTTTATGATTATTCAGCTATAAGTAATTCTTTTTATCTATTATTTTCTATTTCATCATATTGTTTTTAAACTCTTTAAATAGAGATATCTTTCTCATCTTATAATTAAGCTAATCTCATCTTAATTTATTCATTTTTTTATTTTTCAAAAGATAACTCTAATTCTAATTATTTTTAATTTTGCTTTAATTGTTCATTTTCAACTTGAATATTCAGTAATTGTTCTTAAGTCTTTATCAAAAATTATCTTTCTGCTTAGAATTCTTAGTTTTAATCTAATATTAAACAAAATTAATACAAGATTCTGCATTATTTAATTTATTAATAGAAAAATTTGGATCATAAAAAGTTTAAGATATCGAAGATGAATTATCAACTTTTTATTCCAATTCTACAATTTTCTTTTTTAGACTCAATTCTTTTTATTTATATTCATTTAGCTCTTTTTCTCTGTTCTCAACTTTTAAATGAGCAATTCTCAATTCTTCTTCTTATCTCTATATTTTTTCTAAAACCTAGAAAGATTACTCTTAATCTCCGATTATTTAGTATTTCATCTGATTTATTTATTATTCTAATTTTTAGATTGTTTAATTTGCAGATTACAAATGTACTTTAGTTTATACTAATTCTTATTATTTCAATTCAACAGTTCCATCTATCTCATTTATCTTGAAATTTATTTATTAAGATAATTCTCTGTTATTTAACATTTCTTTGTCTAATTATAATTTAAGTTTAATATTTTCTTCTCTTATTTTTTCTATTTAATCTTTTAGAGAATCGATTTCTCTTTATAATCTTTAAGATATATCTTGTTCAGGGTATTCAAATTATCTCTTTTAATAAATATCATTTTCAAGTTATTGTAATTTTTACTAAATATCTTTATAATCATCCTTCAACAATTCATTTTCTACTAAGAGTTTTTCATTTTCTTCTTAAATTCTATCATAATCATATATAGGAACAGAATTCTTTTCTTTTTATTAATAAGATTTTTCAAGTTAATCTAATTTAGTACCATATTCAACTTGCATTAATTTGAATTCTTTGGTTTAGGACTTTAATTCCTTTTTTAACTATTTAATTTCAGTTTATTTTTGACATAACAATTATTTTATTTCATTTAATTCATCACTAATTGTTAAATTCTATTCATAATATTCAGTTAATAGTTTTCTTACTTCTTTACTTCTATAATATAAAACACGATATTCTCTTAATAGCTTCTCTTTTGAGATTGATTCTAATCTTGTAGTAAGCATAAGATTTTCCTCTCTACTTAACTAACATATTTCAATATCTTGACCTTTTCTTTCACTATCAACTAAATTTTCATATTTAGATAAAGTTGTTTTTGGATTATTAATTTTAAGATTAATCATATCCTCTTAATCACTAGATTCTGTAATTGAACTTCCATCATCATAATATGATGTAACTGCTTTTCTATTATTTTTTATTCTTTTTGATGAATTTATTGATGGTCTAGATGGACTTCATAATAATTATAAATTTTACCTTAAACTACGATCAACATTATTTTTAGATGTTTTTGATTCTGTTATTCTAACATTTGATCTTAAATCTTCTTTTTATTTTTGCATTAATTTTTAAAACCCACCTAATTTATTTTCAAATGAATTTTTTGTGGTATTTTGTATTTTTGATATCTTTAACTCTTTTGCACTCTTTTTTGATGATTTACTTCTACTTTATTCCAAACTTTTCATTTGCACTCTTGATTAAGTTTATTTGCTTAAAGTCCTTCTACTTTAACAATTTACTGATTTCCCTGATTTAGCTGATTTTCTACTCTTTTTATCAGAAACTGGAGTTTTAATTCGATCATCTGTAACATTATTAACATTTTTCTTCATTTTTTCAATTTTTTTTGCAAGTTATGTTAATTATGTGAGAGTTGAAGTTCTTCCTCCATATTCACTTTATTTTACTTCTTCAAACAATTATTTTTATTCATTCTCTTTTTCTCTTATCCATTATTATGTTAAATTTTAAGGTGGATTATTTACATTCTAGATTAAAGTTTTTATTTGTTATTGAAATTGACTCTCACTCTTCATTTGATGTTTTGAACTTTAACTTGTTCTAGCTATGGACATTAAATTAATTATATTGTTAAAATTTGAATTTTATTAATATAAAGTTCTTAGGTAAAAATTTTAATCATTTTTTCTTTAAAAAAAATCTAATGATATAAAAATTAAAGTAAAATTAAGACCTTATGGAAGTAATTATAATAAATTAGATATTATAAATAAAAATATATGATTTTATCAAAATAAAAACCAAATCTATTTAGGAAAAAATTATTTTTTAAACAGATAAAATTAATTTGTCATTTTCTTTGAAGAAAATGTTAATTATTTTTATTATAATGTATAAATTCTTTAATTTTATTCTTTCCTATTTTTCCTTTTATTAAACTCTATAACAAAATATCATTAAAATTGAATTCTATTTAAATTAATATGCTGATGTTCAAATTATAAATTATAATAGTTGTTATTACTAAATCAAAAATAGTTCTCCTAATCAGTATTAAATGATCAATTCTGTTATATTATTTATTAATTATAATATTTATTATTTATCTTTTTAATATTAAAATGCGTAACCATTCATAATTTTAATCAATATTTTCTAATTATAATAAAATTAATACTCCCAAAACCATTTATATAACTCCTACTACTTCATTGTTATATAAATCATATTTCTAAATTGTAAATTTTAAAAATTCCAATTTCCAAATAAAGTTACATAATTATTCAACAAATTTTAAATACAATTGATTCAAATTTTGATCAATAAAATATTTAATAATCAAATAAGCTTTTAATAATTGCTTATATGTCTACTTTTAATCTATATTTAAAATTATTTTATTCAATCTCAAGAGGAGTTTTAACTGATCTCATCTAATAGGAAATGAAATCTCTTAATATCTATTTAAATGTCTCTGATATTTGATGGCTTCCTATGTATTTTCAAACTATTAATTTAAATTATCTTTCTCTCATTTTATTCAACTAGAATAAAAAATGAAATTCAGCTCCTTATTCAATTTATTGAGTTTAAAGAAGTCCTTTCATAATTCTTTCATCCCTAAACACAGAAATAATAATATCCACACATTTTTGTCGGTATGATATTTACATTAAAAATGTTATTGAAATAAATTCTACAAACATATTTCAAAAATGCCATTCAAGAAATAAAATCTCTCTATACTTAAGAGATTGCTTTTCTAAAGAAGGTGCTCTACATTTCCAGTATTTAATTCACAGATATATGCTAATTTCATAATTTTCATCCCTAACATTTAACATCTTCTCAAGAAATTTTTTTCACTTAGAAAAATTTAATCTATCTCAATTTAACATAGAAACTTTCAACTTCTTATCTTATGAGGAAAAACCTATTAAAAAAGAAATTCGATTTGGATTAATTCAATATTACAGTTTTCTATGATTATCTCTGTTTTTACAATTAATGCGAACACAGGGTTTAGTGGAGTTCAAATACTTTTATATTTTAAATTTATTACATATAATAAGAGAATATTGAAAATCTTGATTAAAGAAAAACAATCCCTTTTTTTCCTTTATTCCATTCTCATAGTTAGAAATAGTGAATTTAATCAGCAGTTTTATAGAAAGAAGAAATAATAAATTATTCATAAAATGAAATAAGGTTCTTGAATAATTTGACTTAGCCTTCTAAGAGAAGTTATTTCACTTTAATTTTTTAAATTAAATCAAGAACATAATTAGATTTATTGTATTATTGTACTTATTCATAATAATCATGATTTCAATCCTTAGGCTTCTTCTTAATTCTCAATTAATTTGAATGTCCACACTTTCTTTTTCTACAATTATGAGCTTTAGGTGGTAATCTAATAATAATAATTTAAAATTATTTACCTAGCATAGCAAACTCTGCAAATTTTTTTTTCAACGTTGTATTTTTTGGCTATAGCAGCAATTGTTGGCTCCATACCACCACCTCTTAATCTCAATACTAAATGAAGAGTTGATTCTTTTTAAATATTATAATCTGAAAGAGTTCTTCCATCTTCAAGTTGTTTTCCTGCAAAAATCAATCTTTATTGATCAGGTGGAATTCCTTCCTTATCCTAAATCTTAGCCTTGACAGCATCAATAGTGTCTGAAGGCTCTACATCAAGAGTAATAGTCTTTCCCGTCAGGGTTTTAACAAAAATTTACATATTATTTTAAATTTTATTAAAATCTTTAATTAATTTTTTATTACTAATTAATGATCTATATCAAAAACTATAAATCTTAATGATCAATCGTGTTATGAATACTATAAGTTCATTTATTTTGGCCTTACTTAAATTTATCTAAATAATTGATTTCATTCTAATTTTTATCTATTGTTTGTTATTTAATATCCTAATCTAATTTTTATTATAACCCTTCAATGCTATAGAGATTTTCCTCAAATTTTATCCCTTCTAAACAAGTGTAATACTGGTTTTTAGTTATTGGACATTAGAAAATTATAGAGTCAATTTTAATTTAATTTTTATTCAACTGTTATTATTCCTATAGGCACTATATTTTTTCTAGATATTCTTTTTAATGGGAGAAAAGCTTCTCTGGATGATTTTTTAAAATTAAAATAGCTCCTTCTAAACTATATAATTGACCTTAAAGATTTATTCCTTCTGAGAATTTTAAGTATGATTTTTTCATTATTGGACAGATAAAAGTCACATCAATATCCATATTTTGATTTATTAATTTGCTTCGTTCATCAATTCTAAATTTTATTAATTCTTATACTTTGCCATAATTTACTAATATTCTTCTTTACCATACACTTGTTATAAGATAGAATCTGTTATTTCTATCGATGAGAATTTTTCATTTTTTTCATTAACTAAATCATACGAGGGATTCAATATATTAATTTTATATATCTTTGAAAAAGACTGCTCAAATATCCCATTAATAAAACAATGCTATTGGATCAATTCTTTTAATTTATCTTTTAACACAGTTATAGAACCTCCTGATTTTATATCTATTTTAATAGTGCTTTAATTTCCTATATTTTTTCCTGTAAGTTGACAATAGGTCAATCCATCATATTCGAGTTGTGTATTTTTTTTATTGCAAAGTTTAAATACTAGATCAACAATTTTCTCCTCATCCAACTAATCTGGATTATTAATTATATTAATTAAAGTTTTCTCATCCTCAAACATTTTGTGATAGAAAAATAAATAATTATATATTAATCTACTATTTTATTTTTTAAACTTCACTATATTATGTCACGTACATCAGGTATTATTTCTACCATCTAATGGATAATAATTTCCAAAAATTAAATTATAATGATTGATTTTACAAGTATATATAGAATCAATTAATTGCTCTTTATAAATAAAACTTAATTATTTGAGCAATTGAAATAGATTATTCTAATTTTGTCTGAAAATTAAATAAATTATATTGAGCCTTCACAATTTATTAAATATTTTTAATAATATACATATAATTATCACTTGAACTAAAAAGATGAATTCTTTGTAGATTATTGAATTTTCTAATAGAGTATTTGATAAATATGACAAAGATAAATCAGGATTTATTGAAATTGATGAATTAACTTTCCTATTGAATAACCTTGCAAAAGAAATTAAATCTTAAGTAATAATTTTTTCATAAAATAGCCACCAACTTAAAATGAGATTAATTATATTGTTAGATACCTAGATAAAAATAACGACAAAAAGATTAGTAGGATTGAATTTTAGAAATTAGGATAATTAATGGTGAAAGTTCTAGAGAAAATATGATGATGTTATTTTTAGATAAATAAATTTGTCTAATAATTTTCTGTTTCTAAATTTAAATCTCTTCTAAAACAAAGTCAAATATGCTTTAATTTAATAAATACACAAAATAAGATGAAATTGATTGTAATATTTAATTATTATTATGAAATGTGTTTAAAAATTTCATAGAATCAACAGCATCCTCCTTATTTTGTCTATTTCTTGGGGTCTTATTTAGTTAGTGTCACAGTTGTAGGGAAAAATCTAAAATAGAAAGATAAAAATACATTTCTTCATCTTTTTCTTAACTTGCAGCTGCTTTAGCAATGTCTTGAAAAGCTTATTCTATATTAGTTGCATCTTTAGCTGATACTTCAAAGAATTATATGTTTCCATGTGATTTACACCATTATTAACTTTTAGATTCTTAAACTTTTCTTTCTGTTGCTTTATCCAATTTATTTCCTAAAACGACAAAAGGAAAATGTTCTGGATCTTTTGGTTAACCTTACATTAAAAATTCATCTCTCCAAGAATCCAAAGAATCAAATGATTTTGGATTTGTAATATCGTAAACTAATACACAACAATCAGCTCCTCTATAAAATGCACCACCTAATGATTGGAATCTCTCTTAACCTGCTGTATCCCAAATCTAACAAATATTTAAATTATCAACATACTTAAAGTGTTACCATTCTATCATCAATCATAACTTCTTTTGCCATAAAATCTGCTCCTACTGTTGCTCTATATTATTATGTAAACCTAGCATTAACATATTAATTCATCAAAGAAGTTTTACCTACTCTAAAAGTTAAATTAAGATTCAAATTTACCCTGAATCACCTAAGATGATGATTTTAAAAAGTTGCTTTTTCTTGCTGGCCATGTGGAATTAATATAATTATTTATTAATTTATATTACAAATTCTGATTTTACTTTAAATTCTTAAATATCATAATTAATAAGAAAATTAAAATCAATTAATATTCACTTCTTAACAGCCATAAAAAATATACAATTATACATTAAGTATTTTTAATCCAATTTTGAATGATTATAAGTTGATTCTTACATTTACTCAAATTATATCTCAAATCCTTTTTATTTTATATAATGTTTTAAATCATCATAGCTTAATTCAATACTAGTTTCAGAAAATTAATTAGCAAAATGATATTCTAAAGGTCCAAAATTTATCCAACATCCTTTAGGCTTTAAAATTTCATAAATGGTATCTATATAATCTAATACATTATTTGCTGTATCAATAAAGAAGCATGTTATAATACTATCCCAAAAATTAAAATATTTATCTTGATGATAGACTGTAATAAATTCTCCTGCTACAAATGACATTTCATCATTTTCAGTTAAAATTTCAGCCGGGGCTATATCAGGTACTTTTACTAATTCAAATTAGTCATTTTCACTAAAATAAATGTTATATTACCTTAATCTATTGCAAAAATTGTTTGCAAAAGGATATAATTAATATTAGTCTTTTTTTTAAGTGAGATTAATGATGAAATGAGAACTCAAAAGCATAAAATATGAGAATTCATTTCCTTATGCTGCAAAACCTCTACTTGCCAATTCGAATACAAGTCTTCCTAAACCAGCTCCAGGTAATAACACCTAATATTTTACATTTTTAGTTCTTGCATCTGGATAATACTATTATAATTGATCAATAATAAGTTTATAAGATTAATCTCTTTCTGTTTAACCTTAAATGCTCCAATCTTGTATTATTTATTTAATTGTACCTCGATAAAATTATTTTAAAGTTATCCTAAGTTTTGAAATATCACCATGTTAAACATGAGGAAAATATGGTAAATCTGATACATAATTAACTTAACTTAAATCCATTTCTGGAAACATATCGACATAGGCTGCAACTATTAAGAAACAAAAGTGTGCATTTTTCTTAATACAATAATCTAATTTTTTAACTCTTTCTTAATAATTCATTTATAGGTTGCTTCTTTGTTCAGGCTTAAGAGTCTCAAAATGAGTTTTTATTCTTTAAATCTCCACTTTCATATCATTTGTATAATTATAAAAACATGCAATCACATTTTTAAAATGTTAATATTCATGAATATCCTTTTATAATATTTCATTATTTGAAGGATGATAGCTTGCATATTCTTTATCAAAATATAAAGCATCCATTTCTTTTATTTGAATTTCAATTTAATCCATTAAAATAATTTTGTTAAATAATTAAAACAAAATATTTGCCAATATAGAATAGAATGAACTTTCTGAGTTTATTTACATCATCCACCAAACAATAATAAAAATTATAAAAGATAAAAGTATCTGTAAAGTTAAAATTTAGATATATAAAGATGAACAATGTTAAAATTATTTCTAAAACTTAAATATTGAAGATAATACTTAATGCCAAAAAATTTTAGATCAGATTGATATTTAAAATCAACTTGGAGATGATGTTATAATTATTATATCTTTAGGTGAGAAAAGTGCTTCTTCTTTTTACTTGTTAGAAAGATAAAAAATGCATTTCATAAAGAATTATCAATAAGTAAGAGCAAATAGCTAAAATTTTATAAAATGCTCCACAAAACTTAGAACTTTATATAATTTATTAAGAAATTAAGCTTTCAAAATTGTTAGAAACTCAATCTTACCATTAAAAGATTTGGAATCATATTAATATAAGTAGAGATATCATTTAATATTATTGAAGATTCTAAAGATCATTCATTTAGATAAGGGACACTATTGAAAAAAGGTAAAACTGGGTAATTTAGAGAGAGACTCTTCAAATTATAAAAAGACACCTTAATTTATGAAAAATAAGAGAAGCACGAAAAAAATAAAACAAAATAGAGTTGTATATCCCTTGATTCAATGTAAATTGAAAAACAACCAGATAAAAATTTAACATTTCTAATAAAATGTGATTAAAAAATTTATTAAATTAAAGCTTAAAGTAGAACTGATTTTGATGGATGGTAGGTAAAAATCATAATGAATTTGAAGGTTATATTCATTGCACAACTAAATTATGAAATGGAAGGAAGTAAAACTACTATTAGATTACGATAAGAAAATTGAATAATGTGCCTATCAAAAAGTGGAAAAATTGAAAAGCCTTCCTTCCTAAATCAAATCTATAAAGTTTATAACGTAGAACAATACTTACATTACAAAGTTTATTTTATCAAAATTTTAGATAATTCTTAAAATATTTGGAGAATAATAGATCAGAATTAGATAATAAACTTTTTGGGTTTTTACAATTGACTTAGGAAAGTGAAACTTTGCAACAAGGATCTAAAAATTATAAATAAATACTTGAAAAGAAAGAATTATTGTACCAGGAAATATAAGAAATGATGAAAGATGATGAACACTTTTCTAAATTTGAAAAAATATAATCGACTCAATTTAAACAAGAAATAACAATTTATTTTGATAAACAAATTGTACCTGATTTTCTTTTGCAAAGTAACTATATATCATAATAGATAGTTCAATAGTCTTAAATAATATAAGATTTTTCAATTCATTAGTTTAAATAGTTCTATAAATTTCCTTTGTTTGATTTATCTGGATTTTATTCAGATCCTACTGATATTGTGAATCCTAATTCTGAATGAAAATGAATGAATACTTATAATTCAAAAATAAATTAATAAATTCTTTAAAAATTATTAATGGGTATACCAGAATCCAAAACTACAATTGAAGCCTATTACAATGATTATCATAAAGCGAACCAAAAGAAACAATAAAATTATTCCTTATCTGTTGAAGCCGATTGTTGTTAAGTTTAGAGAAATGATTATATCATTTTGACAGATTGTAGACATCTATATCATTTGAATTGCTGGCAATAAAAATAAAAAGAATCAGAAGGATTTATTTGCTTTTGCGAAAGCAAAATCCAAGGAAAACATTGTTATAAAGGAAAGAATGCTTCTTGATTACTATTAATAAAAATTCTAATATTTTTTTTAATAAATCTTTTGGGTTACCACTTCGATACTGCATTAAATAAATTAAACCAATTAAAAAATTAAAGAACGAAAGTCTTAACTATGTTCGACTACATTTTAGAATAAATATAGTATTTTAGAATAATGAAATTTTTAAATTATCAATTAGGTCTATTTGATTTAGAGATTAGATCTTAAATGAATTTCAAAAAATTATTGATAAAGGACATTCGTGATTATCAAAAAAATTTATTCTATTTATGGAACTATTAAATAAAAGGAAGGATTTTTTTATATATTAAAAACATGCATTTTTTTTTCATTTATACAAATATTAAAATATCTCAAAAATGTATGAGTAATGTTTCATAGTAGCAGAAATAAAATAATATTTCGATTATTATTAATTGTTCTTAAACATGAATTCAGTCTAATAGAAACCATAAAATAATACTATTGTTTTAAATTGATACTAAAGATTATAATCAGATTAACATTTAGAGATTGATGGAGAATCCTTCTTCAACTATTAATTAGTTTCTTATTACGAAAATTAAGAAATATTAAAAAATCAATACTAACTTGAATATTTTCATTTTTTTTATACAAGATATTTATTTAGAAGAATTAATAATAAAATAAATTCTTAAATCAAATCTATCTAGGGATTTATTGATAGAATCTGGAAATTAAAGTTAAGAGTATAAATAGCATTTTTTAAATTTAATATAAAATTGATATAATTATTATAATGAAATTAAATATTTATCATTTATTTTCACAAATACTTATCCACCCTTTTCTAGGCTGATCTTTTTGAGCAAATATTTCCATTAATTAAGACTTTGGAAGCAATGTCTCAATTGTTTAATAAATATACTCTTTTGATTTTTAAGATTATTTTCCATTGCTAACTAAATCAAATAAGACATCAGGAGTTCTTTAATGTCTTAATTCTAGTTACGTTTTTAATTCATCAAATTTTCTAAACATTATTAAAACTTATTTGGATTGATTTAAGACTTTCTGTGGACAATATAATATCAAATCTTTGACTTAAACTTTTTGTTATAAAAAATTAAGGTTATCTAAGACAGCTTCTTCAGTCTATTCAATTTTCATATGTTTATTCAATTCTTCTAAAGCTTTTTCAAGACTTAATTAAACTACAACTAGATTTTCAATATATGTAAATCCTTTATTCTCCATAATTTCAAGAATTTCATTAATAAGACCTTTATCAGACCAAATAAATAAAATTCCATTAGATATTACCTTTTTGGAAAGATCTAAATTTTTCTTTGAATATTAAGTATAAATACTAAATCTTTTCTAAAAAGATTATTAATGAAAATTCCTTAAACTCCTTTTGCATTTTGGGAAAGATCTGCACCTAGAATCTTTTTCAAGACAATAATTCTTAAATAAAACTTTTAAGAGTTACCTTCTTTGATCTGTTTCATATGATTGACACTTAATTGATTTTTTCCATTATAATAATACTTCTAAATTGTCACATGTTCTAATTAACTAAAGCAATTTACATTTTTGATTTTTTTGATTTTGTTTTGTATTTCCTTATTTTTTTAATTGCCTTTTATGAGTCTTGATTATCTACATATTCTGAATCATCTTCTGTTATATCATATCCTTAGTTTAGTTTAAAATAATTAATTCTTTTATTATCAGAACCAGGTTCATTATATCTCAACCTTGTTTTTATTGATTCCCGCTAATTTTTTCCCATGTTTTTTTTATCAAATTAATCAAATAAATTAACCCATTATTATAAATTTAGAGGGAAATAATTAATTTTAATAAATATATAAATTAAATAAGTTTGAAAAAGAATAATGACTTTTAAATTATTATTAAGTATAAACGAAAATCACTATTAAATTTTATGTTCTGCAAATGACCAGCCAGCCAAATGAGATTACTCTAAAAAGCTACCGATTTCAAAAACATTATGTTCCACCTTAATAAATCTTGTTTTTCTACTCAAAATAGGCATTTTGATTTATTTATCTTTAACTTGATTCCAATCAATATCATTAAAATAAGGATGAGCCTTTATTTCTTCTGCATCTCCTTTACCAGAACCCAATCTTTTTGCTGGATTTCTTTATAATAACTAAAAGTGTATAGAGATTAATAATTTTACTGCTTTCAAAAGATTAATCCCATCATTTGATATGTATGATGGTAATTTAAGATCAGCTTTTTAAATGTTATTAAAAAGTTCTTCTCTATCATTAGCATAATAAGGTGGTTGTCCAACTAAAAGTTCATACATAACAACTCCTAATAAATACCAATCTACAGCCTTTCCATGACCACATCTTTTGAGCATTTCAGGTGCTAAATAAGCTACAGATCCACAAAATGATCTTGCACCAGAATAATGCTCTTAAACTCCCTCCTTTGATAATCCGAAATCAGTTAACATAGCAAAACCATCTGCATCCAAAACAATATTGTCAGGTTTCAAATCTCTGAAAATAATATCTCTTTTATGTAAATCTTCCAAAGCAAGAATCATTTAAGTTAGATACAATTTTACTCTTTCTTCTGGAAATCTTTATTCTCTTCTCAAATGAGAACTTAAATCTCCTCCTGGACAATAATCCATTATTAGACAGAGTTTATCAGAGGTCTGGAATGCATATCTTAACCGTACAATAAATGGATGTTTAGTTAATGATAAAACATTTCTCTCAGTTAATGCATATCTAGTTAGATTTTGCTCTTGCAATTATAAAAATATTATTATTACTTTATATTTTTGATTTATGAAGTACTTTCATAGCTAATAATTAATTTGTGTCAAGCTTTTCAACTAAATAAACTTCCCCAAAACTACCTCTTCCTATAAGAGCATGTACTTTAAAATGATGGGGACCTACTTTATCTTCATTAAATGAATTAGAATTTTCACTTCCAAAGTCAGTTCTTGCATCATAAATTTTAATTGAATTATTATTTTATTTTTGCATAGCTTACAGAAATATCTATTAATTGGATGAGTAATCCATAGCAATTTTGTTTTCTTTATTTCTAAGATGAAAATAATTCAATATACTTTAAATTTAGATTCAAACTTTGTTTATTTAGTAATAAATCTATAATTTTTTATCTTTCATTCATAGTTGCTAAATGTAGACAAGTGTTTTTGTTAATATCTTAAGAATTAATATCAGCTCCAGCTGTAATTAATTATTAAGTTATATCTTCTGCACCTAAACTACAAGCAACCATTAAAGGAGTTTATAATTTTGAATTTAATGAATCTATTTGAGCTTCATGATATAATAGTAATCCTACTAATTTAGAGTTTCCACTCATCACACTTAAATGTAACACTGTATTTCCTTCTACATCTCTTGCATTTACGTCAGGCTTGTCTTTTAGAAGTATTTCTCTAACCTCATTATAGCAATTATTTTTCACTGCTTTTATCAATTTTGCATTATTTGGACTCTTTGTATTCCTATAATATAAAAATAAAAAAACCAATTATTTCTCCAATCTTAATAACGAATATCAATAACTTTGCCTGTATCTTGATCTCGAATACAAAATTCTGGATATTTACCTGAAGCTTTTACCTTGATATTTAAATTTATTACTAATTTATTAGGTGGTAATTTTTGAACTAAAACTGAACCTTCATCAAGAAAACTTGGTGAAAGCATAGATCGTTCAATTCTATGACCAGCTGAAAATTATCTATCAGATTGTGATGGTTCTGTTTTTATTATTTTGGCTATGTTATATGTTTGCATAGGTGAACGAGAAGGAGGTTTTGTTATTGGAACCTATTAAACATTCATTGTGTTAGAATATTTTATAAATAACTTAATAATTTATATATTTTCTAAATATATTTCTCATCAAATCATAATATTATATTCTAAAAATTACTCAACAAAGGTGTATAATCATAAAATCTAATCATAAAAATAATAGATTTTAGATTTTATTGAATTAGTTATTTCTTTTAAATATATAGGTTTGATTACTTAGCTCAATAGAATAGCAAATATTAAATCTAATAAATAAGCTAAACCATAAAAAATTAGAATATTCTTGTAAAGATACAATTAATTATGTTTGAGATTAAATATTAAACTGTTAAATCATTGAATAATGATGAAATTTTTAGACTAATATTGACAAAATCTAAGCTATTTGAGGTACCCAGTATTGAAAATAGAGTTACTAATAATAGAAAATTGAACCATTGCTTAAAAATATAAAATAATCATGAATATTAAAATTTTGAATGTATTCTAATTAAGACCCAGAAGAATAATTTGAGCTTAATGAATTGATTGGAGAAGGTGCTTATGCAAAAGTTTATAAGGGGAAACATAAGAATGGCTAAATTGTAGCTATAAAAATAGTTCCTTCTACTGGTGAAATACAATCATTAATTAAGGAGATCTAGATCTTAAAAGTATTATCATTTATGTATTTAGGAATGTTAACATGCCCATATAGTACAATATTATGGTTCCTTTTATAAAGATGGAAATTTATGGCTTGTTATGGAATATTGTGTAGGAGGGTCAATTATTGATTTATTGAAAATTACTTAAAAAACATTAACTGAATCAGAAATTGCTGCTATTCTATATCATGTTCTACTTGGAATTGAATATTTGCATGCAAATAAAAAAATTCATAGAGATATCAAAGCTGGAAATATTTTATTGGATGAGAAAGGAACAATTAAAATAGCAGATTTTGGAGTAGCTGCACAACTTATCTATACAAATGCAGACAAAGTATTTTTATTCTAATAAAAAGGGTACAGTAATAGGCACCCCTGTTTACATGTCTCCTGAAGTTATATCTAAGAATCGATATAACCATCTAACGGATATTTGGTCTTTGGGAGTGACTGCAATTGAACTTGCAGAAGGAAAGCCTCCATATTCTCACATTCATCCTGTAAGAGCGATGTTTGCAATTAAAAACAACCCACCTTAGGGTTTAACCAATCCTGAAAAGTGGTCTAAAGAATTTAACGATTTTGTAAAATCTTGCTTAAAAGTACAAGTCTCAGAAAGACCTACTGCTTAATAATTACTTTAGTCTCCATTTATTAAATAAGGCAAACAAGACTAAAAGAAATTAGTAAATCTCATTGACAACTTTCTCAACTAAATTGATGAGTATAGATAATCAAAAACATAAGGAAATGTAGAAAAAATTTAAACCTTAATCTCTAAACAAGAAGATAGTGAAGATGAAGAATAATCATGTGGAACTGTTGTGGAATGTGGAACACTTGTGATTAAAGAAGAAGAAGCTTAAAGTAAAAGTAAAAGTGAAAAGGAATTAGATTTTGTTACTTATGCTAAAAAAGAAAAAATTATTAATGAAATAATTGATGAATAATTAAGTGATGAGTAATAAATGGAAAATATGAATTAAGATGAGAGAAAGAAGTTTTTGGCATTTTTGTAATCACAAATGGAAGAAGAAATTTCAAAAGTAAAATAAAAGTATATGCCTAAAATTGATATGCTCACTCAAAAAATTAAATAAAATGAATCCCCAGAATTGCCAAAGTTGTAAGAATATATTCCTTAAAGTAAGCAACAGGAATATATTCCTTAGAATAGGCAATAGGAATACATTAAACAATAGGAATACATACCTTAGAGTAAATAATAGGAATATATAATATAGAGTAAACAATAGGAATATATTCCTTAAAGTAAATAATAGGAATATATTCCTTAGAATAAACCTCAGCAATTGATTTAAACTCAATAATCTCAATTAATCCAATAATAATAACCATAAAAAATTGAAGTATCAGTTCCATTTCAAGTCAATCCAGAAGTTTTATAAAAATTATCAAATATGAAAATCCCTCAAATAAAAATATAGAATGTAAGTTCTCCAACAGCATAGTTAAGATCTAATCCTAAATAAAAAGTAAAGCCTGAGTATTTAGTAAAATAAAATATTAATTCTAATTATTGATTAGAAATTTAATTTAAACTATTATTTATTCTATTATATATCTTAGTATTTTAATAGACTACTATATTAATCTCTATTACTCAAATTCTAAAACGTAAATAGTATTATTTTTACTTATTTATATCTTATTTTACTTAATCAATCAAAGATTTATTAAAACTAAGGTATAACATATAAGTTATCAAAATGAATTAGATAAAATTTAACAAAAGAAAATAAAGATCCTTCATTATTGCAATTAATATTTTTCTTTTTCAATAGGTCAATAGATGAAGATACTGATGATTATTTGATATACTAAAATAAATAAAATTATTATGGATTAAGAAATTGTGGATTAACTTACCCTCGATTCTATTCCTTACTATGAAGAGTAACTGTATGGGGCATTATAAGTCATAATTGATTTATAGTAAAAGGTTGAATAACATGAAATGATTCTAGATGATGTACTAATAAAATATTATTAGAAAAGGAAAATTCCAACGAAAACTAGACAGAGGATGTTGAAGGTGATCTTCAAGAAATAATTTCAACAATATAACAATAGTAACTAAAGGAATTATAAGATATTGATGATATAAGTTAAAAATAACAAGAGGATTTCGATTAATTGTTCAAAGTATCAAGCTTATTTCTATTAGTAATTACATGAGTTGGAATAATGGACTACTCAATACTAATAAGAAAATAATTAAGATGAATAATACATAAAAATTACACAATAGATGATATTTGAAAGATAGCAATAACTAAAAGAATTAAGTCAATAGTTTATGTTGTAAGACATTCATAATAAAGAAAATCAAAGAATCATATAAAATTTACAATAAAAATTGTAATTGGACACTATCACTATGCCTTAAGATGGTTCTAATGAATAGACTATAGAAGTTAATTAATTTGTAAAACATCAACGTTAAGAATCAGAGGAAGATGTTGATTATATCTAATATCTTTAACTTACAGATTATAAGTAAAAACTTGAAGAAGAATTGGAACAAATTGCAAATAAACCTAAAGTTCTAAAGGAAATGATCGATGTCTCAACCTAAACCTATTAATAAGAGTTTCCAATTAGATAAAAGAATTACGATGACTTTGCTTACTCTATCAGTTGCGTATAGCCTACTTATTCTTTGGAAAACACTCCAAAAACAAGTCAAATACTATTACATTCTCTTTTAAAAGAGGAGAAACCAAAAAACAGAGGATGTTGTTCAGATTGCAGAATTTACTGAAAATAAAATAATTTGATAGATCATTTCTTTTATTGCATTTTACCAGTTTATGGTTTAGATTTATTTTCTAAAACATTAAGCGTTCCTATAGTTGGGTTCACATTGAACATTTTGTTGTAGTTATTATCTCTATTAATTAATTCTAATTTAAAGTATTTCATCTGTTCATTAACCTTTTTGATCTCTTCATCTTTCAAATTGACTTAAGATTATAACTATTTAATCAATTCTAAATCTTCAGGTCGACTAGGTCTTTCTTCATATAATCGAGTTAGTTCTTTATAACTATTATAAAAATAATAAATACTCTTCTTCAAGCATTTATAACTTTTACATTAGTAATTGTTAGGCTTATTCAAATTCATTTTTTAAATTATCAGCAAACTCTTTTTATTTGATTAGACTATCTTTTAATTGTTAGTTTAGAGATTAACGTAATTATTGTTCTAATTATTTAGCTTCATCTTTCATTTATTAAACCCATAAATCCTTTTCTTTTATTTATTTTGAAAATTCTGTTTCTGCTTATTGATATTTGATATTTAAATCTTTAATTTATTACTATAAAATTTTAATTTACTGTTCATATTTTTCTGAAGAGTTTTTGTTTAACTCTAAAGCATTTTCTAATTATCTTCTTAAATCAGAAATTATATCTTTAGTTGCTTTATGATCAGATTACTCTTATTCTAATTTATTTTATAATTATTTCAATTTATTTTCAAATTCTGTAATTTTATCATTTAACTATCTTTCATATTTTTATTAAACATCTTATAATTAATTTTCATAGTTTTTAATCAGTGATTATTTTTAATTTTCAAATTCTCTGTTTTACTAATTTAATTTATTTTAAGTTTCCACATTTAAATCATCTTTTATTTATTAAATTTCTTTTTCATAATATACTTTCATTTATTCTTTCATTTATGTATTCTTTTTGTCTAACAACTATTTAATTAAATAAAATTTCTTACTTCTATCTCATAATTATGTTTTAAATTAATTTCTTTAAGCATTTATTCAAATTCTTCCTCTTTTAATTTTAATCTCCTAGCCCAATCACCTTATCCTGCTTCCATATCTTTTTTCAAAGAAGTAATTTACTATAAAAGTTTTGCAATTTCTTCTTCTTTTAACTACAATTTTCTTTCAAAATCTATTTTTATTTATTTTTTTTCAGCTTCATATTATGATCTTAAACTAATAAAAATAAATATGATCATTACCTATCTATCTATTATTCATATGATAATTTTTATTAATTTAATTGTTCATCTTTTTCTCTTAATAGATCAATCCTTTATTATTTGATTTGTTATTCTAATTCTTAGATTCTTATTTATAACTATCCTTAATTATTAGAGCCTTCCATTTCTATTTTTCTAATTTTATCTTCTAATTCAGCAATTCTTTATAGTAATTATTTAATTTCTTATTCTTTACCTGTTATTTAATTTAGATTATAAATAATAGTTTATTCTAACTCTTTAATCTTATTTTATAAATTTTAAATTTCACTTTCTAATGATGATATTTTAAGATTAGCTTAATTAATTTAGTTTTTCAAATCATTAATTGCTTATCCAGCAGATTTTTCTACATTTGCTCTTTCATCATTTAATTATTATTCTAATTATTTCAATCTTTTATTAAAATCATTTTTAATTTATTCAATCTCTTAAGAATGATTGTTTTCTAAATTTTTAATCTTATTTTCAAATTCTTCCCTTAATTCTTTTAATTTTAATTCATATTCAGTAGTAATTTTTTATATTTTTTCTTCATATCTTTTTATTAATTCTCTTTTTTCTGTTTCAATTTATTCAATTTTATTCAATAAATTTTTTTCTAATTCTCCCATTTAATTTTTTGCTTAATTTTATAATTTTTCAATTTCATCTTCTAATTTTCTAACATTTTTCTTTAATTCTTCTATTTCTTTTAATTTATCACTATTACTCCTATCACTTGCATCTCTAACAGCATTTAATTCCATTTAAAGCATATCTGCTTTCTTTTATAATTCATTTAATTTAATATGAAGTTCTCTAATTTCAAAATCTTTTGATTTAAGTTATTATTCAAGATCATTTAATTATCTAGTTAATTGTGTTTCTTTCATTGATCCATCCTATTAATAAGCATGTAATTATTATTTAAGATTTTCTATTTAAGAATTAAGTTACTTAATTTTGTCTTCTAAATCATTATTAATCTATTTTAATTTACTATTTTCATTTTTTTATGTCAATATATCAGTTTAAGATTGTTAATATTTTTATCCAATATCCTTTAGATCAAGAGTCAATTTAGCAATTTAATCTTTAAGTTAATGTATTTCATCTTAAAGATTATGGTTATGTTTTGTTAGATCATCTTTTTGATTTTTAAGATTGGTAACTTCTTATTTTAGTGAATTTATTTCATTTTATAATGATTGCAATTTTTAATCAAAATTTTGCTTCATCAAATCTTATAATCTATCTTAAGCCTCTTTAGATTTTCTCTTTTCTTCCTCTATTTTTTTCAATAAATCATCAATTTCTAATTATTATTTTTGAAGACGTCTATCTTTATCTGCAATTTAATCATCTTATTCAAGTTTTTTTCTCATCAATGAATCATATTTGTCTTTCCATTCTTTAATAGTATCTTCTAATTATTTTTATGATCCTCTTCTTAATTCTTCTTATTTCATAATAACTTTGTCAACTTATTTTGAAAGATCATCAAATTTTTATTTTTAAAATTCTGTTTCCTTCTAAATTTCTTTTATCTTCTTTTCATACTAAGTTACAAGACCTTATTCTTTCTCTTCCATTCTTTTTCTATATTATGAATATTCAATCTATGCAGTTTATTTCTCTACTTGAACTTTTTCTTGAAGTTGTTTTAGTTCTTATTAAATATCATCATTTTTGCTTTATTTATCTAATGCTTACTTATAAGTAAGAACAATCTAATTGGCACTTAGAAATAAATATGAATTTGATACTCTTTTACAATCTAATCCATTTCTTATTCATATGCTTAAACAACTGCTTTGAGATTACTTTCATATTCATCATTTTTTGTGTTTAAAAAGAAGATAACTTTAGTGAGTTAAGCAATCTTTTTGCAAAGTCGATGGTGGAGTTCGCCTAAGTCCATCAGTTAATAAATCAAATTATTAAATTGGATATAATAATAATCATAACTGCAGTAATTTGAATAGAATCTAATCTTTTCCTAAGATTTATATTTTATATTTATTCTTTACTTGAACCCTACCTTATATATATAAGGGATTTAATTATATAATATAATTAGAAAAGAAGAAGGAATTTAAATTATAATATTTTGAAGTTCATTAACATCATGAACATTAATTTTCTTATCATCCTATTAAATATTTTCTTTATTCTGATTAATTATTTAAATTAACATAAATAAAAGAACAACAAATCTCATATATAATTATAAACATTGAAATTTTTTTGAAATTCTTATTAATTTATGAATAATAATACTATAAATACTTTAATTAATATTCATCATTTAGAAAATTGATTATATTTATCAAAATAATTTATAAACAACATCATTTTTATATGAGAATTTAGAAACTCTTTTAAAACTAACATTATATTATGAATGAAATTCTGATTTTATGTTTAATTGATTATTAATCATTATTTAACTGAAGTTGAGTTCCTTTAAACAACATATTTGTAGAATACAGCAATTGCCTCACCCACACCCTTAATTCTTTCAGCT